TTAGCAAATTAATGAACACTAAATTTAGAAACTTGTTGTTTCTATAAGTATTTAAATATAACCTTCCATCTTAATACGTTTTTCTACTTTTATTACGGAATATGATCGTTCTAAAATCACTTTTTAATGTGGAATTACATATAGGTATTCAAAAGTTTGGTCTGAAACACTTTTGGAATATTCCGTATTCCAAACTTGTTACAGCTCTAGAATATACTATTCTGGTCAGTTTTTTCTAAAATAAAATTTAAACAAAACAAAGAAAAACAAAAGTTACCTACTTTAAAAATAACTGCATTATACGATAAAGAAGTATCTGGTTTTCGCAACGCGCGCGCCATTGGTGGACTTTATTTTTAAATAAATAGGTAGTTTTTTCATAAAAGAGAGGAACGCAGAAGTCTTACTCGACAAATTTTGTTCAATTGCATAGCAGATTTTGATTGATTATTCTTTATATCATTGATTAAGAAACTCAACGCTTAAATGCTTATATAGTTACGTTAGTGTGTGTATTTTATCTAAGGGATCATGGTGAATTATTGTGTTTTTAATTGTAAATAAAATTCAAGAACTAAATCGTTGCCTTTTCATGTTTTGCTAAAGGATTCAATTCGGTAAGTACATTTGTTGGTGCAGAATTAACTAATGAAAACTTTACCTAATATAATTTATATTTAAGTTTGGATATTTTTAAGAAATTAGTGAAAAATAATTTTTGCACAAACATAACCTTAAAATCAACCTTTATATTTGAGTTATCTAAAAAACGCCGACAACTGCATTTTAAACAACAAAATATACCTACGAATTCATGGCAACATAATATTATATATAATACATAATATACCTAATTGTATTTTACCGTTGTGTGAAGACTTTAAAGAATTCTTAATCAACGCTTTTAATAATGCTAAATTCTGTTTAAATTTTGACGACTTATTTGTTTGAAGATTTTTACTGAATTGAAATGTTTACACTTTTCATGTTAATCTTTACTAAAATGTGTATTTATGTATCTATAGATCTATAGATACAATTTATATTTACAGGGACTGTATTAAATTTATTTCTTCATTCGGATTAAGACTGTTTATTGGAAAACCGATAAAAACTCAACCCAGAATTTCCTCTCGAAATACACCTAACAACACAACAAATCATCCACGGTTTTTTTTTCGATATTTTTTAACATTTTCCGGCATTATTCTCAAAAACACTCGTTTGTAACACACGCGTTTGACAGCTGATTATCAAAAGTTTTACTTTTGTTACAAAGATAACAGCCGAGTGGTGGCGCTACTAGCGATACTTCTTTAGCGTTTTTTGAATTTTTTATTAAATTGTTGAAAAAAAAATGCATTAGTATACATAAGGGTAATTCGCTCCCGAAGCAAAATATTGATGTACATATCGAGACAAACAAATTCCTTGAAGTTTCTGTACTTAATGTTACTCTTAAGTACTTTTATTTTAATTTTACCATTTTTTCATTGAAATAACAGGAAATTAACAATTTTTAATTTCCTGTAGCTTGGTAGTATTTTAGGTAACTACAATTTACATAGGTGCGATTTGTACATAATTAGATGCTACTTGCAACAATTTTAATACAACTTATATATTTAGACCTGTATATTATACACCTATGTAAATTGTATACAGTGTATAAATGTTGTAAAGACAATGACAGGTAAACTCTTTAGTACGTTGTAGGTTACATTCAGAAGAGTACGGGAAAAATTCTGGTTTTTAATTTGGTGACAAAAAATGTCAAAGTTGAGATTTTCCTATCCTATATATATATATATATATATATATATATATATATATATATATATATATAGACGTAGCCAATACCATGGCTACCAAGATCTCCAGATCATACCCCCGCTTGATTTCCTCTATTATAGGACTTAAGGTCAAAATAAACAAGAGCTTATAATCAGAATTCAAAAATTAAAATTTGTGACTATAATGGTGTTAATCAAACTTGACACTATTATAATTTCTGCAAAAAATTTATTAAAACGAAAAAAATAACCTGGGTGACTTTTTCAATCCGTCTTCACCATCATTAGTGCTATTTTTGTTCAAGTCAAACATATTTTTGCACCACCTTCCTTCGAATCAATCAGTCTGGAAAGGTTGCGGTCTTAAATTTCGTATGTCCAACTAAAACATAATCCGAAAATAGCACGGCGCTCCCTGTCATTTTCCCAAGATTGATGGCACGATTGCTGTAAAGGCGTATGTCGATCTTTAATCCCACACGTTATAGCCTAATTCGTACGTTATTTAGATTGCAGATTTAATCCCATATATTATTAACCTAATTTATTTACTTAAACTGAATAATTATACAAAGGAGTTATTTCTTTCAAGTACTAATGGGTGAATCTCACGAAATGTCCCCCGATGGTGTTACCCCGTGATATTTAATAAAACTAAATGAGTTTGACCTACACTTTTATTGTGTTTTGATCTTTCATTATTAAGTAGATATTACAGCTCAGATTCCAGATTTTTAACATCAATTAATTATTTTTTACAATGTTTTAAAAGTCTCAAACCTATCCTCCGTGACTGCTACTCTTTCTAGGTTAACCTATATGTTTTCAAATATTTGAGTAGTAGAAGCATACTAAAACTATCAGTTCACTAAGTAAATTAAACACATCCAAAGCAATCGAATCAAATATAAAATATTATTAAAAATTAAAAGAAATAATTTTTATAACCATTAATGTAGGTGTTAAAAAATTGATTCTATCCTCCGTGAATATGTTTTTGCTTTAAATTTTATGCAACGGATGGCGCTTTAATAATTTTAAATAAGCAAAAACCTCTGTTTACGACATTATAGATGCATGTGATTCCTGAAGGTCAGTTAGAATTTATAGGCAGATGAGAGTGTTACTGTTTTATAATTCAAAAGTTTAAGTTCATTAATTTGCTATTTAAAAACCTATCCAACGTGAAGTGTAATAGATTTTTTTATAAATATTTTATGTATGTACAATTGTATTTTTTAAAAATATTAAGGTGTCAAAAGATACAATAACTTATTTCAAATATACAAAGGGATGTTTAAAAAAACATACGAAATCCTAACCTCCGTGAAGCTATCTTTCGTGAAGCTTCAATATTCAATGTATGATTTCTTAAAATTCTTGCTTAAGTACAGAACCACAGTGAAACAACCAAAAATAAAAAATAATTATTTTCACTTGGGGGACATCTCAATATATTCACCCTAATAAAGAAAAAAAACATCAAAAAATAAAGAAGTAAAATTACACAATATTTTCTAAATTATTTTAAATGGTTTTTTAAACCAAAAAGTCCTACGAAGTTTTAAAATCTTTATTTAGTGTCAATATTTTCCTACGTTTAGAAAAACGCAAGATTCAAAACGCTTCGCTTTAAAGAGAGAGCTTGACGTCACGATGTTATAACAGATGTGTCAAGAATTACGAATGAATGCAAGATATGTTTTTAGTTACAAAGAGGGATTTTTTAATTTGTAATTTATCAGAATTTATACAGTGCCTAAAAAAATGTTTTTTTTTCTTCGAATTTTACCTTAATTTTTGACCGTCCTTTAAACAATGTTATTAAAAATTTATCTATCAATATTTAAAGAAAAATGGCGTGTACCTCCTACATGTAGGTAACTAAATTTTGCACTTCGGCATGGATGTGTGCATCATTGATTTACGTAGCGCTGCTTTCGTTTTACACCGGAACAAATTATTGCCCCGGATTTTAGATTATTGCAGAACCGAGTTTGCAGATATTTCGCCTAATTAAATTTTCCCTCTCATCGCTCTCAGGACTCCTGAACATTTTATTTTATTAATGATTGATAGCCAACGGCCAACGTTTATTAATAGAACTTCGCTGCACTGCCATGACGCTTTTCAAGTATTTTTAATTAGAACGGGATATAAATTTAAATGTTTTTCATGACATACATACCTGAGTACATACATGTCTATACGTGAAAATATTTATGCTTACCTACTTCAACAATATTGATCTATTTGAACTACCTATCTCAATGTTCAAAAATAGATGTTTAAAATCCAAAATATTAAAACAAAAAATTACCAATAGGACAATTTTTTCATTTAGTATTTTACAGTTTTGGGACATTTAAAACAGTTTTAAACAGATGCAGAATCGCATTGATAAATATAGTTATTATTATTTGTCCAAAAACAGTTCTATACCGTAACGGTATTACCGTTTACAAAAACGTTTTGTAGTATTAATGAAATAGAAATTGTAAATTTTACAAATTCCTTTTCGTTTAAAATTAAACTTTTTTAAAAATATTAATAAAATTTATGTAAATTAAACAACAAATTAATTTTTAATTCAATAAACTATTTTAATTGTAACAATGGTCACATTTTCAACCTACTGTTGGGTGTTTTTTTAAAATAAATTGCAAGGCATTAAAACAAATTATTTATTATATTAAAAACTATATACTTACAAAATAAACTCACTTTTTAAACAACAAGTCTGCTTCGTTTATAGAATAGACCTTAAATATTTCTTTTAAAAATTTTAATTTTCTTTGTGATATTTTTGATATTTTTATCATGCTAGATTTTACCACACTTCACTCGCACAAGTGAAATCAATAAGATTATAACACAGACTGTGGATTATAAAGTTATGTTCACCAAGAGCGCTGGCCCTTTCCCCCTCTTTTTAAGGGAAATAACAAAAATTTTGCAAAACAATAGTAAATATTAAAAAAGTATTTTCTAACAGAAATAAAATTAATTTGAATTACAACTAAAGTAATTTAAAAAAGACAAATATGCCATACTTATTATATTATTAATAACTTATTTTTGTTTATTAATGAACAAAAAATAAGTACATAATAATTTTAAATGTAAAAACTTGAAAACTTAACCTCAATTACTTACTACCGTTTAAGACTTAACATACGTACTAAATTTTCAACATTTTGGTTACAGGTAGCTTCCTCATCATCCGGCTGCCATTAAAATCAACCGAATTCCACCTGACAAGCCCTTCCTTCCAACCGAGCATCTCAACATGCAAACTGAGCTTCTGGTTGTATCAAGAAGGCATGGATGGAGGGGAAATAAAAATCGTCGGTGACAAAATCAGCAACCACCTACAGTCCATCAACAATCACACTCAGTGGTTGGTGGAGACCATAGAGGGGAATGATTCCAAAAGGTGGGAAGTCGGTATTATAAGTCTTTGGCTAATGTTACTTTTAATAGGTGGAAATTGTACACAAAGTCTGTCGGAAGGATATCGGAAAATTTCCAGATTATCCTGGAAGTGGTACCGGCGACAACAAACTTCAAATTGGGCGCTACCATTGGGATAGACAACCTACAGTTGTCACATTGCTACAACAAATTTGATGGTGTTTGTACACCTTCGCAGTACAAGTGCAAATCGGTAACACCACACTGCATAAACGCCACCAGTGTTTGTGACATCACCAAAGATTGTGAGCATGGGGATGATGAATCACAAAGTTGCGGTATAATTGCGAAAAATAATTGTTAACGAACAAAATTGCATTTTTTACGTTTTAGATCATATGCCTTTTGGTTCGCGTTGCAACTTCGAGCAGGATTGGTGCGGTTGGCATAATACAGACGTTAAAATTCTAGAATGGACAAGACATAACGGTTCCACCCCCACAAACTTCACAGGCCCCAATTTCGACCACACCTATCAGAACGCGTCGGGAAATTATCTTTACGTTAACATGCTTAAGGAAAGAGCCACTATGGCCAGCAGAGCCATTTTGAAGAGTATGGTTTTTAACCCACCCCCTCGAGTCCATGGAAACAGTTCTTCTGGATATTACAACTCTTGTACAGTAAGTTAATAACAAATTGCCACTAAACGGTGCACAGTGTTTCCATTCTCGAAATTTTCGGCAAAATATCAAGGAGTAGTCGGATTCTCCTAAAAATCCGTATATAGAGGTTTTTAGGGTCGCTGATAACGATTCTGGAATCAGAATTCCAAAATTCAAAATGGTAGATACAAAATGGCGGACATATTTGTCAAAAAATTGACGGAATAAATTGAAAATCACCATACAGGGGTTTTTGTGGTCTCTGATAATGAATCTGAAATCTGAATTCCAAAATTCAAAATGATGGACGGACATTTTTATCAAATATTGTCGAAATTAATTAAAAACCCATGAAATAAAACATCTTTTTATAAAATAGCTTATACATTACATTTATATGATATTATTTAATACCTACATATATATTAAACAATCTCCGTCACTGGATTCGCTCATTGTATTATTAGCAGAACATGGGAAACCATCAGAAGATAGCAACAGTTTTATTGCTTCGCGGGACAAAGATTTGCTCTTTTTCGGAGCAAATTTTCTGAAGCTAGAAATATACGGATCGGAAGATGCCATAAGCCAATGGAAAACATCTTCCATCGTTTTCTCCCGAGAAACTTTCAAAATTTAAACAGATTTTAAATTTGTATTATTTCCTTTACTTAATATTTTAGCAACGATTTCTTAATTCGCTAAAAAAATTGTCAACACAAATAACCACAATTCAAATTTGACATTAACACACTACAATGCGCATGCGGAGTTGTTTTAACGCACCTACAAGAGGTGGGTTAAATATGTAAAATCGGTGTTAAATATCTTAGTAGTCACGAACGATTTACGCAAGTAAAAGTCTAAACACCGCTGTTGTAATAAACGTTTTGAGTTAAATCCGAGTGAATCGAGTAAATGTCATGAAGGCAACCCAGAAATAAAATTTTTTTATATTTTGTAAAGCAAAAACACAGACACGCGCTCGACATAGGCTTAAAATCGCGACCACAACCGTGCCAGAGCTCTCAAGAACATGTAGTTTTAAAGAGCCGGGGGCAAGTTGGGGCAGCTAATTTATAGATGGCTTGATAGACAAAACTCTAAGCTATTCAACGGATCTTGAACTGATGCCTTACAATTCATTACAATTTTTGTAGCTCAATTGTTCTAAAAGCTCGATTCAAAGTTTGCGATTTTAACAGACCGATCTTGTCGGTTACAATAACCCGTTGCACAAGCAAAATCTACGAAAAACAAATACATATCTGAATTTTAGAAACCTTGAAGATCAAACCGCATAACAATCGGACACACCAAACACAAGTTATTCACTTTTAAACAATAAACAATTTTTCGCAGCGATCGTGTGTAAAGTACCTTCAACTAAAAGCGTCAAGTTTAAACTGATGTACAAGACAAAATATACGTATTTTATGTAATTTTTTTTCAATACAGAATGGAGACAGGTATTAACTACCCATCTAACTAAAAATTTACCTGAAAGAAAATGTCAATTTTTGAGGTTTTGCCGATATTTTCCAGAATTGAAATACTGTGCGGCGTACAATGTTATTTTTTAGATTCGGATGTATATGCACAAGACAGGCAAGCACAAAAGCGCCCTTCTAATTCAAGTAACAGAAATCCAACCCAACGATAACGTAACCACTGAGTTACTGTGGACATACAATGAAGATCACGGTGATAGATGGGTCAGGCAAGTCGTCATAGTACCGAATGTTACCCAAAGATACTTCGTCACTGTAACAGCCAAAAAGGGTTACCGATACATCAGCGATATAGCTATAGATGATGTGTCCTTGAGCCCTGAATGTTTCGGGTTGAATATTCCGGCTTCGGAGCTAGGAGACTATAGCTATTGGAATCCTGTGGATTTGGATGCGGCTAATAGAGAACCCCACAGGGATTTTGTAAACGTGACGAGTTATAAGCTCACAACTTGCAACAACAAGGGTCGATTCGGTCCGAATAAAGACCAATGCCAAAAAGCTTACAATAGCACCAATATAAGTATAAAGGTGGTGCATGAAGCTGGTTTGACGGGGGTACAGAAGTGGATTGTACCTAGTGATGGATACTACACGTAAAATATGTTTTGTTTTATATGAGTTGAGTAAATAAAATTTTATTATTGTAGGTTTATTTTGGCAGGAGCTAGCGGTGGTAAGGGTAGTAGTGCTATGGGTTCATCCAGAGGTGCTTTAGTTAGAACTGTGCTAGAGTTAAGGAAACACCAAGAAGTATTTATTCTTGTTGGGCAGGAGGGAAACAGTGCTTGTTATAAGGTAGAACAAATTAAGATTTTTGGATTATAGTGATTTTATTTGTTATTTCCTACATTTTAGAGCCTCGACCGTAGAGGAAACTCATCCTGTTATTCCGATAGAAACATAACGTCTACAGGGATAAGAGCTGTTTATAATTTGGACATAAACGACAGTGGTGGAGGAGGAGGGGGAGGAACCTTTATTTTCTTGGTATAGAAAGCTTTTAAATACAGTCACAGGCAAAATAATCGATCCACACAAATTTTCGATGAATTTCAATCGCAACGTACGTTTATAATATACAGGTTTACAAAAAAATTGTTTTTTACCATAAGTTTAAGACACTCTGTGGAGTGGCAAAACCGTTTATTGTTCTAAATTAAGTTTTATTTATCAAGTCACATCTATTCTTAACAGTTTTGTTTTTGGTTCACCTCGATATATTTATTTTTGTGGAAAATATGTATTTTTTAAAAAAACATTGCAATTTCCAATATTTTTCTGTATGAAGAACTAAGGTTGCTATGGTCCATCCATAGGCTATGGAGAATGACAGTGACAGTTTTGTTGAATCATCCCATACTTGGACATGTCATACACGGCTTTCAATAGCTATCAAATTGTTTTTTGCAAATTAATGTTTAAATTTTGAGGTGTCTTCTTACTTTAAAAAATGGATATGTCCCCGACTGATGTTGCCAGAGCAATTAATTTAATCCAGGATGGACGGTCACAGTATTACGTGGCAAGTGTTTTAAACGTCACAAGAAGTAAAGTACAAAGGGCAACATCAGTCGGAGACATTTTTAAAAGTAAGAAGACACCTCAAAATTAACACATTAATTTATAAGAAACAATTGGATAGCTTTTGAAAGCTGTATATGACTTCCAAGATGGGATGATTCAACAATACTGTCACTGTCATCCTCCGTAGGCTATGGATGGACCGTAGGCTATGGATAGCCACCTTAGTTCTTCATACAGGAAAAATATTGGAAATTGCAATGTTTTTAAAAAAAATCCATATTTTCCACAAAAATAAATATATCAAGGTGAACCAAAAACAAAACTGTTAAAAATAGATGTGACTTGATAATTAAAACTTAATTTAGAACAATATACGGTTTTGCCACTCTACAGAGTGTCTTAAACTTATTGTAAAAAAAATCTTTTTGTTTAAACCTGTATATTAGGGTGGGCCGAAAATCCGCTTTTTTAGAATTTCGTTTAGTAATAGCAAAAATTTTGTTTATTATGTTGTAAACAAATTTTGTGTAAAAGATTAAATTTTTCGATCAACATCCTAGGCTCGCCCAACGCAATTAAAGATCAAAATGTTCAAAAAATGTTGATACTAAAATCGGGTTTATTTCTGAAACTATCCATCTGAAGTAATTTTGTGTAAGGACCTTTTTTGTAGAGCATAAAATTTCCGATCGAAATAAGTTAGGAAAATTTTTTTTTTAACATTTTGATCTTTAGTTGCGTTGCAACGCGTTGGGCGAGCCTAGGATGATGATCGAAAATTTTAATCTTTTACACAATTTTTTTTTACAACAAATTTCTGAAACTATCCATCTGAAGTAATTTTGTGTAGAGCATAAAATTTCCGATCAAAATAAGTTAAGAAAAATTTTTTTTTGAACATTTTGATCTTTAATTGCGTTGGGCGAGCCTAGGATGTTGATCGAAAATTTTAATCTTTACACATTTTTTTTTTTACAACATAATGAACAAAATTTTTGCTATTACTAAACGAAATTCTAAAAAAGCGGATTTTCGGCCCACCCTACTGTATATTATAAACGGACGTGTATTTTTTAGTAATTTTTAAAATGTAACCGATTCTCCATTAATGTATCTACAATATTCTTTAATATTTGTTTAAATCCGAAATCAAATAAAAAAGTTATTTGCGATTGAAATTCATCGAAAATTTGTGTGGATAGATTATTTTGCCTGTGAGTGTATTAAATTTAAAAAAAGTAACAAACAATTAATTTTCTTCCAGAAAAATCGAAGCAGTCATAAAATGCCCCTTGCCATTGCTGGTGGTGGTGGTGGGTTGGGTTTGGGTCGATTTATTGACAATGGTAAACAACATGGACAAGACATAAACACCTCAAGACCACCTGTTACAGGGAAAATGTATGGAGTAAAGTAAGTAATTAAAATGATGATAAAAAAGATATTGTAACGTTTTTACTGTTCGTAGTGCGAATTAAAACACGCACTGGTTTATTAACGAACTAAACTATTTATTTTATAACTAAATTACACTTAAAACACTAAGAAACTATAAAACTAACTAAACACTTATCCACTAATTATTTATATATCACCACTGTACAAGAGTCTATTTATTTGCACGTATATTTATTTATTTTATCGCGAGTACCAAAGCTTGACTGACTGCTCCATGCTGCGCTGTTTCTTATACGAGCCCTGTCTCAGTGAAGTTGGCCCAACTAACAAAAATAGTTTTTTGAAGGTATTTAGAATATTATACGGTAATAAATTAAAATTAACACATTGTTTTTATTAAATTTTCTACCGTTAAATTGTATTTTTAGGTACCTAATAAAAAAATATTTAAAATTCTCTTATATTGTCCGTAAACCAAAAATTAAGAAAAAAAATATTTAAAATAAATACATTTTAATTGGAAACTATCACTGCGTAACATCTCCTTTATGGCTTATTACTGCCTGTATAGGTCTCGGCATGGTGTCAACCAATTTTTGACAATCATCCGGCGTAAAATTATTCCAAATTTCTTGCAGGCGAGCACGCAACTCTAAGACGGTTCTTGCGGGCTGTTCTCTGAGCTTCTTTTTCATAATATGCCACATAGTTTCTATAAGCGAAAGATCTGGACTACTAGATGTCCATTTTAAAAGTGAAATATTATTTTCTATTATCCAAGCTTTCACTTTTTTAGCCGTATGACACGCTGCACCATCTTGTTGGAAGATGCATTCAATATCATTTAAACGCATTTCTTCAATTTGCGGTTTTAAGTTATTTTTTAGGACGTAAATATATTTATCAGCATTCATAATGCCCTCTACAAAGTCTAATTTACCGATACCTTTAGCTGACATAGATCCCCAAATCATCACAGAGGCCGGAAACTTTACTTTTTTCTTAAGACAGTCATTGTGAAAGACTTCTGCTTTAGTTCTAATGACTCGGCTTCGATTATCACCAACGCAAACTTCAAATCTAGCTTCGTCACTCCATATAATTGAATCCCATTGATTTTGACACCAAGTCCTGTGCTCTTTTGCCCAGAGAAGTCTATTTTTCTTCTGTTTTTTTGTCAATGAATGTTTTTCCTTTGCCTACAGATAGTAAAATTAAAAATCGTATACATTATAAGCAAACCTTGTAAGTTTTAAACCCAAGTTTTTGAGCAGCTCTGACAGGTTGCTCTTGAAAAACATTTACTCGTTGCCCGATTCCACAAAACTTTTAATTCACCGTAATTAGCCCTACGATTTTGAACGATAATTCTTCTTAAATTTTTATCAGAATAGTGAGGACGACTTCCATTTTAAGGTTTCTGCGCCACAGATCCTGTAGTTTTGTGCAGTTTAATAATATTTCGCACTGTATATCGTGAAAAATTAACAGTTTCAGCGATTTGTGCAGCGGATTTTCTTTTTAAATGCAAGTGATTTACTTTTCTTATTTTTTCAGAAACAGCTTTTCCTCGGGACATTATTATGTGTTAACCACACCGAAAGCATAAATATATACTGGAATGTCACTACCGACTTGCTTAAATGTCAACTATTATCTTTAGTTTTAGCATAGCCAACTTAAAAAATCTGGCCATCCAAGTTAATGCATTTTTGTCGATTTTTTTGTATTATAACCAAACATCCAACTTAAAACTAAATAATATACATAAACATATTTTTAAAAAAATTTTACAACATGAAGATTGACCAAGAATTACATATGATAAAAAATTGTTGGCTTTTCATCGCATAAAATTACAAATTTTATATTTTGAGTGGTTGAGCCAACTTCACTGAGACAGGGCTCGTATATTCAGTGCCTACGTGCCTTCCCGAATATTCCAGCGAGCTCCGAACCGCTCTCGATCACTCGAGCGCTGACTCACCGGCGATGACTTATCATTCCGAGATCCAATATAAACAACTCTTGAACTTTTTAGATCATCAGGGGCCGGCGGTGGTTGGAGAATGTTTGAAGGGCTTGTGGACCCGGCCCATAAACAAATGATGGGCAGTTCTTTGACCCAAGGTGGCGGTATTGGAGGGAAAGCATGTTACAACTCCACCGATGAACGTGGAGACGGTGGATTCGGAGGTGGAGGCGGCGGTTGCAGGTAAAACATTGTATTAAATAATTCTTGAGTATAAAATATAGAACTGTATAGGATGACTCCGCGTTTGAATACCAAATCAGAACTGTATTGAATCGTGCTTTGTTTTTATATTTTTCGGCTCTATACCTATGCCCGACTATATTTAAAGTCAAACTCAATGGTGTCTTACAAGATACATTATTTTGATTTTCTATATTCAACAGAGAGGTAGAAACTCGACCCTGTCGAATGGTGCAGTCATTTATGTCTCTAGAAATTATTGAAAAAGGGTTCAGTCCAATGGTGCAGCAACTTCGGATACCTATTCACTTCAGAGACATAGAAACTCAAGCTTTTCCAATTTTACTGGCAATAATTTTCGTTAATGTCCCTGAGAATTATACAAAAACAGCGCAATGCAATATCGCAACGGTTTCGACTTCTCTTTACTCTACCAAGTTATAGAAACTGGAGTCTCTCTAATACTGTTCTAGTCAATATTTCTGAGAGTATAAAAAGAGGGTGTAATATTGCAAGAAGTTTTGATCTTTTGATGGATGCAAGTGGTTTGAATTTTCTCATTTCTGCATATGATTTTGTTGAAAATAGTTCCTTTCTTTGGTTCCTTTGTCTGATTTTTATTTACCGTAACAACTCGGGTATGTAAAGCACAGAGGATATGATGTAAAGTATATTTATGTATTTTATAAAGTACCTATATTTGTATTAAAAATTTCAGAGGTTATGTTGAAAAATGATCGATATGCTATTAAACTTTAATAATTTAGTAATGAGGTCTGTTGGTAGACCCTGCACTATCTCCACTGGTATATGTTAGTACAGCAATATTTAAATCTGGTTGATGAAAAAGTACACACCAGTGCAGGTTATTGTAGCATCTACGAACAAATGAATTAATGGCCCATTGGCAATTATTCCTTTAGTAAAAATATTCAACACAGCTTAATTAATTAATAAAATGAAAAAAATCACAATCATGTCGTATATAGTTTTTTTTGAAGCATAAAATAGTTTTCTAGTTTAAAAGTGAAATTACGACCTCTATACTGTGGAGAGTATTGAAACGCTCGACTGACGAATACAACTCTATACCCTGGCGAGATTTAGAAAACTGTATTCAAATGTGGCGTCATCCAATACACTTCTATATTTTTCCGTTTGCTGTATAAAACCTTTTTTTCCTAAGATATGGAGGGGGTGGAGGCGGTTACTCTGGGGGTAATGCCACATCCCCGGAAACCACAAACGGCGAAGGCGGTTATTCCTACCTGGACATCGCCAGAACGATTCCCAACCTCTCAGAGGTTTTGTCTGGGTATAATGTAGGTCCAGGTTACATGCTGATCATACCAACGATTCCCGGATGTAATTGCGACTACAGATGTGTGGCTTTGGATGCTAGAAAATCCACAGTGGCTTGTATATGCCCCAAAAATTGGAGGCTGGATGAAGACAAGCAAACATGCATCCGTGAGTTAAGATTCTACACTCACAGGCAAAATAATCGATCCACACAAATTTTCGATGAATTTCAATCGCAAATAACTTTTTTATTTGATGTTGGATTTAAACGAATATTAAATAATATTGTAGATAAATTAATGGACAATCGCTCACAATTTAAAAAATTACTAAGAAATAGACGTACGTTTATAATATACAGGTTTAAACAAAAAAATGTTTTTTACCATAAGTTTAAGACACTCTGTAGAGTGGCAAAACCGTATATTGTTCTAAATTAAGTTTTATATATCAAGTCACATCTATTCTTAACAGTTTTGTTTTGGTTCACTTCGATATATTTATTTTTGTGGAAAATATGGATTTTTTAAAAAAACATTGCAATTTCCAATATTTTTCTGTATGAAGAACTAAGGTTGCTATGATCCATCCATATGCTATGGAAAATGACAGTGACAGTTTTATTGAATCATCCCATACTTGGACATGTCATACACGGCTTTCAAAAGGTATCAAATTGATTTTTATAAATTAATGTGTTAATTCACTGTCATCCTCCGTAGGCTATGGATGGACCATAGCAACCTTAGTTCTTCATACAGGAAAAATATTGGAAATGGCAATGTTTTTTAAAAAAATTCATATTTTTCACAAAAATAAATATATTAAGGTGAACCAAAAACAAAACTCTTAATAATAGATGTGACTTGATAATTAAAACTTAATTTAGAACAATATACGGTTTTGCCACTCTACAGAGTGTTTTAAACTTATGGTAAAAAAAATCTTTTTGTTTAAACCTGTATATTATAAACGTACCTACGTGTATTTTTAAGTAATTTTTAAAATGGGAGCGATTCTCCATTAATGTATCTACAATATTCTTTAATATTCGTTTAAATCCGAAATCAAATAAAAAAGTTATTTGCGATTGAAATTCATCGAAAATTTGTGTGGATCGATTATTTTGCCTGTGAGTGTATTATATGATTACTAGGGTGGTTCATTTCCGCAAAGTTTTTGTTTTCTTCGGTGCTCAAGCAAAATATTAATCTGCATATAGGAAAAAACATTCTCACCAAGTTTGAGCTCTTAATATTAATTTTAAGCACATACTATTTAAATTTAAAGTTTTACCGTTTAAAATGCATGTAAAAAATATATATATTTTTTTCAAATTTCTAATGCTTACCCACCTTTGATAATATTGCAAATCGGTTTAATACACCTTATGGGGAATTTCACGCTCTTTAAAATTGCTTTTCAGTTTTTTTTGTAACTCGCATTGGTTCACCAGTAGGAGTCGTCAAAGGACAGTTTTTAAAAAAATCGTTTTTTTTTATTTTTTTGAGCAAATCGCCTAAAGTAGTGAGAAAAAAGGGCTGATTCATAAAAAAAAGTTATCCATGTCATAATAGCCATGATTTAACAAATACTTGTCAGACAGATGTCAACGTGTATTCTAATATTGTATTTAATAAAATATGTTTAACGTGTACAGTGTATTAATTAAAGTAGTATAACAACTATATTACGACAATCCAACTAATATTTAATGAATTTGCTGCCATTTTTATAACTGAAAACGTAAGAAATTGATAAATACCAACCCATAATGTTATTTAGATTGATTTTTTCTATTTATTATTATTATATTTCCCTACACTAAGAACTTTTTTAAAATTATTATGATTTCTCACTCATAATGAATATGAAAACAACACATAAATTCATAAAAAAACAACAAAACTTTAATCGGAATGTACAGAATGTTATGTAACATATTTCAAATTTCGCTTAAAAAAATTAAATAATCTTCATTTATATTTTTTTGCTATATGACAGAGATGTTGAAAAATTGCAAAATCCACGTTACAATTTTCTTATTGTTTTTTTTATGAATTTATCTGTTGTTTTCATATTCATTATAAGTGAGAAATCAATAATTTTAAAAAACTTCTTAGTGTAGGGAAATATAATGATAATAAATAGAAAAAATCAATCTAAATAACATTATGAGTTGGTAATTATCAATTTCTTACGTTTTCAGTTATAAAAATGGCTGTAAATTCATTAAATATTGGTTGGATAACTTTTTTTATGATTCAGCCTTTTTTTCTCCCTACTTTTTGCGGTTTGTTAGAAAAAATTTAAAAAAAAACGATTTTTTTCAAAAACTGTCCTTTGACGACTCCTACTGGTGAACCAATGCGAGTTACAAAAAAAAACTCAAAAGCAATTTTAAAGAGCGTGAAATTCCCCATAAGGTGTATTAAACCGATTTGCAATATTGTCAAAGGTGGGTAAGCATTAGAAATTTGAAAAAAAAATATATTTTTTAAATGCATTTTAAACGGTAAAACTAGTAAGTACTTAAAATTTATATTAAGAGCTCAAACTTGTTGAGAATTTTTTTTCTATATGCAGATTAATATTTTGCTTGAGCACCGAAGAAAACAAAAACTTTGCGGAAATGAATCACCCTAATGATTACCTTAATAAATGTTGTTTTTAGCACTGCCCAGTGTGGATGATTCTTACCCGACGTGGTTCGTCATTGGCCTCATAGCAACTATAATCTGTCTATCGCTCGCATTCGGGATGGTGTGTTTCATTCTCTGTAAGTACTATTTGCCCTTGGACCCCCCTATTGATTTAATGTAGTTTACCCGAAAAATTTTCCAGACAACCGGTACCAACACAGGGCCACCGGCATGCTGCGACGCAAGATGCTTTCCGGAGCCGATCTGCAACTCGACAGACTCCGGATGACCTCGGACAGCATGATGACGGAGTACAATCCCAACTACGAGTTCGGCGGAGTGGTGTACACTCTGAAGGATCTCAAGGATATACCGAGGGATCAATTGAGATTAGTCAAGTAAGAAATAGTTTTAGACCTGGGTCTCTTACCCTGATAGCAAAATTTGATTCTATATGACCCGGAATAATGGAATATTCTTAGAACCTTCCCTTATTGCTAAGAATGTTCTTAGGGACTTTTAAAACATTCAATAGATACCCTTTTAATGATGCAATTAGATTCTTAGAAGCTTCTTAAAACCTTCCTAAAAAGCATTCTAAGAACATTTTAAGAATACGTTTTTGGAATGTTCTTAGAAGGTTTCTTATGGAGCTTCTAGGAAGCTTTTGAGAATATTTCCAAATATGTCAGATACCCACGTTCTAATATGTTGGATTCTACATTCGTAAAATTCTTCAGGAGGCGACAAATACGCCTCACTGTCATAATATGACAGTGAAATGTATTTGTCATCGCCTTAAAAAAAATTGCGACATATTAATATATATTTATTTAAAAATATTAAATAAACAATTTGACCTCTAAACCCTAAGTTGTATGACATTATTTCATAAAAAGTAAAATTGGAAAATTTTGTGGGATAAGTCAGATTAGATTGAAGTTTTAGATAGTTAGGATTATTATAAATAAAAATGTTAATTCAGAAATAAAAAATTGGTACACAAATTAATAAATATGTATTTTTAACATAAAATAAAATATAAAAAAACAAAATATTTCCTTATAAAATAATTCTTATAGGTACCTTTATACGTAGATTATGGTATATTTTACTATTATATAGGTACCTAACTGAACTGAATATGCTTAACAGAATGTTTCAGGAATATTCCTAAATTATCTTTCTATAGCAATTACTTTCTCAAAATTCTAAGCATATGTTTAGAGTGGATTAATTTTTACCACTAAACTTTGCACCTTCTAAGAACCTGCCTATAGGCCAGTGAGAATATTCTTAGGATTATGCTATATTTCTTTTAAGCATGTTCTTTAGAAGAAATATAGCATGATCCTAAGAATATTCTCACTGGAAGATTTAAAAAACATTCTTAGAACATGACTAGAAGAAATATAGTAGGATCCTAAGAATATTCCCACTGGGAGGTTTAAACAACATTCTTAGAATAAACTGTGCTATCAGGGCTGGGTCTCTTAACAGCTGTTAAATAAAACTAAATGTAGTATGGTTGAGTATATTTAGGTATAAGTATTTACAAATAGTGGGTCTTTCCATCTTAAATCCACCAGGCTAAAAGGGTTCCTTTGTGGAAATTAGTAAAAATAAGAGTTTTAAAAGTCATACTTTCTCTTAAAAACTCTGAATAAGACTTATTAAGTCGGAAAAAGTCTGAATAAGTCTTAGTTGTAACAATTTTTTATTTTTTAATACGCATTTTTACAGGTCAAATTATTTGTTGATTCAATTTTATTTTTATATCTACTGGCTTCATTTTATAGTCAACCAACTAAAAAGTTTGTTGTTTTTTTTAATAAAAATGCAATTTTACAGTGAAGGAACTAAAAAGTTTATTGTTTTTTTTTATAACAGAAAAGATTTCAAAATTGGTTGTGAAATTAAAAGCTTGCAAACCAAAGTCCATTTGTGCTGGCTTAAACTTTGTTCCACTTGTTTTTTTTTCCTTCCGGAACTTCTTTATTTCATTATCATCAAGAAGTTTTGGTCGGTTAACAGATATGAGTGAGGCAGTCGCGAAACTATTTCTAAGAAAGGGAAATAAGTAGGTATTAAGCCTAAGATGTCTAGAAACTAATGATAACAAATTTTCATTTGATGTCATATTTCCTGTTTTTATTTATTGTCAGAGATTCCCTACAATGGCCACACTATTTTGCGTTCATAATGACTTCATTATAACACCGCTTGCAGGTACAGGTTTTTTAGGTTTTTTGAAAAAACTACTCATTCAAATAACCTCATTTTAGGTTTTTTAGGTTTTTTATCTTCAAATGACAAAAATCGCTTTTTTGAGGTTAACATGTTTTAAAACAAAGATAATAGATTATATTATCTTTACTTTGTAAAACATGTTTACTAGAATATTGATCAGATATCTGATAATATAATCACTGACTGACCGAGTCTCAGTCTCAGTCACTGAGAGAGAATTTAAACTTCCATTGAACTTCATATTTTATGATTATGTTGATCCATTTTTATTTTTAAATAAATATTATGTATTTATCTATATAAAAAACCTTAAAACCTACAATTTATTTTTCCTATTCTTAGGTTTTTCCAACCCTGGTAATGAGATACTTTATCCCACCCAAAATTTTGATTTTATAGGTTGGCTATAATATTTTGCATATTGGTAATAATATTTTTATGATTTTTCTAGTACTTACGAGACTTTTCTAGCAATAAATTTTGTTTAACACCAAAGAAAATCCTTTTTTTATTCTTTAACATTAACAGCCGCTTATTGTAAATAAGTAAATTAAGGACGGCATTGCGAATCGATTTTGACATTAAATGTCAAATCAATGACTGTGATACCAACTATTTAAAGTAAAATTCGACCAAATTAAATTTAAGGTATAAAATTAATTTTTTTTATAGATTTTTTGCAAAATTGATAAAATAGCATAAAGAACTCATGTCATAAGATCTTTTGTCGCACTCGTCCATTTCAATAAATTGTCCGCGTGCGACAAAATGACATCTTATGACATTAGTTCTTTAATATACTATTATAATCGTTTTAAAATATTTCAATGTTTTTATTTAGTAGTTTTAAAACCAAAAAATGCTGAGCAATTACTTACACCTCTTTGATTCTAACCACCTCAATTATTAATTTTATTTTATAAAAAGTTATTGCGTATATTTTCATAGTAAAATATTAATATTCACTTACCAGCAGAACAAAGGTTTTAATTTGTTTTCCCTTTCTTGAAAAAAATTGTAACGATTGAAACATTTTCGGCCGAGTTATCGCATTATCAAGAAACAATGTCACTCGTAAAAAAAAAATTGATGTTTCATCCATTTTTCAAAAATTAAAAGAGAAACTGTAAATAAAATTTGCCTGGTTGATTTTGTATGGAAAGAACCTAATACAAAAGTAAAAATATGGCAATAACACAATACTTTGATTAATATCAAGGATTTTTAGCCTCAATTCCAAAAATATCCTTAAACATATAACCCAGGTTATACCCATCAAGATATTTGTTGAATTCTCCCATGTCACTGTGGTTTCCATGGTGTCCGTGAGTGGGAAAGCTAATTTCTTCAAACGACTTAAATTTTAGAAACGCCTCATCTTTTTCTTTATTTTCTTCGGTACATTTGCAGAAGATTTTCTTCCAAGTCATAGATTTAATAATTTGCCACCAGCTGTCGCAATCTGATATTGGACCTTCTATGCAAATTATTCCCGGTTTACCGGGTAAACAGAAACCGGTTAGCGAGTGGTTGTGAGCTTGTTCCAATATTTCCCGCCTTTTAGTCTTGCTGTAGATGTGGTGCGCGTAAATCCAATACCGCACCAAGTCCTCGTTTTTCGTATTATCATCCACTGAGATTTCCGCTTTAGTTTCGATGTATTTTTCGTAGTTTTCCTGAAGCCATGTAACAGCTAAGAATATACACGGTTCCCCTCTATCTAAGCTCCCCAAAAACGCACCTATTTCCTTATTTAAAGCCGTGTGTTGTTGTCTGGTCAAACTAGAGTTCCTAATCGATATTTCCGGAATAACATCTGGGTATTCGTGAGGTAGTTCCACGCATATTTCGAACTTTATGTCGTCCATTGCAATGTTGATAGAGTAATCTAGGTTACCGCTGGGAGGAGGCATGTTGTCTTGTGTGAACTCTTTTATTTCGTAGAAACTCGGAAAGTCCACTTTAATTTCTCCAGGATTGCAGAACATCGACTGTAACGTTTCCAATTCGTCAAGTTGTTGTAGAAGGTTTTCTTTTAACTTTACCATATCTGAAACAAAGCACAGTTTATTCTAAGAATGTTTTTTAAACCTTCCAGTGGGAATATTCTTAGGATCATGCTTTATTTCTTCTAGTCATGTTTGAATGTTTTTTAAACCTTCCAGTGAGAATATTCTTAGGATCATGCTATATTTCTTCTAGTTATGTTCTAAGAATGTTTTTTAAACCTTCCAGTGAGAATATTCTTAGGATCATGCTATATTTCTTCTAAAGAACATGCTTAAAAGAAATATAGCATAATCCTAAGAATATTCTCACTGGCCTATAGGCAGGTTCTTAGAAGGCGCAAAGTTTAATGGTAAAAGTTAATCCACTCTAAACATATGCTTAGAATGTTGAGAAAGTAATTGCTATAGAAAGTTAATTTAGGAATATTCCTGGAACATTCTGTTAAGCATATTCAGTTCAGTTAGGTACCTATATAATAGTAAAATATACCATAATCTACGTATAAAGGTACCTATACTTAGTATTAAATACTAAGTAAAAAACACAACCCAAAATATTTTTTTATAGTTATTTGTCAAATTAAAACAATATTCGATAACAAAAATACTTTTACTATTATAGCCGGATAATTTAGATACCTATAATAGGTATCTAAATTATCCGGCTTTTGCATAAAATCTCCTATCCAACTTAAATACAAAGAAAAATGTTTTTTTTATGAAGAACTTTTTGGTTTTTTCTTTTATAAAGAATTATTTTATAAGGAAATATTTTGTTTTTTTATATTTTTTTTAATGTTAAAAATAAATATTTATTAATTTGTATACCGATTTTTTATATCTGAATTAACATTTTTATGTATAATAATCCTAACTTCAATCTAATCAATCTAATGAAACATCTAACGTATTTGTCGCCTCCTGAAAAATTTTACGAATGTAGAATCCAACTTATTAGAACGTCGGTATCTGACATATTTGGAAATATTCTCAAAAGAAACCTTCTAAGAACATTCCAAAAACATATTCTTAAAATGTTCTTAGAATGCCTTTTAGGAAGGTTTTAAGAAGCTTCTAAGAATCTAATTGCATCATTAAAAGGGTATCTATTGAATGTTTTAAAAGTCCCTAAGAACATTCTTAGCAATAAGGGAAGGTTCTAAGAATATTCCATTATTCCGGGTCATATCTTCTTAGAAGATTCTTAAAATCAAAATTTGGGGAATTCAGGGAATTAACAATTTTTTAGGGCACTTGGTCAAGGAGCTTTCGGAGAAGTCTACCAAGGCTTCTACAGGCAGAGACCGTGCGATACCGTCGAAATGCCGGTTGCAGTGAAAACTCTACCGGAAATGTCGACCTCCCAAGCGGAAATGGACTTTCTCATGGAGGCCCTGATTATGTCGAAATTTAACCACCCGAATATCGTCCATTTCATCGGCGTTTGCTTCGATAAGCATCCTAGATTCATCGTCTTGGAGCTCCTAATTGGTGGGGATTTGAAAAACTTTTTAAGGGAGTCTAGACCTAAACCAGTAAGATGTCATATTTTAAAGAAATAGCAATAATAGTAATAATTTGATTTTAGGAAAGAGGTACTTCTTTGACGATGAAAGACTTGGTGCTTATAGCTGTAGATGTTGCCAAAGGTTGCAAATACTTGGAGGATAACAGATTCATACACAGAGACATAGCGGCCAGAAATTGCTTGCTTACCACCAAAGGTCCCGGAAGGGTGGTGAAGATAGCCGACTTCGGCATGTCCAGAGACGTCTACAGGTCGGATTATTATCGCAAAGGCGGCAAAGCGATGTTGCCGATAAAGTGGATGCCGCCTGAGGCCTTTTTGGACGGGATATTCACCAGCAAAACAGACGTTTGGTCTTTTGGAGTTCTTCTATGGGAGATTATGTCCATGGGCTACATGCCTTACACGGGCTGCGCCAATCGGGAAGTGATGCAACTGGTGACGAGCGGGGGTAGACTGGACCCCCCCACGAACTGCCCAGGACCCATATACGGCATCATGACGCAGTGCTGGCACCCAGCCCCCGAACAAAGACCAACGTTCTCCACCATATTGGAGAGGCTGGGGTACTGCGTGCAAGATACGCATGTCATGACGGCGCCGTTGCCGGTTTTCCACAGGCCTCCTTCGAACGAGAGGGATACGACGGTTATGAGACCTGCCAGCTCTGACGAAAACTGTTTACAGGTATTTAGATTACACTAGTTTACAAAATGAGATATGAATTTTCAATTGTTTTTTTTCAATTTTTGGATGTGTTTTGACGTTTTTGAGTATACGCTAAAGAAGTATCGGGTTTAATACTCGATTTCGATTGATTATTCTTTATATCATTGATTAAGAAACTCAACGCTTAAATGCTTATATAGTTACGTTAGTGTGTGTATTTTATCTAAGGGATCATGGTGAATTATTGTGTTTTTAATTGTAAATAAAATTCAAGAACTAAATCGTTGCATTTTCATGTTTTGCCAAAGGATCCAATTGGGTAAGTACATTTGTTGGTGCAGAATTAACTAACGATAACTTTACCAAATATAATTTATATTTAAATTTGGACGTTTTTAAGAAATTAGTAAAAAATAATTTTTGCACAAACATAACCTTAAAATCAACCATTTTTATATTTGAGTTCTCTAAAAAACTGCATTTTAAACCACAAAATATACCTACGAATTCAAGGCAACATAATATTATATATAATACATAATATAAAGGTATTTTACCGTTGAGTGGAGACTTTCTCAATGAACGCTTTTAATAATGCTAAATGCTGTTTAAATTTAGACGACTTATTTGTTTGACGATTTTTACTGAATTGAAATGTTTACACTTTTCACGTTAATCCCTACTAAAATGTGTATTTATTGTATCAAATAGGTACAATTTATATTTACAGAGACTGTATGCAATTTATTTCTTCATTCCGATTAACACTGTTTATTGAAAAACCGATAAAAACTCAACCCAGGGTTTCTTCTTGAAATACACCCAACAACAAAACAAATCGAGCCACGGTTTTTTTTCGATATTTTTTTTTTACATTTTACGGCTTTATTCTCAAAAACACTCGTGTGTAACACAAGCGTTTGACAGCTGATTATCAAAAGTTGTACTTTTGTTAAGATGATAACAGCCGAGTGGTGGCGCTACCAGCGATACTTCTTTAGCGTATAATTCAATAAAATGAAGAAAAAACCTAAATATTCTCGAAAATCTGAATTTTAATCTTCCACTGAAAAATTCATAACTTCGCCATTTATCCATGGATTTTTATCAACAGCAGCTTATTTTTTTCCTTTAAGTATTATCTATACGTAAAACAAATCAAACTGGACTTATCTTTTCGATTTCCATCTTTCCCAGAAAGATATGTAAATTTTCGACCTCGATTTTTGTAAAAAAAGGACTTTTTAAACTTAATAAAATCGCTAGCATCGAACTACTGGTCGTTACCAAAACTATACAAGAGAAAGTTGTGGAAGGCTTAATTACCCAGTCAGCATCCAATTCAGAAATATTTCAGTATGAAGTCTTTTAAACAACTTCGTGTAGAAGTTCTAACATGGCGTCTTAAAAAGCTCCTTTTTATGAGCTCAGAATTCTAAGCTGTTAATGAACTCATAAATAAGAAGTCAATTTTTTTACGTACAAATGAAGATCTTTTCTTGACCTCTTTTTGAACAATTTATTTTGAGCTTACAGAGTATTCTTTTTTCTTACTTCCAATTGAAATCATACTATTAACTCTTTTAGAAGTCAACATGGAGACGTGACATTTATGACATTTTAATGCGATTACTTTCTTCTCACCGCTGTAACTGCTTGTGTTTGATATAAGAAGCGGTGAAGTGGAATTTAGAGCGTGCTCCATACCAAACGGTCTTAGACCTAGGTAAACGGCTACCCGATACTGACGAGCTCCAAAAGAGCGAAACAGGCCGTCTAGCGGTGCCGGTGAAGAGCACGCTTCAATTTAAAGTTAAAATTTTAAACAAAAGTGAGACGAAGTAATCGCAATTCCTAAAATAAGCGAATACGAGCAAATTATTAAAATGATTTTAATAAAATCAATTTAACAAATTAATAAAATAAACTTGACATGTCAAAATAAGCAACGATCCAGTATGCAATTTCTTCATCAGTACCTCAGTAGTACTTCTATATCCAAAACGGAAAATTCTAAAGAAGTCTTTTTATAAGTTTATACAGTAGGACTCTTTAAAATGCTTAATTGCGAAGTCAAAGAAAAGGGTTCCTCAAGAGTTCTTTTTTGAGAAGTCTTGATTAGTTCAATAGGTGGCGCATTCGAAGTCTTAAGAACTTCTTAAAAACTTCTTTCTGATGTTGTATTTGGCGTCCAAATCATAAAATAGAGCTTATGCAGACTTAATGTAAGTGCTTGTTTGGTCAAATCTATCAATTAGAACTCGAAGTATACTCTAAAACGTCAAAACACCTCAGAAAATTTAAAAAAAAATTGTTAATTCATATCGCTTCCATGAAAAAAAAAATGTAAGTGTGATTGTTGTTGTTAATTAAAAAAAACATTGTGGACTACAATATACTAAAATTGTCTGTGTTTATTTGTGTCAGGTGGTCCCTTCCTCATCTGATTACTTAATACCGAACCACACCACCCCACCGGGTAACCAAATTGAGTCAACATCTTCGGTAGAAAAATTGCTACCGGACAATTTAGACAATTGGGAAACGTCGTTTATCATGCCTCACTCTAGATCAACCCAACCATTACTAATGGATACTGCGAAAGACGATGAAACGGCCACCTCTGTAAGTTTTAACCAACTACACAGCAAACGGAAAATTATAGAAGTGTATAGGATGACTCCGCGTTTGAATATCAAATCTTAAAGTTTTATCATAACTGTATTGAATCGTGCTTTGTTTTTATATTTTTCGGCTCTATACCTATGCACGACTATATTTAAAGTCAAACTCAATGGTGTCTTACAAGATACATTATTTTGATTTTCTATATTCAACAGAGGAGTAGAAACTCGACCCTGTCGAATGGTGCAGTCATTTATGTCTCTAGAAATTATTAAAAAAGGGTTCAGTCCAATGGTGCAGCAACTTCGGATTCCTATTCTCCTCAGAGACATAGAAACTCAAGCTTTTCGAATTTTACTGGCAATGATTTTCGTTAATGTCCCCGAGAATTATACAAAAACAGCGCAATGCAATATCGCAACGGTTTCGACTTCTCTTTACTCTACCAAGTTATAGAAACTGGAGTCTCTCTAATACTGTTCTAGTCAATATTTCTGAGAGTATAAAAAGAGGGTGTAATATTGCAAGAAGTTTTGATCTTTCGATGGATGCAAGTAGTTTGAATTTTCTCCTTTCTGCATATGATTTTGTTGAAAATAGTTCCTTTCTTTGGTTCCTTTGTCTGATTTTTATTTACCGTAACAACTCAGGTATGTAAAGCACAGATGATATGATGTTAAGTATATTTATGTATTATATAAAGTACCTATATTTGTATTAAAAATTTCAGAGGTTATGTTAAAAAAATGATCGATATGCTATTAAACTTTAATAATTTAGTAATTAGGTCTGTTGGTAGACCCTGCACTATCTCCACTGGTATATGTTAGTTTTGTAATATTTAAATCTGGTTGATGAAAAAGTACACACCAGTGCAGGTTATTGTAGCATCTACGAACAAATGAATTAATGGCCCATTGGCAATTATTCCTTTAGGAAAAATATTCAACACAGCTTAATTAATTAATAAAATGAAAAAAATCACAATCATGTCGTATATAGTTTTTTTTAAGCATAAAATAATTTTTATATTAATACTAGTTCAAAAGTGAAATTACGACTTCTATACTGTGGAGAGTATTGAAACGCTCGACTGACGAATACAACTCTATACCGTAGGGAGATTTAGAAAACGATATTCAAACGTGGCGTCATCCTATACACCTCTATAATTTTCCGTTTGCTGTGTAACCTTAAGGTCTAAGCATTGTATTTGATTTGATTTCATTAGGTGGATAAGCTTCTTACCATTGACAATACAACAAACCCTAGAGTGTCACCAATATCACCTTCAAATCATATAATGGGTAACCATAACAACAACGTCAAAAACGAGAATAATGCTTTGAAATCTGGAATTTCATTGGACGCCAGCGCATTGGTCAAGCAATCCATGACACCAACTCAATATGCCAATGTGACTGCAGGAAAAAATGGTAAGTAAAATAAATAATAAATCATAAAAATTTTATATTTTTTTTCAAAGTAGGAAATGGTGTCATTTTGAACGGACCAGTGCAAGAACGAACTCAAAATTTCTAACCCACCATAAGAATTAACTTAATTGCAAGGTTGTGATTAAATATGAAATATTTTGTTTTGGAATTTACCTAAAGGAATTTTAAAAACATTTTTTTATATATAATAATATTCATATACATCTGTGGTTAAGAACTACTAAAAGACAATTTGCGCAAAAATATTTTTGCTCGTTAAATTTGGTTGTGTTTTTAGGAATTTATAAGTATTTGTTATACAATATGATAATACAAACAAAGTTATGGGCTTCTCTATTTTTAACAGTTATTTTGTAATACCCATGTCCCAAAAGTACTGTAAATGGTTTAAGCTCAAAGGAAATGAAAGTTCCACCTGAAAGTTTTTTTCTAAATTCTAAAGAATAAAAATAATTTATAACAACCTTTATCCTACCAAAAAGTACGCCATTGATCGACTAGGAACTTTAGGCTAATCTGGTTACCTAATTTAATTTATTATGTTATGGTTGGTTACAAGCAGCGTTTCCAGATTCTGTCAAAAAAGTTGCCAGTTTTGTTTAAATTTAGCTTAATTACAAAAATGACAAAATCAATGCAAATTGTTAATTTGGCGTTTTTATTAATTGTTGATTATGTCATTTTTGTAATTAAGGTAAATTCAAACAAATCTGGCAACTTTTATGACAGAATCTAGTGCATTTCTTTCAAATTTTAGGTTATGTGCTCAAATTGTAAATATCTTAACTAAGGGAAGTGCTTTTGGATTTATTTACACAAATTGAATGTTTAAAGTTTAACCTGTGAACTTGTCCTAATTTAATCTGGGTAAACAGAATGAAAAAATTAATTTTGAGTTTATGTTTTTTAAATAGGTAGTAAATTTTCTAATCATTGCTTAAGCTAATAGCCGGATGAGTAAATAAATACAGAAGGGTATTAGAGCTTTAAGGGCATAACACTTTTGTATTTATTAAGTTTTATTTATTTTTTGCAAGAACAATTTTTCTAGGGACTTTTTCCATTTTTTTTTGAGGAATTTATATTTTTAAACCTGGCAATACTGAGTTCAACTTAAATGAGAATTACTCACAAACTATTTGACAGATCCTAATGATTTTTTTACCAGATGTTTACATCACAAAACTTTTTTTTTTCAAGTCAAGTTTAACTAAATAGTCAAATTATTATACATTAAAATAACATCTATCACATTTAGCTCGATATCAGTGCAACTGTAAAATTACAGGTCACTGTAGAATAAATTCAAGCACATAACCTATAATGTAAAACGTCCACAATATCTACCTAAAAAAATGTCGCAACCTATAAGTACTTAATGAAAAAAAAATCACAGATCTATAATATAAGCGCTTGTTACAATTTTTGTATGCTTTTGGGACAGAAGGTACTTAAAATAAAATCTACTGAAAGAATAAAAAAGTTTATAAACGTCCTGTAGAGTTGTGATGAAAATATTTGCTTGATAGCTCAACCTTACAAAGATTTCCCTTATTTATTAGGAAAATAAAATACCATTAGTTTTAGGTCTAACTATTTCTGTCTGTAGTTATCCCATATACAGGGTAGTATTATCTCATTTAACTGGGACGCCCTGTAGTTCTGTGTATCCTAAATGTACTGGGCTAAAATAATTGGTTGGCAGACCCAGTCATCAAGTCGATTGATTAACTAACCATAAATATACAGAGTGTGCAAATAATGCTGACGAATTAGAGCTTATAAAATAACAATTTATGTTGATTTTTAATGTTTTTTTGCACACTCTGTGAATATAGCATAATCTTCATTGTAAAAAAATGAATTAAAGCATCAATACAAAAGAGCAAGATTATGATTATATACAGGGTGGCTGCTTATTGTTGTTGATATTTGAATAAATTTATTACTTTAATTAAGTAAAGTGGTTGTGAAAAAAGTTTAACGAAATTATTTTGTTAGAGTTTATATTATATTGGAATGGCTCATTATTAATCCTATTTTATTAAAAAATAAAGTTACTATTTACAAATGTTAATTTTTCTATAATATTTTTTGTATTGGTGCCGAATATGTAAATAATTATTGACTGAATGTTCAGAAATGATCTTTTTGTGTAAGGCAAAACATTTTATACATGTTTAATATAATGTAAATTTTTTAAGAGGTATTAATATAGAAAAATATACCGCATTATCAATGAAAATGTGTCAAAAACGTAGAAAAAAAAGAGAATATACCCTTAAAAACCGGAAAATTCTCTTTAATGGTTAGTTAGATAGTAAACATAATATTAAAAGCTGTCATATAATGTTATTATAAAAAATATGCACCAGGGCTTAAAAAATAATTAACATTAGGTAGTTGTTTCATATGATGTGTAGATACATTTTTGATAGGAAGGTATTTAAATGAAGGTTTTTCGTAGTCAACAAAGTTCGGGAGATATTGGGTCAAATTTTTAAAATATCTAGATTCTAGATAATTTTACACTTTAAAAATTACATAAGTAATTAAATACAGGTAAGTAATAATTAAACTAGTCGACACAATGAATGGATCTGATGTTCTATATGCAGGGGCGGATCCAGAGATAGATTCGGGGGGTACTACGAATATTTCTTTTCTGCTTTTATTGAAAATTTTTATACGAAAATCGTCCATTTCAATTTTTACTTGTTAATCAAAGTTTTGGGCCATATTTTGTAGAAAAGTGTCGGAATTTTTTTTTCGGTAGGTAAATAACCTTTTTTGTTTTTATTATCAATTTTGTATTTTTCACAAACAAAAAATAACAACAAAATCACATCTGTCTTCTTCCTTATTGTAAAAATGCAAACTTTTATACTCGAACTTTGCGTATTACGAAGAACTGGAAAATTATAAAATAAAATGGAAAATGTAAAGTGGGTTTTCCGCTTAGAAAAAGTAAAATTGTGTAAAGATTAAAGTATGTACTATGTACAATCAAATAAACACTATCTACACATCCGCATTGAACTGAATTAACTAATGTTAAGGCTTTTTGATTTATTTTAGGTTATGTTTGCTATATATATTTATAATGGTTGTGCGATATACACTAATTTACTAGAGCCTTGTTATGTACAGTTACGGGAAAAATACAAATGTGCATTACTTTTTTCCGTGTCTGTACAATTTTTTATATTAAACATTGAATATAAAAATATTAGGAGGCTCAAATTTTACTCTTCCTATTCGTTATATTAACAAAATATCTCAGCGAGAGATTGCTCTAACATTGAAACAATAAGTATAGGTTGTGCATTAGTTTTTTTGAGGTATATAAAAAATAAAGTACCATGCCAAAGTATCCTCTAAATGTAGTGATAAATGAATTAATAAGACCAACAGTTCTTAGATTTGTCCATATATTATATTCTTTAAGGTTTTATCTGTGTATTGTAGGCTCTAAGATATTTTCTTAGAGTATTTAAGCTATAATATATGGATGTAGAAACCAAAAAAAAAGAAAAAGGTTCTATGGAAAACATGCCAATTTTGTCATTTAGTTCTACCTATACTTCGAATTTCAAAATTTTCAAAATTTTTTGTTGGAATTTGGTCTTATTAATTCAATTAAAACAAATAGATTTAAGTAATGTTTTTGTATTATTCTATAAAGTTAATTGTGTTTTTTTATCAATTTTGCAAAATTATTCGCCTCCCTTCAAATATTTTTTGAACACGTTTTCTGAATTATTAGCATTTTAGAGTATAAGTACCTATGTAGTGGTTTTTACTCAAGGAAAAATAAAAATAATGCTTTAAGTAAATTTAAGATGTGTATATATTATGTGTAAACCCAAAAATGAAACATTTGAATCCAGTAAGTGTTTGGCAATTGTTTTGTGCAACGAATCCAAATAATAAAAAAGTTACCCCAATTTTTGATTTTCAAAATTTATTGGATTAAAATGTCGAAAATACTGCTTAAAAATATTTTTTGTAGATTACAGGATAGAAGTTATATTTTTAGTTAGGTTACTTAATATAAGACTGGTTTTATTTAATTTTTTCCCATAAGTGTTTTAAAATAGAGTACGTATTTATGTGTTTTATATAAAAAAACCGTACACACTCTATTCTGTAACATATAATATAAAATATATAGGTGTTACAATATTTGATGAATTTTATTTCACCACAGTACGCCCCTGTCCTATTTTATCACATCAATATCATCTCTATTCTGTAACATATAATATAAAATATATAGGTTAGGGTGGTCCAAAAAAGCGAAATTGATTTTACAGATTGTCTCACCCCCCAATTTTTTTACCTCCAACATCAATAAAAAATTCCCAAAATTTTAAGCCTCTAGGTGTATTAGAAGGGAGTGCTCATTAGCTAAGAGATTTCAGTTTTTTTTAAGTTTATTTAAAAAAACCATTACGCCATCTTTTCACTGGTTAGATAAAATGTTATGCCCTATACATTAATGTTACAATTACCAAAGAATATTATTTACCTAAACATATATTTCTTACACACCCTTACCTTTAGTACAGCCCTACATTCCGGACAAAAAACTAGTTCAATCAGCTAATCCCGCACCTTTCCCTAAGAAACTAAAAACTACACTTTACAGTTTAAATGTCATAAGTGCTCCGGAAATTCCAATTTTTATTCGATTTAAAATATGATTGAATTTTACAAAAACTCCACAATCCCCTTGTTTGAAACAAAAGTCTCAAACGTTGGCTTTGGTCGTTTCTGGCACCAGGGCCAGGGCCAGGGCCAGGGTTAGGGCCAGGGTTAGGGCCAGGGCCAGGGCCAGGGCCAGGGTTAGGGCCAGGGCCAGGGTTAGGGCCAGGGCCAGGGTTAGGGCCAGGGCCAGGGTTAGGGCCAGGGCCAGGGTTAGGGCCAGGGCCAGGGCTAGGGCCAGGGCCGGGGTTAGGGCCAGGGTTAGGGCCAGGGCCGGGGCCAGGGCTAAGTTGATATCAACGCATATATGGGTTCAAAATATTTCTCTTTCAAGGACAGGGTGTGTTACGCCAAGAGAAAAATACCAACTTAAACGATTTGTTTTGTTTGGTGCTCTTGTTAACGTTAAAATCTGGATCAAGGCACCGTGTGCCACTAAAGCTCCTATGTCCGACCTAACTTTTTGGAAAGATTTAGAACGCTATGAGGAGATAAGCGAGGTTGCTAGATATACTCTGAAACATCATCTTTGGCACTTAACAATAATAATATTAATAATCATAATATTAATATTAATATGGACTTTGTCTACGCAATAAATTATTTCTTACTTATATTTTTTCAAGGTCGACTGTGAATTGTAATACTTTGAGTTGTAAATGATATAGCGAAAAGAGGGGTAAAACTATTTGAGGAGCATAATCAATTATAAAAAATGAGGACGAAAAGCAAGACTTGTTACAAATCGTAGAAGCGAATCGGAAATCTGTTCGGACAGAAACTACAAAAAAAGCTGTAAGAGTTCTAGACCATGATTTTCATGTGGATATATTGTCTTCAGATTCATTATATTATAGCTGTGAGCACTCCCTTCTAATTAAGCTAGAGGGTTCAAATTTTGTAAAATATCTTTTTTTACTTTATATAAAAAAATTAGAGGGTGAGAATAAGTTTATTTACAACTTCACTTTTTTAATTCGTTTCTGGACCACCCTAATATAGGTGTTACAATATTTGATGAATTTTATTTCACCACAGTACGCCCCTGTCCTATTTTATCAACTAGCGTCTAGAGGCACCGAATTATCTTGGCTCCCTGGCTCCTAGACATGCGCGTTTTATAGAAATGTACTCAAACTCAACAACACAACCCAACCGACCCCGCCCCATTGGGCCCCCCCCGCCCCATTGAGCAAAAAACCCAACTAAAATGGGCAAATTTATGTTACGATAAAAATAAAACACTTTTTAATTACAAAAATTTGGCCATTTTAGTTGGGTTTTTTGCTCAATGGGGCGGGGGGGGCCAAATGGGGCGGGGTCGGTTGGGTTGTGTTGTTGAGTTTGAGTACATTTCTATAAAACGCGCATGTCTAGGAGCCAGGGAGCCAAGATAATTCGGTGCCTCTAGACGCTAGTATTTTATCACATCAATATCATTGAGTAAGGAACTTCCTTACTCAATGTCAATATTTTATTGCGACGGTCAGCATTTCTTTTATAAACACAAATTTTTACCTATTTATAAATTTTATTTAATAACCAATAAAATCAGGTTACCTTAATGTTACATTATTTTATATTAATTTAATATCAAGTCGGCTTTTCCTTGACAACACAACGACCATGCGGAAAATGACGTCAATGATCATTATTAAAATACAAAATGATTCACATACACTGCCGTATTCTTTGAATTTTTGCCCATCATATAAATTTAAATATAAAACAAACATAAACAAATGTCGGAAAAAACCGAATAAAAATGTTAACACAGTGTTGCCAAGCCAATCTGGTAAAAGTTATTTTTCTGTAGTGGCAAATATTTCACTAAAAACAACTGTTTTTTCTTTACTATACGTTTTTATTATAATACATAAAGTATTAATCGTATAATCCTGGATATTTTACTATAGTTGGCAAGTTATAAACAAATTATTTCTCTTATTAAGGTATATTTTATTAGCATCGGCAACACTGCATGTATTTGTTATTTTTCATCAAAATAAAAATCGGTGTGTAACTAACGCACAAAAAATCCAGTGTCCCTTGATTTACACCGGTAATTTTGAATGTGTCAAACCCCAAAATCAAGTTATTTATAGGTAAGTAATATATTTAGGTTAACAGCTGTTCGGGAAAATTCTAACCTCAAAACGCACCGAAGATGCCAAATTTTATCGTTATAATTTAGCGTAATTAGCGCGTTGAAGATTAAAATATGTATCTGCATGTAAAAATATTACGAAATATGTTTTTAGTTACCTGTTTAAATTGATTTCTGACGTTTATTTCGTCACTTTTCACTTTACACCAGGGCCGAACCCGAACTTTATCGAACGGTCCGATCTTGTCGTGGCCTTGACGTTCGCTTTCATTTGTGTTCTCAGCCAACTGCTAAAATTACATTTCGACTCGCATAGCATAGGTTAAATAAATTTTACAGTATTTTGTTAAAACCAAAGAATTTGCGTATTTTATACGTTTTGTTAAGTATTTTGTGATGTGTAGTTACAAATTAGGGTGGTAGTTTTGTGTATCAACGAATATTATTCAATTTAGGAGGTTAGGTAAGTTTGAAATTGCCTAATTCGTGTCGGTAGTCCAATAAAGGTGAAATAAACGTTTTTAATTAGGGTTTTAGGTCCCTATTGATTTAAATGCCCAACCTTTGTGTTGTTGTTTTATAGCAATGCAAGTTTGGACATGCAAGTTCAAAAACTGTCTCTGACATACTTTTATGTTGTATTTATTATGTACCTACCGAGAATACCCACTTTTATGTTAAAATTTTTAAAGCAGTTTATTTTTATGTCTAAAATTTCGAGTTAAAAAATTAAAATTGTTGCCTAAATTAATATTAAGCTAATTAAAATTATGGTTGACCTTAAACATAAAATTATTACCTTGTTTTTATTTTGGCTTGGTTAAATTATTTGTGGCTAATAAATAATAAATCTTGTGTCACTTGTAGGTATAGTCTACAATGTAGGCAATTAAATGTAAGGTACCTACTATTTCATTTGTTAACTTAGGTCAAGTCTAATGTCACTATCTATTTTGATTATTTTTAACTTTTATATAGTTTTAGCCACATAGGTTTTAGCGAATTTTAGATTTAGATTTAGAATTTTAGATAACCAACTGTGGTTTTAGCGAATTTTAGATAACCAAATTTCTATTTAGCTACTAAAATTATGACGAATTAAACAGGTAAAATGATGACGTACCTATATGGGATTCTTATAAGATATCTTGATTCATAAAATAGGTAATTATAGGGAAATTAGAATCTATAAATAAACATGGCTTATCCTATAGTAATATTTATTACTACTTTATTATATAGGCACAGACAACTTTAATATATTTAGGGTTGCTATGATTTGTCCATATTTGTTTTAACATAATAATAGTACTTAATGATAATAATAATAATATTTATTGCGTGTTTTAAATTAATACAAATTTTTACACTTGTAAGTAGGTATACATTATAATATAATAGGCATAGGTATAAAAACCCAGATATACCTAAAGGTTTACAGTTGATTTTAACAATTATTTAATATATTCAATAGGACAATTTTATAACCAATAGACTAGGTAAATTTGATTGTTTTAATAAACAAGACATAAAATCTTGATTTTGTATGATTTAAATTATGGCTGGGATTCCCATAAATTTTATGATTCATATATTTCTACAGAAAAAACACGCAGATGTTTGGGCTATTTCTGTTATCAAAGTTTACTTTAGCTGATTAAAAAATTGCGGATCTTTGTGAGATTTTTACAAATGATTTGAGTAAATATTTTTAGTTCATGATGTAATTAAAGTAAGTAAATTTATCAAAGCAGTAAACATAATTGAATATTTAGGTAATAGCTTAATGGGTACCTATACATTAACAAAATTAACCAAGAAATTTTACACATATAAAAACGTTTTAAATGGTAACAATTAAAATAAATCAGCTGTGGTTGACATCATGACAGTTTGTCGAAAAATCAAAACTTATAATAACAAATTTTAACATTATTTAAATTTTGACATAAAAACATTTTTCTTACATTCAAATGTTTTTAAAACATTAATACCAGAATTTTATTAAGTAGAAAATATAATTAGAAAAACTATTTATTTTTCATGGAACTGCTCCAAATTTTACTTTTTATTACGTAAATAAACCACACATCTAATTGTAAAGATTCTAACAGTAGGTACATATATCTGCAGATATGTAAAAATAGGCTTAAATGATCCTCTCGAATGGTCTATATAACTTTTTTTCTATTAATAATAATAAATATATTATATTCAGGAATCATCCCCACGTTTCTGGCTACTCTGTATAGTTTTATAATAACCACGAAAAGCTTTTTATTTAAGTTAATTAATCGTTTTCAGAACTCATGTATAATTAGGTAAATATTTGTCTTTGTTAAAAAAATGTACTTTAAACTTTCAAGAAAGTTTATTATTAATTAATTTGCAATTATTTTAATGGCGATAATTGGATTAATTTACTTACTATTAGTATTTAACTAAGTACACTATATTTGGCAAAGTAGTGTTTAATTTTTTCTTCATTAACACAGTGTTGAAAATCGCAGATTTTGTTGTGCGTGAGATAAATTTACTTGAACCAGGTTGGTATTTTAAGGATAGTACGAACAAAACAAGGTCGATTAATGTATTGGAAGAGTAAGTTAACTCATTATTTACTAAATAAATTATTACACAATACAACAGTTATTTTTAAAAGGATCCTATTTTTTATTTAACATTTTAGAAAATAGTCAAAATTGAATTTATAAAAAAGATAACAAAAAATGTAATTTTATATTTTAAAAATTTTATTTCCTAACACTGTTAAATTTGCCCGAGCGTTTTTTATATTTATATTAAACTTAACTTATTGATAAGGCTTTAGCTCAAACGGGCTTGGTCAATTCCTTAGCACAATTTCGCGCGCAAGGCAAATTTAATGCATATCCATTATTGATTGGTGCTAGATACAGGGTCAGAATGTTTTTATGCAACCGTGACAAAAAGTATAAAAATTCATAATCCGAAAGAAATTTGCTATATAGGTATTAGTTATTTTCATATGAATATTTCAATAAAATGTATATAATAAATTGTCAAAAATCATAATTTATTCTTGTAACACTGATAATGACTTGCTTCCCTGATGGCAAATTTGATTTTAAGAATCTTCTAAGAATATATTACACGGAATAATGGAATATTCTTAGAACCTTCCCTTATTGCTAAGAATGTTCTTAGGGACTTTTAAAACATTCAATAGATACCCTTTTAATGATGCAATTAGATTCTTAAAAGCTTCTTAAATCCTTTCTAAAAAGCATCCTAAGAACATTTTAAGAATACGTTTTTGGAATGTTCTTAGAAGGTTTCTTATGGGGCTTCTAGGAAGCTTTTGAGAATATTTCCAAATATGTCAGATACCCACGTTCTAATATGTTGTATTCTACATTCGTAAAATTCTTCAGGAGACGACAAATATGCCTTACTGTCATAATTTGAGAGTGAAATGTATTTGTCGTCCACTTAAAAAAATTTGCGACCTATTAATATATATTTATTTAAAAATATTAAATAAACAATTTGACCTCTAAACCATAAGTTGTATGACATTATTTCATAAAAAGTAAAATTGGAAAATTTTGTGGGATTAGATTGAAGTTGAAAATAGTTAGGATTCTTATACATAAAAATGTTAATTCAGAAATAAAAAATCGGTATACAAATTCATAAATATTTATTTTTAACATAAAATAAAATACCTATATTAAAAGTATTTTTGTTATCGAATATTGTTTTAATTTGACAAATAACTATAAAAAAATATTTTAGATTGTGTTTTTTACTAATTAGGTACTTAAGTATAGGTATAGGCCTTTATACGTCAGTTACCTATATATTTTACTAATATATAGGTAACTGAACTAAATATGCTTAGCAGGAATATTCCTAAATTAACTTTCTATAGCAATTACTTTCTTAACATTCTAAGCATATGTTTAGAGTAGACTAATTTTTACCACTAAAACGTTGCACCTTCTAAGAACCTGCCTATAGGCCAGTATGAATATTCTTAGGATCATGCTATATGTCTTTTAAGCATGTTCTTTAGAAAAAATATAGCATGATCCTAAGAATATTCTCACTGGAAGGTTTAAAAAACATTTTTAGAATAAAGTGTGCTATCAGGGTTAAACCGAAAAAATATATAATAATTTGGTTGTATTTCACCACAAAATACATTAACATAAAAACAAATCAAATTCCAATAATTTTTAATGAATTCAACCACTATAAAATATGTATTTATTACTAAATTAAAAAAATGATGCAGGGTTGGCACAAAAAAGTCTTTAATAAATTCATTTTTTTTTTTAAATTTACTTTTGATTACTATTATACATATTAGACTGAGCCAAAAAAATTGACTATTTTTTTTTGTAAAGTATATCGAAAATATTGTTTGAAGTGACAAAAAAAAATTATGGTGAAAGTTTGAGTCCATAATATTAATATTAAGAGGTCTATCATCGCAATTTTAGATTTTTTTTTTCCTGAGTTAGTTTTTGTCTCAGAACTCCCAAACCATTGAGTTTAAAAAATTTGAAGTAGGAATATTTTTTGAAGAAAATTGAATGCTCTACAAAAAAGGTTTGATTGGAATTTCCCATCAGATGAACCTTTTTCTTACAATCATGCCTTAAAAATTTGTATAGTTTTACAATTAGATCTTTTAACTTTGGAATTTTGTAATTCATGTAAAAATTAGTTCCCGAAAAAAAAACGATAAATATTCTTATGGGAAATCAAATGCTCTACAAAAAAAGTCTTTTATCATTTTTGGCTAAATTCACTCCATCAAAAGTTATTCAAGGTTAAATTTGAAGTGAAAACCAAATTTTAACCTTGAATAACTTTTGATTGAGTGAATTTAGCCAAAAATGTTGAGAGGCTTTTTTTCCTAAGAATATTTATCGGTTTTTTATGGGTACTGATTTTTACATGAATTAAAAAATTCCAATTTAAAAGATCAAAATGTAAAACTATACCAATTTTTAAGGCATGATTTTAAGGAAACGGTTCATCTGACGGAAAATTTCACTTTAACCTTTTTATAGAGCATTTAATTTTCTTAAAAAATATTTTCAAGTCAATTTTGTTAAACTCAATGGTTTGGGAGTTCTGAGACAAAAACTTTCTGAGGAAAAAAAAATAAAATTGCGATGATGATAGACCTCTTAATATTAATATTATGGACTCAAACTTTCACAATAATTTTTTTTTGTCACCCCAAACCATATTTTCGATATACTTTTCAAAAAAAAAATAGTTGATTTTTTTGGCCCAATCTAATACATACAATAATGAATTATATTTAAAAAAAGCGTATTTCAAAATCCATTAAACTTAGTCTAAATATTTAGGTAGGTCTATCTAAATTTGGCTTAAAAATTTAACAAGAATTTTGTCGCTTTGTTAACATCTGCAAAACAAGTTTATATTTAGATAAAAGTGCCTTATTTTCTGAAGTATCATGAGTAATTTCCGAAAATATTTGAGACATATACCGAAATATAAAAATAGGTTTAAGGCATATTTATATACTAAAATTCACTTAAATTTAATAGTATATTATGTATCAAGTTTGATAAACGCAATTTTATACACGAATTTAATTTATAATAATAAATTAATGAGTGTATAGTGTATAGTTTATAAACGAGGTGCATACTCGGGTGCATACTATACTTTTTCTACGACAAATACTTATTATTATCTTAAAATGATTTAAATCAAAAATTTGTTTAGAGCGCAATCTATGAAACAATAGGGGAATCTGTGTGTCACCGTCAAATGTCAAATTTTTATACACGAAAAAAAAAATTAAATTAACCTTTACAACAACCATATTGAAAAAAAAATGTTTAATTATTTAATACAATTGTTTTGAAATTAACTAAAACTTAAAGCATTTATATCAGCGTATAATTTATTTAAAGTACCCAATTTTAGAGCACGGCAAATCTGTATTATTTTTAATAAAGAATTGCATTAGTCAATACAATATTTTATTAAAATATATAACAATAACAATAATTTAAAACAGAAATTGTAGTAATTTAACTACAATATATAATTATATCTTCAATAAATTGTTGTTTATTTTTATTACAAAATTGTTAAATTATTTCTAACAAATTGTTCTTGGTCGTATTTTTTAAACAATTTCTACCAGAAAATTTTACAATTGTAGTACTTTCCACAACATTTTTTTTATAAACACAGATTACCTATAAAGGTTATAAATCGAAATGTATTTCTTGAAAATTTACAGTTTTTCACAGTGAAAGTAAAGAAAATGTTTTATGAGCACTTTACAGTGGAGTCCGTGCCCGAATTTAAGTTAGGTATAGTTTACTGCCGGCGAAATTAAAAGGTCAGTACAATGTTCATATAAACTTTTCAAATATTGGCGTTGAGAAACTATTTAATACTTTTGTATTTTTGTATTGAAATAATAAAATAATTTTCCCATTTAGTATTATTTTACAAGAAATGCACTTTATTTTAACGATTGTATGACATTTGACAACTGTCAATTTTTTATATTTTTTTGAAATTCAATATTGTTTGGGCTATCAAATTCTGTGTGTGGGCAACTTTGAACAATTGATTTTTGTATTTTCCTATTTTAATTAAAACTTTATATTTTATTGCATTTTTAGAATTTTATGATTTTTTAATCTTTAGGGCAAAGTTTGTGAATTTTATTAATTAAATATTTATTTTTTCCAGATTAAAAAACAAAAATGTACCGTCCACCGGCTGTGCCGTACTCGCAATACTTCAACGCGTACCCCCAAATCCACTACCAACAGCCCCCCTGCGCCTCCAACGGCTACGGTTGGCATGGCAACGGCTACGGATGGCAACTAGATCCCAAAGCATGGAACACGGCCCCGCCCAACACGGAACAAACCGATGCAGTCATCGAAGAGCCCATCATCCAGTCAGAAAAAATAGAAAAACAAAATGCCTATGTAAGTGAAAATATTTTTTGTGAATTTTCCGTACCAATTTTTTACTATTAAAAAACTGAATATTTTTTTCTAAAATAAATTGTATATAAATTCCAAATACAAGCAAAAAAACAATTTTATTATATAATAAAATTGTTTTTTTATATAGCACATCATTTTTTATGTTTCTATATTTCCTACTCTTAATTCATTTCAAAAACAAACCAATTTAACAATACATCTGCATTACACCAGAAAACTTAAAATCGATGCCAGACTAAAGTCCGACCAGGCGCCAAATTTTTTTTAACACAATTTATGATATGAGACCTTGGCAATGAAATATGAACAATTCTCCGTAATAAAATTAACTGAATTTGGTGAAAAAACAATAAAAAAATATTTTCTCCACCCACACCTAAAACTATAATTTCAAAAATCACAATAATGCTTTAAATAACAAAATCTTTTTCTTTTTTTTTGCTCTCATAAAGAATCTATCGGCCACTAGAGGGGTGAGTCTATTTTCTATGTTTGTGAATGTTTTTGCTTGCCATATTTTCTATACAGGGTGTTATGTAATTATTGCAATAGGTATATTAAAATACTGAATACCTTTTGACATAATACCCTTCTGTATTTATTTACTCATACAGCTATTAGCTTAAGCAATGATTAGAAAATTAGGTACCTATTTTAAAAACTCCATAACCACAAAATTAATTTTTTCATCGATTTTTTTCTTTCAGTTTAATCATATGAAATTAGGACAAGTTCACAAGTTAAACTTTAAACGTTCAATTTGTGTAAATAAATCCAAAAGCACTTAGTGAAGATATTTACAATTTGAGCACATAACCTAAAATTTGAAATAAATGCACTAAATTCTGTCATAAAAGTGCCACATTTTGTTTGAATTTACTTTCATTAAAAACGCCAAATTAACAATTTGCATTGTTGATTTTGTCATTTTTGTAATTAAGCTAAATTTAAACAAAATCTAGCAACTCTTTTTGACAGAATCTGGAAACGCTGGTTGTTACCAACCATAACATAATAAATTAAATAAGGCAACCAGATTAGCCTAAACTGCCTAGTCGATAAGTGGCGTACTTTTTGGTAGGATAAAGGTTATTATAAATTATTTTTATTCTTTAGAATTTAGAAATAAGTTTCAGGTGTTTCTTAAGGAACTATCCATTTTAATATATTACATTAATTACATAACACCCTGTGTAACAAAAAATCATAAAATTTGGGTTAGGTATCTGTCAACATCAGTAGAATTGACGTTACCTATATCTGTCACTAATTTACTATTTAGTTATTTATAGTATGCACTACCCTATCTGATTATCATGACGTCATGTTGTGTTGTCAAATAGTGTTATTTTAACCGTTTTTTATTGTTAAAAAATTAGAATTAAATGTAGGTATTAGGCAAAAGTGGTTCCAAATTACTTACTGATTAATATCCTAGTGTTTTCCATAACAGGCTGTAAACGCATACACTTTTGGAATTATATTTATATTTAGACAAAAGTAGTACAATTCATTTTTTTGGACTCGTGTTTTTTTATTAAGTTAGTACTTAGCTTATGCCATTTTAATTTAGTATTTAAAAAATGTTACTTCTGCTGAAGACCTTAATAAATACTCTGACACTGTAAAATTGACAGTAATATTTATTTTTGATAATTTACTTGTTATTATATAATATCGATATAAAAAGATAACTATGCCAAAAATAATATCAGATTCTAAAGTAAAAGAACTTTTAAAAGCAAAACTTCAGTTTAAATCACAAATTATCTTCAGCTAAGCAGATCAAAATTTTTTGAAATTTTAAAAAATAAGGAGGAAATAAAAAAAGAAAAAAGAAAAATTTTCAATCTTTTTGTGAAAAATCTAGTAGTTAATTTTCCTGTCTTTGAAAATAGCAACCATTTGGTTTGAAAAAGATAAGCAATAATCACGAAACTTTTTCTTCTTTCAATTTGCAAGTTTCTGATCATTAATAGTCCTGTACAATATATACATTGTAATTATTATTAAGCCACTACGAGTATTAACGTCCAGTGGCTTTAACAAAATTCTTATTCACCATCGGAGTCCAATGATTGGACAACATTTACGTGTGTTCACATAAAATTTTAATTTCTTTTATATAAATTCTTTTCAAAACCGCTAGGATAACTTTGTGTCTCCTGGGCCGTAGTCACCTATATTTAACTACTTTTTTATATGATTTTACTCATCTACGCACCACCAAAGCCAAACTAATTGCATTTTTAACTACGAATTCTGACAACTCATCTTGACTCAACTTGACAACCGTTCAATATAACCTACAATAATATAAACATAACCACAATTACAAAGTTAGGTTATATTGTTGGTACCTTTAAACATTTTGACATTTAATCAAAGATTATAATGTGTTGAAAAAATTGTCAGTGAATATAAAATCCCGTTCAATGTGCAGTACAACATGCTGCCCGCCTGCTTACTGCCGGTATCCCAGTGCACCAGCGGCATGTTGCTACCAATATTGTTCCCCCTGTTCCCCCTGCTGCTCGCCTGTAAGGTGCTGCTCGCCCGTAATGTGCTGCCTTCCCTCCCCGCCGTGCTGCCCGCCCCCCTGCTGTCCTGACGACGGCCAAAGGAGACGTCCAGAGAAAATATCCGACATGCCCATGGGGGGAGGGGGAGGAGGAGACGATGGTAAAGATGGTAAAGATGGAAAAGACGGTAAGGGTGGCAAAGGCGACAAAGATGATGGAAAAGGTGGTAGAGGCAAAGGTAAAAAGGGCAAAGGAGGGAAAGGTAAAAAAGGCAAAAAAGGCAAAGGTGGCAAAAAAGGCAAAAAAGGTAAAAGACCCAAAGAACCAGAGACCCGATCGGCACCATTGCCAGAAGGAATCTATCCAGGTGGACCAGGTAGATTCAACCCGAATTGTCAGCCTTTAGCCTTGGGAAAATGTACTTGTATGGTGCCGAAACCAGCCTCGAACAGAACATGCTGCTGTAAAAATCCTAAGCCTGCCCCTCCTAAATTATGTTACCCTTGCACTTGTGGAAAGCCTACCACGCAATGCGGAAGCTGCGGAGCCCCGAAGAGATTAAATATGGGCGATAATGGATCGATTTGTGGAAATTCATTTGGACAAGAATCGATATGCGGAAAATATAATCTAATCCCAAACCAAACTGGGGACTCTACCTGCTGGAGCTAACCAAAATGCAATGTCTTTCGAACAATAAATAATTTACTCATTTAGTCAATGTAACATAACTTGTCAAAATGACACATTAAATCGTAAATGTTATTCTGGGTATATCAGTCATGAAATGCAAAAATCGTTTTCGGGATTTTTTCATTTAATTATGTAAAATTTTAGCGTGCAAAAGCAGGTTTTGTTTGTAAAATGTGGGACCAGTTCCTAAACAAAACCGTCCATCAGTGTTATACTTTGACCAACGATTTTAGAGGCTTCAAAAAAACCGATTTGTTTCCAGTTGAATCGAAGAACAACTCCAGAAAGCCGATAATCAAGCAGCAAAATGATAAAGGTACTTCATCAAGACATCCGCCGAATTTAACAGTCGGTGTCTATAAAGATAGTCCAGGGTATTTCAAGTATTTCAAGAAGAAGAAGTTGCAAGCAATAGCGGAAGAAAAGGTTACTTTGGAAGTAAAATGCACCAAAGCTATTCTTCATAAACCCATAGATGATTTAAGATTAAGAATTGGATTAGTCCACGATACTGTGAAAACTATCGCTAAAAATTTAAATGTTTGTAAGCAAATTAAAGATGGGTACAAGAAAGCAATCAAGTCTAAAAGAGATATTATTTTGAAAAAAGAAACGATTAAGAAAAACGTTATTAAAGAAAAGAAAGATTCCATTGAACATAGTGTAAATAAGACAAAGGAAAACGATAAAATATTACATAAAGGACAAGGTGATTTAGGCAATAAAAAACTTACTGAAGTTCAAAAACAACCAGTGGAAAGTAAACCTAAACCTAAACCAAAACAACTGTCAGTATTCTCCAAGAACTTCGTATCCAAAATTCCTCAAAAAATTGCTTTGAAAAAGTTCAGAATGCATTTTACTAATAAAACCATATCGGAGATAATTCTTAGCGACAAACTTGCAAGTTACGAACCAAAATCAACCAGAACGGAAACCTTAAATGTTAAAGTAATTAAACCGTGGAAACCTATGGAGTTGAAATCAAATAAATCAGTTAAAAAAAGTATAATTCAAAGGACGTATGTTAAAGTGGAAAATGGTCCAATTATATGTGTTAAAATTCAGAAGGAACCATTCAAATTTAAATACGTAAGTCCAAAGTGAAGAAACCGTTAACAGATATTTGGGGTCTTTATGTAACTTTTTGAGACTTTTTGTTTTATCGAAATGCAGTTTTGCACTTTGTTTTTATTTTTATTTTTTTCTTTACTGTGAGAAATTTCATTTTTTTAAATAACTTTTTTATTTCAAAACCTATCGATTTGAAATTTGGACAAAATATAGATCTTACTATTGACAATTAATCCATGAAAAATTTTGTTTAGATTTTAACGTACAGGGGGCGCTGGTGATAATTAAGTTTAAAATTTAACAATTTTTAAAGGGTAAATAATCGAAGAAGCAACTTTGTTTTATAAATTTGAGTATAGCACGTTAAAGTATTGATATTTGACTATTATTTGATATATTAACTTTTTTTATGCAAATGATGTTTCTGTGGCCAGGATCAGTTTTGAATTAGCAGTAGCAGTATTCATAAATGTTTAGTTTAGTACATTTTGTCATTTTTATACAAATATTGTTGTATTATTATTATGTAGATATAAAAACAAATATGTTTTTAAACTTTCAAAACATATTTGTTTTTATATCTACATAATAATAATATGGAGTTTCATCAAGTAAAGGTCGAAACAATCAAATATATTGTTGTATCTTTTATTAATAATTAACTATAGCATAACACATAAATATACATTTAATATTTGTTTCACGTACGTAGTTCGTTAGAAATTTTTAGGGAATCGCGAAAGACATCGATTTAAAATTCGATGTGGCTCCCGTCCCGAGGCGGGACTTAACTTCGATCCCGACAGACGTCACACACTGTAAATCCGTTTTTATTCCCCGAGCTTTTATAATTGGTGTCAAGCTGGATGGCTTAGATGGTAGGGCGGTCGCTTGGCATGCGAGAGGTACCGGGTTCGATTCTACTAGAAGTTGTCAAACTTTTTTTATTTTTTTTATTTTATAAATTTGTTGTTTCTTTGTTAAAAAGTGTTTTATTTTTATCGTAACATAAATTTGCCCAATTTAGTTGGGTTTTTTGCTCAATGGGGCGGGGGGGCCAATGGGGCGGGGTCGGTTGGGTTGTGTTGTTGAGTTTGGGTTGGTTTGGTTTTATGACGTAACTAACGTGCCCTTAACATGTATACAGGTACAATTTATTATTATTATTATTTTATTATAACATAACAAATCTTAAAATTATGACGTCAATCGGGACTGAACTTAAGTCCCGCCTCGGGACGGGAGCCACAGCGTTTAAAATTTTATTAGCGTAAATTATTCGCTTTAGACTTTTTTCCTAAATTATTTTGAACAAAATAATACTTTCTGTTTTACCGGAAATGTCTTTAACTTTGTTATTTTAAACAGGACACTTTATTAATTCTACATAAAATTCTGAGTAAAATGGCTATACCAAATCCTATACCTAAAGTCAATATTTTTTGAGATATTATTTTTTCAATAAAATATTTTAATTAATTTTAAACAAAGACAGATTTGGTGGTAACCACGGTTTTTTGTTACAAAATAGTATTGAAAATATTAGTATGTTAAAACATACAGGGTTTTACATTTATTTATTTAAAAATTAAATTATTTAAACAATGTTTTAATATTCCAAAAATTTCAACCCCATGTCAGCAAACATAATAACAAAAAAATTAGAGGCCATTTTTGATTAACGTGCATTTAGCAAAATTTTAACGAAAAAAATTAATATCTTGAAACCATTGACTTTAGGTATAGTCTAAATCAAATTGTATTTGCTATTAAAATTTGAAATCCATATCTTTTGCGATCCTCCAGAAACACCCTGTATAGCATTATATTAAGTATAAAAAAATGCAAAATAACTAATTACAAAATATCGAAAAACAACTGAATAAAAAATATAGATATATCTAAATAGCCGATTGCAACATAAAAAATAGTCTTTATTCTAATTTATTTATTGGGTAAATATTACTTTCCTCAGTTTGGAATTAAAATTGAAGCTTGCTTATCGAGCAAAAAATAAATTGAAGCTTGGTTGTGGAGCAAAAAATAAAATTAAAGTAGCTTATAATTTCTAACTTGCTGACACTGTCTATATTTATTATTTAGTTTATTCATTTTAATAAGTTAATGGTTTGAGTTTATGGTACACTTATAAATTGAAACGCAATCAGTCATTTGCAACTTGAAACTGAACTGTCAAATTATCTTTCATGCTTCCAATGGTAGGTTACCATAGAGAAAAGTCTATGATGCCTACTATGATCAAAATTAGTAAACTTGACAAAATTTAAAATTTATAAATAAAACTAATTTTAGCTCCATCTATGGCGATTTTTAAAAATAAATATGTAAGAATTGTATGTTTTATAAAACTAGATAAAAGAATATATAATTTGTAAAATACGTTAATAGAAACATAATAATAAATAAAATAATAGTTAATTATCAGTACTTTAACGTAATATACTCAACATTATAAAACAACGTTGCTTCTTCGACTTTTTAACCCTTAAAAAATGGTAACATTTTAAATTAGATTGTTCCCAGTGCCCCCTGTATGTTTAAATGTAAAAAAAATATTACGTGGATTTATTGCCACTAATAAGGTGTACATTTTATCTTAAATTTAAATCGATACGTTTTTAAATAAAAGTGTTATTACAAAATATAGAAATTTATTTATTTTTAACACAGTGGATGAAATTTTTTTATTTAAAAAAATGTCCAATTTAGATGTAGAAACAAGGTTAAAAAAATATATTCGTTCTTTCTTCTATTGACGCTTTTATCAACAGTTCCCACCTGTTGACAAAGTCTAATTTTTCCGGCCATGTTGACCAATTTATTTTCCGCTCGATACTTTAATCCGCCATCTGACATTTATTGGCATTTCCCCGGCCATCCGCATCACAAATTAAATTCATATTTTCGAGAGATCTATTTTTTAGTCAGTTACACGCGAACAAACGTCAATGACGCATCCTCACTGATAATAAATTAATTTCTGTGTTTGTTTTCACCTCGATCTAGTTGATAACGTTCATTTTTATTATTAGTATTTTTGTTTTTCAAAATGCATTCGGTTCGTTTCGAGATTACCGAGGTGCCTTTTAAAAGGGAAGAAAAATCAAAAAACAAATCGGTTAAATTTTGGCATCACTCGGTTGCGCCAAGAGATGTAGACAATTTTTTTTTACCGCGTAGTGCTTTTACGGAAAATAATTGTAAAAAAATTGTGGGAGAAATTCCTTTTATCGATGTGCAATCTAGAAGGGTTACCCTTTTGGAAAATGTGGCTGTTAAGGGTTCGACAGAATCACTTTTGAAATCAAAAAACAGTTTTAAGAGAAGTAAAAAGATATACAAGGTAATGATTATTAAGCAAATAAAATAATCATCATTGTTTGTTTTTATACCATATATTTATACCCTGTATACAGGGTGTTATGTAATTAATGTAATATATTAAAATACTGAATACCTAAAAATTTGTCTTGCAAAAAAAAAATAAATAAATACAAAAGTTTTATGCACTTGAAGCTCTAATACCCTTCTGTATTTATTTACTCATCCAGCTATTAGCTTAAGCAATGATTAGAAAATTTAGTACCTATTTTAAAAACTCCATAACCACAAAATTAATTTTTTCATCGGTTTTTTACTCAGATGAAATTAGCAAGTTCACAGGTTAAACTTTAAACCTTCAATTTGTGTAAATAAAGCCAAAAGCACTTCCCTTAGTTAAGATATTTACAATTTGAGCACATAACCTAAAATTTGAAAGATTCTGTCATAAAAGTTGCCAGATTTTGTTTGAATTTACAAAAATGGCATAATAAACAATTAATAAAAACGCCAAATTAACAATTTGCATCGTTGATTTTGTCATTTTTGTAATAAATCTAAATTTAAACAAAATTTGGCAACTTTTTTGACAGAATCTGGAAACACTGGTTGTTACCAACCATAACATAATAAATCAAATTAGGCAACCAGATTAGCCCTAATTTCCTAGTCGATCAGTGACGTACTTTTTGGTAGGATAAAGGTTATTATAAATTATTTTTAGTCTTTAGAATTTAGAAAAAAAAGTTTCAGGTGCTTCTTTATGGACCCTAAGGAACTACCCATTTTAATATATTCCATTAATTACATAACACCCTGTACACGGTGGTCAAAACTAAAGTATAGGACGAACAAAAATGCCAACCAAAACTGATAGCATAATCTGATTATAGACTCTTCTGGTAACACAAAAATGTATTTATCAAAATCCCAGCTGAGCCTTTATTAAAGTTTTGCATATTTCTTAGTATTTTAAAATTGTTTATGTCATTTAGATAAAATACTCTAGTACCATTATCAAATGTTTTTAAAAATTTGGCAGATACATGACTGAAATATGGATAAATTACATTATAAATACAAAATAATGTAAGATACAGTTTGCAATATCTTATTTATTGTTTTAAGGTATCTAATACAAAACTAATAAATAACTAAAGATTCTTTGAAGCAAAATCGATTACTGCTTGCCTTAAATTTTCAGTAAAACTTTTTCTTGGGTTTTACATGGAATTGTTTTTAACATGGAAACAGTATTTTTAAATTCTTCAGTCTCTGTACAAACATGCTTCTTACATCTAGCGATATCCCCTAGAAAGGAAGAGCATATCAAAACTTTAGTTCGTTCGTCCGTCCTCTTCCCTTAATAATTTTGTATGCCCTTTATATCTTGCCATTTTGCAGATAAAGCACATACATTCTTGGCTGCCGCGAAATTCTCTAGCAATTTCTAAATTTTGAAAATTTGGCAATTGTGGATATGGAAAAATACCGTCTTTACCATATTAAAGTAGTAATTTTGAATCACTTAAGTGTTCGTTTGAAAAAGTCTGCAGCAATTTTTATATTTTTTCAGAAACCCTAAACTCCGAATTTTTCGATTACCAAAAACAATTTTGTCTCCACAGCCAGCACATACCTTCTTTCAATTTTCTTCATGGCTTAACTTGAATTTCGGTTTAATTTTCATTTTAAAATACTATTTTTAACTTTATAAAGTATACATTAAATAAACAACTAAAGCAAAATGTCACTTGCGTTATAACGTATAGCAATTTTTTTCATAACCACCTTAATTATTGTTTTACAAAATTTGCAAGTTGTAATTATTTCATAGACAAACTTCCAGTATTTTTTGTTATAAAAAATATTTAAGATATAAATCTTTTTGTTTTGTTTTGAGTGGTAAAAAATAATAGGTGACTCAATAAATTAATACTGGGGAGTAAAGTAATTTAAATGATACAAAGTATATTATTTTGCTTAATTTTATTAAAATTGTACAGGTAGTTTTAGTACAATAATTGCAAAATAATATATAGAAATAGAAAAACAAAAAAGTTTGCAAAACTTTAAAATAGGATCAGCTGGGATTTTGATAAATACATGTTAGTGTTACCAAAAGGGTCTATAATCAAAATATGCTATCAGTTTTGGTTGTCATTTTTGTTCGTCCTAAACTTAAGTTTTGACCACCGTGTGTATATCATTTATTATAAAAACGCGCGACGATTTGAATTTTAACCTATTGTTAAACTTTCTAATAAATTAACCATATTTTTATCGAACCCCCCACCAAAAACCTCAGATAATAAATGAAACTTCCTGTTTGCAATAAATAAAAATGCCAGTGTTAATTTATACTTAAAACTATTAAAGCAGATTTTCCTTTTAAAAAATGATAGACCTAAAGTCATATCCGGCCGAAATATACGAAAAACGTATCAGAAAAGAGAAAAAACCCTCTCTTCAGTCAAAAATAGAATACTGTGAAAGAGTTTATATATCAACCACGAGGTATCCTCTAGTCTCCGACAGGAATATTTTTCCTCAAAGTGTCAATAATTCCGTAAAGAAATCGTTTAAAAGTGAAAATAGCAAAAACAGCAACGATGTTATGTTAGTGAAAAAGTTTGTTTCTCCTATAGAGGCAAGGGTTATAAAAGGGTCCCTTAGTTCTTTGCATAACACTAAAAGTAACTTACACAATGATAAGGAGAGAGACTATGTTTATAAGGTAATAAACCCATTTTTTAGTTTAAGGGATTTTTTAAATAAAAAATGCTGATTTATTTATTATTTAGTACAAACAAGAAGTAAAATTGGTCACTTATTATTTTAATTTATGCAACCGATTAGTTTAATCGAAACAGGATACAAAAAACGAAACTTAAATAAATACATCTATTCTTAACAGTTTTGTTTTTAATTCACCTCGATATATTTATTTTTGTGGAAAATATGGATTTTTTAAAAAAACATTGCAATTTCCAATATTTTTCTGTATGAAGAACTAAGGTTGCTATGGTCCATCCATAGCCTATAGGGAGGATGACAGTGACAGTTTTGTTGAATTATCTCATACTTTGACATGTCATACACGGCTTTCAAAAGCTATTAAATTGTTTTTTGCAAATTAATGTTTAAATTTTGAGGTGTATTCTTACTTTGTGTTAACATAAGCTTTGCTTAAACAATGAAAATCATTACTGAAAGATATTTTTTTAGTATGGAGAAAAAGGCTCAGGATTTCGTTCGAGAAGTGAACCCCAGGACTTTCTGCAAATCCGAGACCAATGTCTGGACAGTGGAACTTTATACGAGGATCCTGAATTTCTCGCTGAAGACTCGTCCTTGTTTTTCAGCAAACGTCCTGACAGATATTACGAATGGAAAAGACCACACGTACGTATTTATTTATATATATATTTTATGTACTTAAAATTAAAAATAGTCATTTATGGGTCACATACATTTTTTAATGATGCTTCAAGTCGCCACTTTACGTGTTTGAAAGCATTTAATAATAAAATGGTATTAATCGATTAGAATTATCGTTTTAAATAATCAACTCTTTGTTGAATATCATCCATTAGAGTTATTAAAAGCTGCTTAACAAAAACCATATTTGCAATTAATGTCGGTCAGGGAAATGAAAAGGTTTTTATTAAATTAAATGGAACAAAAATACTTTACTTGACTTCTTTGAAATGCTGAATACTGAGTGTAATATATATTAAGGTAGTTGTCGTGCTGTAAGCATACCATCAGAAAATTTTAAATTTTTGTATACTTATTAAGGACATGACAATACAATTATCCTTAAAATTTGAAGTTGATTGACCGTCTATAACCCGAGATAAATTCAATTACAAATTGGATAATTACCATGGATTGTATACCCTTTCTGTAGTTCTGTACCAGTTTCTTAGTTATAAAATAAACTAACTGTCAGAAGCTTTCAAAAAACTAACAGTCTTTTAATGTATTTTTGCTGAGTTTAAAAAAAAATTAAAAATTTTTGACCGTCCAATTGTTTATAAATAACCGTTTAAAATTCAACAATTTGTAAAAAGTATACATCACTAGTGTCAGATAAAAACAACTTGGCAACGCTGTACGCGAGTATAGATATTATTTCCGCAGTAAATTCAAACAGACTGGTTCAGTCTCCAATATACCTATTGGTTGAGCATAACCGACGTTGCCGGATTAAAACTTATGAAAATATTTGAAAGTATTACGTAAAGGTAACGTCTCCAGGGTACAGTCTTGCGAAAAAATTATGAATCACTTAGCTACAAGCTCGTATACTTTTACGGTGCGTATAATCTAAAAATTTTTGACAATATTGTACCACGACAACTACCCTAAACATTTCTAAACGTTTTTAGGATTTTATTTTTACTTATAAAATCATCATAGTTTGTAATTAAAATAATCTATTCAAACCTTTTTATTTTTTGTATAAATGGGTGAATATATTGAGATGTCCCCCAAGTGAAAATGATTATTTTTTATTTTTGGTTGTTTCACTATAGTCTAGAATGAGGTTTTTGGGAAGCCACCAGGTCTAGTAATAACATAACATAAGTGGTTCTGCACTAATGCAAGAATTTTAAGAAATCACACATTTCGAATATTAGAGCTTCACGGAGGTTAGGATTTCGTATGTTTTTTTTTAAACACCCCTTTGTATATTTGAAATAAGTTATTGGATCTTTTGACACCTTAATATTTTTAAAAAATACAATTGACGTCCCCGAAATGTGAACGATTTTTGGTTGTCATGGATTTTTTTCATAAAATTCATTCGTTCATTCCTGGCTTCGGTCAGTGGTGTAACAAATAGAGGGGAGAATACTAAGAACAATATTCTAAATCCTAAATCCTTATTTTTTAAATAATATTTAAAAAAACAATGATATAAACAATATTACAAATAAATTAACGCTAATTTGGTTTTGTACAAGAATATTAACAAGTAGGTAAATAAAAAATATAAATAACATAACTAAATTAACATATTGCTCAAGAAAATTGGTCTTTAAGTAAAATAGCTGCAGATTTAAATGTCTTAAGCTCTTCCCAAGAATGTTTAATAGCATTCCGTAGTTCATTTCGGTTTGCTGGCTTAAAAAACTGTGCTGCTGCTGATAAGTTATTTTAATACTTAATTGCAGAGCCATTAGCTGCCACAACACTTTGCAACGTTTTTGGCATGGACATTATTAGGTTACGCATGTCCTATGACTCAGTAACGTCTTTCCAAGAATTTTCAACAGATTCCGTAGTTCATTTCGGTTTACTGGCCTAAAGTCCCGTTGATATAATTTTTTAACTAAAAAACCCCACACGTTTTCAATGGGGTTTAAGGACTTCTAGCTGGGCATGGCAAAACAGTTATGTGGTTGTTGTTTACCCACTCTATAATTACGCGAGCTGTGTGAACTGGTGTAATATAATATTTATTAGAATAATTTTTGTACACTTTTGTATAGTTTTCTAACATGTTGGAATATACAATTTTCTGGAAACACATGTCTAACTGAAGGTAGCATAACGTTGTTCAAAATCGTTGTATAGTGCTCAGCCGTTAATCTACCATTAATTTCCCAACATACTCCCGGACCATGGATGCTTATCCACGCCCAAACATTTATGGAAAAGCGTCCACTATTTACGGTTCTTAATGTATAGTTCTCCTCAAATCTTGCGTTTCTTGGACGATATACACGCAGCATTCCATTATTGCAAGATTGGAACGTTTTTTCATAAGAAAATATAACATTATTCCATAATTTAGATAGTCATTGGCGAACTGGAATCTCCTGCGCTTATTTTCGTCAGTTAAAAAAACCTTATGAGCAGCAGCACAGTTTTTTAAACCAGCTTGTTTCAATCTTTTTTGAGCTTTTCGAAGAGATCCTGGAAATTGTGTAGGTATCTTTTCGGGCCTTAACTGCGCTATTGAAAGGATTTTGCCTAATATGTGCGACAAGAGCATTGTCTTCATTTTCGTTGGAGATTTTTTCTACATCTTGCCTGATAGGTCTTCTTAATCTTTGTTGTTCTTGCCAACGTTTTTTGATAAAAAATATGCAGCTTTTACTGACATTTAAATCTGCAGCTACTTCACTTAAAGACCAATTTTCTTCTAATTTGGCTATTGCCCTGGACCTCTGAGCCTCGGTTAAGTGGGGTGGCATTTTTAATATTGCAATTGACAACTATTATCAAATTTGACAACTACCGACGACAATGATGCAAAGCCCATATTACACGATTAAATTTTGCCGTTCACATTGCGGGGACGTTGTATTCAATAAAAAAGCGTACAAGAATTAGAATGAGAGAAAACTGTCAAAATAATATTATTGCTTAAAACCGGCTTATCACTGACATAAGTCATTAAAATAATTATTATAGGTTATAAAGAGCATTGACGTCGTAGGTTAAATAATATTACAAAAATTATTACGTTTTAATAATGAAAAAAACAAACATAAAAAAAAATTAATATTTAGTCATGCATCCCTGTTTTTCTATTACTTGAGCCAATCTATTTGGGATGAACTGAATTAAATTTAATACAATATTTGGATTAATATCTTCCCAGCAGTATAGTAGGTATAGTATAGTTGTATAGTTTCCCATAAATCCTCAGATATCTCAAAAAAGCAGCATCCTGTTCAGGGGTGGACATTTTGGGACGACCTGAACCAACTTTTTGGTTTAGTAAATCTTCCTGTTCCCTGCGTTGCTTAATTTTTAATATAGATTTTTTATTTCTATTATACCACATTACGAATTGACCATTGTTCTTCGATTCTTGATACTATTTGAGCCTTTTTAACTGAAGAGGCATTTTAATTTTCTACTGTCAGTTATAGTGACTTAAGTCAGTGGAAAGCCGGTTTTACACAATAATGTTGACAGTTTCCTCTCATTCTAATTCTTGTACGCTTTTTTAATGAATACAACTGTACATGTTAATTAAAATGTAGGAAATCGTGGACGATCCGCAACTGTTCGTCGAAGGCTACTCGCGCTTTGACGTGCAGCAGGGCGAACTGGGCGACTGCTGGCTGCTGGCGGCCGTCGCCAACTTGACCCTGTACAAGCGCCTCTTCTTCCAAATCGTGCCGGACGACCAGGGCTTCGACGACAAGTACGCCGGCGTGTTCCACTTCCGGTTCTGGCAGTACGGCAAGTGGATCGACGTGGTCGTCGACGACAGGCTGCCCACCTACAGGTAAAGATGTAAAAGTAACGAAAAAAACAATACCTGCATGTATTCGGTACTTTAAATGTGACTATTCGTTACAAAGTATTCGTTACTCGTTACTTTCGTTATTATAATACTCTGTGCTATAATACAAAATACGAGTCTTTGCATTAAGCTGGTTAGGTTTTGATTTAATTATTATTTCGAATCATATGTAGCCGCTGCTTAAAGAAAACATATATTTTGATTATATTTTATTAAATAGGAGGATGTATAATACAAATTAAATAAAAAAATACTTTTTTATTGCAAAAGTAAAAACAAAACATTTTCTTTTGTAAGAAAAATTAACAAGAAAATAAGTTATTTTCTAAACATAACGATAATCATAAGTACTTATATAAAATATATTGCACATTTATTTGGAGAAAATCTTTGATTTATTTCAAGAAACAAAAGTTGTTCCATTCGTTTTCGTTTAAGTAAGGAACCTCTTTCCGATAATATAATACCAGATTTTAAAGGTTCTTTCCGACGGTACCGGTGTATTATATTTTCTGTAAAGAATCCTCTCTTCAATGTACTGGTCTCATGGTGATGATTCCAGTAGCAACGGTAGGCACTGTAATAGTTCAGGTTCTTACATCAAAATCCCTTCAAAGATCGTCTTTCTCATCTTCAAAAGCAGCATTATCTGTATTTTTATCATCCTCATTATGCTTTTCCAATGCTACTCAAGCTAGTGGTGCCCTTGTAATTTGTTCTAACTCTTTCTTCAAATAATTTTTGGCTTCTTCATATGAATAATATAATATTTTCTTTGATAATGTTACTATTATTCAACTATTCGCGCGGCAACTACTCATCAAGTGACGTCATGCGCGGCACGAACCAAAACTCGCCCACGAGAGAATAACGTAACGATGCGAGTAACGAAACGTATTTTAAAGTAACGAATCGGTATTTCAAACCTCATCCAGTACCCGCTACTTTGTACCGAATACATACGGTTCGTCACATCTCTACTAAAGATGTCAAAGTAACGAAAAAAACAATACCTACATGTATTCGGTACTTTAAATGTGACTATTCGTTACAAAGTATTCGTTACTCGTTACTTTCGTTATTATAATACTCTGTGCTATAATACAAAATACGAGTCTTTGCATTAAGCTGGTTAGGTTTTGATTTAATTATTATTTCGAATCATATGTAGCGGCTGCTTAACGAAAACATATATTTTGATTATATTTTATTAAATAGGAGGATGTATAATACAAATTAAATAAAAAAATACTTTTTTATTGCAAAAATAAAAACAAAACATTTTCTTTTGTAAGAAAAATTAACAAAAAAATTAGTTATTTTCTAAACATAACGATAATCATAAGTATATAAAATATATTGCACATTTATTTGGAGAAAATCTTTGATTTATTTCAAGAAACAAAAATTGTTCCATTCGTTTTCGTTTAAGTAAGGAACCTCTTTCCGATAATATAATACCAGATTTTAAAGGTGTAGCCATTACACATAAATATTTTTTGGCTAAGCCTGCCTTTCTTGTTTGCCACCAATTAAGAGGATTATATTTTCTGTAAAGAATCCTCTCTTCAATGTGCTGGTCTCATGGTGATGATTCCAGTAGCAACGGTAGGCACTGTAATAGTGCAGGTTCTTACGTCAAAATCCCTTCAAAGATCGTCTTTCTCATCTTCAAAAGCAGCATTATCTGTATTTTTATCATCCTCATTATGCTTTTCCAATGCTAATTTGTTCTAACTCTTTCTTCAAATAATTTTTGGCTTCTTCATAAGAATAATATAATATTTTCTTTGATAATGTTACTATTATTCAACTATTCGCGCGGCAACTACTCATCAAGTGACGTCATGCGCGGCACGAACCAAAACTCGCCCACGAGAGAATAACGTAACGATGCGAGTAACGAAACGTATTTTAAAGTAACGAATCGGTATTTCAAACCTCATCCAGTACCCGCTACTTTGTACCGAATACATACGGTTCGTCACATCTCTGCCTACAGGGGCCAGCTGGTGTTCCTGCACTCGACCGAGGACAACGAGTTCTGGAGCGCGCTGCTCGAGAAGGCCTACGCCAAGCTGCACGGCTCGTACGAGGCCCTGAAAGGGGGCTCGACGTGCGAGGCCATGGAGGATTTCACGGGGGGCGTGACGGAGATGTACGAGATGGAAAACAGCCCCCCAAATCTGTTCAAAATCATCCACAAGGCCTTCGAGCGGTCGTCTTTGATGGGCTGCTCCATCGAACCCGATCCGAACGTTTTAGAAGCCGAAACCCCCGAAGGGTTGATTAGAGGGCACGCTTACAGCATAACGCGCGTGCAGTACGTCGACATTTCCACGCCCAACGTCACCGGCAAGATCCCTCTTCTGAGGTTGAGGAACCCTTGGGGAAATGAGGCGGAGTGGAATGGCGCCTGGAGTGACGAGTAAGACTACTAATAATAATAATAATTTTTATTGATCACAGAGTTTTACAGCATTTAATTCCGTTGGACTAGTCAAAAAAAATAATTACAAAATAAAGAAATTATGTTTAATCACTATGTACCTTAGACTGGCCAAAAAAATTGCTATTTTTTTTTGTAAAGTATATCGAAAATATTGTTTGGGGTGACAAAAAAAAATTATGGTGAAAGTCCATAATATTAATATTAATCATCGCAATTTTAGATTTTTTTTCCTGAGCGAGTTTTTGTCTCAGAACTCCCAAACCATTGAGTTTAACAAAATTGACTTGAATATTTTTTGAAGAAAATACTTTCAATTTAAGGGCTTGTTTGACCAAATCGATTAATTAAATTTCAAACTATACTCAAAAACGTCAAAACACCTCCGAAAATTGAAAAAAACAATTGAAAATTCATATTCCAAAAACGCTTAAAAAAAATATTAGTGTGATTTTCGTGTTTATTGGGTCAAAATACATGGGAACATTATAATGGGGTATGGTGGGCAGAATTTTTTTTCGATTTTGTAAACTAGTGTAATTAAAATAATAAAATTTCAAACTTATGCTCCGAAGCCTCTTTAAAATCTAACTTGTTCAATGAATAGTGTGAGAAAAATGGACTAACTATTAATAAAAACAAAACATTTTATATGCGATTTTTACCAAAAAATGTTTCTCCAGATTACGATTTATTTATTCCAATTTTGGGTAAGTCAATTGAATCTGTGGAAAGCATTAAGTTCTTGGGTATCTACTTGGATCGAAAACTAACATGGGAAACACAAATAAATAATTTAAATAAAAAAGTAAGTTCTGCTTATATATATAATAAGGTAACCTTTTCAGTTCTTAGGCTTTTGTACTTTGGAGTAGTACAGGCATCTTGTCTATGGAATTATATTTTAAATTTTCTCTGTTTGTACATATTAAGTTTAGTTTTATTCATTTTTGAAAATAAAAAAGAAATTTTAACACATGCATAGTTACTCAACAAGAAGCCAAAATAAGTTAGTTTTGCCATTTTCTAGGCTCTCTGTATGTCAAACATCTTTTATTTATATGGGAATTAAGTGTTATAATAAAGTTATGTCTATTGTGTCTTGTTGTAAATGTTCAAAAATGTTAAAATGCAGATTGCAGACTTTGTTTTTAGAAAAAATATATTATTCTGTGGAAGAGTTTCTTAGTGATAATTTTTATTTCACTTATTTAATGTTTAATAAATTTAGACTGGGCCAAAAAAATCAACAATTTTTTTTTTGAAAAGTATCAGCAAGTTTTTGTTTTAGAACTCCCAAACTATTGAGTTTAACAAAATTGACTCAGAAATATTTTTTTAAGAAAATTAAATGCTCTACAGAAAAGGTTCAAATGAAATTTTCCGTCATCTTTTAACTTTGGAATTTTGTAATTCATGTAAAATCAGTACCCAGAAAAAAACCGATGAATATTCTTATGGAAAATCAAATGCTTTACAAAAAAAGCCTCTTAACATTTTTGGCTAAATTCACTCAATGAAAAGTTATTCGAGGTTAAAGTTGAAGTCAAAACGAAATTCTTGTTTTTTCCTCTGTGGATTTATTTTTTTATGGGTGATAATTTGGTTTTTTTCTTTATAAATGTGTATTATATAACTAATTAACAATTTCCAATAAAAAACATGATTGTTATTACAGTGAAAATAATATTTTTAAAAGAAAATAGCTTCTTAAAGAGAAAAAACTCTAATGTGTTATTTTTTTTTAATTTTCAGTAATTTTGTCAATAACATAAAGATTATCATCGATAAAAGAATTCAAGTTTTTAACCCTGACCCTAAAAAAAATCTAGAGCAGAAAGAACAAGAATTTCGTTTTGACTTCAACTTTAACCTTGAATAACTTTTGAATGTTTGAATTTAGCCAAAAATGTTAAGAGACTTTTATTTAAGCATAAGAACATCTATCAGTTTTATCCGGGTACTGATTTTTACATGAATTACAAAATTCCAAAGTTAAAAGATCAAATTGTAAAACTATACAAATTTTTAAGGCATGATTGTAAGAAAACGGTTCATCTGACGGGAAATTCTAATTAAACGTTTTTTGTAGAGCATTCAATTTTCTTTAAAAAATATTCAAAAAAAAAATAGTTGATTTTTTTGGCCCAGTCTAGTGTTACATAACCATTTAACATTATTTATAGTTCGCCGGAATGGAGATACATCTCGGAGGAGGAAAAACAGTCCATCGGCCTCACTTTCGACAACGACGGGGAGTTCTGGATGTCCTTCAAGGATTTCCAAACGCACTTCAGTCGCTTGGAGATTTGCAACTTGAACCCGGATTCGCTGACGGAAGAGGAGCTCCGCGACGGAAACAAGAAGCAATGGGAAATGAACGTTTTCGAAGGCGAATGGGTGCGCGGCGTGTCGGCGGGTGGCTGCAGAAACTTTTTAGGTGGAAAAAATACGGTTGTTAATTTTTTCCGTTTTTTAATGCATTTTTTTGTTTTTTTAGATACTTTCTGGCACAATCCTCAGTATAGGGTGACGTTGAGTGAAGTGGATGATGGCGATGATGAAAGTTGCACGTTAATTGTCGCTTTGATGCAGAAGAATAGAAGATCCATAAGGAATACTGGAGTGGAGGAATTGACAGTTGGATTTGCCATTTATCATGTGAGTTGCTAATTTTTTTATGTTTTTATTTTAAATATTTCGGTAAAAAGAACATTTCAAAATTTTGCAGAAATTGTATGTTTTTTATTTTAAATTTATCTAAAATGGCTTTGAACATTTTTTTACAATCATCAAAAATCAAGTTTTCTTATTGTAGCACGAAATCGATTGAAACTTTTTTACCTTATTTCTACATCTAAATGCAGTACTTTTTAAAAAAAAAAATCTCGTCCATTGACAACTTTGTTTTTATTTTTATTTTTTTCTTCACTATGTTAAAAATGAAGAAATTTCATTTTTTTTAATAACTTTTTTATTTCAAAACATCGATTTGAAATTTGTACAAAATGTAGATCTTACTAATGAAAATTAATCCATGAAAAAATTTTGTTTAGATTTTAACGTACAGGGGCGCTGGTTATAATTTCTAACTTGCTGACACTGTCTATAATTATTATTTAGATTATACATTTTAATAAATTAATGTTTTGAATTTATAGTACACTTATAAATTGAAACGCAATCCGTAATTTGCAACTTATAAACTGAACTGTCAAATTATCTTTTATGCTTCAAATGGTAGGTTACCATAGAGAAAAGTCTATGATGCCTATGATTAAAATTAGTAAACTTGAAAAAATTTAAAATTTATAAATAAAACTAATTTTAGCTCCATCTATGGCGACTGTAATAAATAATGTTTAATATGTAATATATAATACATTATCATATAAAACTAGATAAAAGAATAAATAATTTGTAAAACACGTTAGTGGAAACATAATTTGCATGTAGAAGTTTATATATCAAATAATAGTTAATTATCAGTACTTACTCAAAATTATAAAACAATGTTTCTTCTTCGACTTTTAACCCTTAAAAAATGGTAAAATTTTAAATTAAATTGTCCCCAGCGCCCCCTGTATGTTATAATAAAATATAATATTTATTGCCATTAATATATTAAGATTTGAAATTAAGATAAAATGTAGACCTTATAAGGTCTACATTTTATCTTAATTTAAAATCGAAACGTTTTTAAATAAAATTGTTATTACAAAATATCGAAATTTATCTATTTTTAAGACAGTAGAGTGACTTAAGGCCTGAAAACCACATCGGTCAATGGTTTTAAATTTAAAAAAATGCACCATTTAGATGTGGAAACAAGGTTAAAAAATATTCAATTCTGGCATCACTTGCGAACAAATGTCCAAAATTTGTTCGATTTTTACGCGAAACCATAGTTAACATTGTAACGTTTTATTCTTTTAGGCACTTTGTTTTAAACTTGTTTAAAACATGTTTAAAACGTTTGTTTTAAACACGCCAACCTTTAATTTTCTATTCCAGCTTCCGTACCCGGACCGCGTTCCCAAACCCCTGGACATGAACTTTTTCAAGTACAACGCCTCTGTGGCGCGTTCCCCTTCCTTCATCAACTTGCGCGAAGTGAGCTGCAGATTTAAACTCCCGCGCGGCACCTACTGCATAGTCCCCTCCACCTTCGACCCCAACGAGGAGGGGGAGTTCCTCCTGAGAGTCTTCAGCGAAAACAAAACCGACATGGAGTATGACGGTCATAATGTTTCTCAAAACCGCGGTTACGATTACTCCACCCCCGCGTCCGCCCCCGCCCCCTCCATGCCGTCCTACCCCCCTCAAGCCCCCGGAGGGTATCCCTCCCAACCCTCCTATCCCACTTCGGGGTATCCCGGTTACCCCACGCAGACTCCTGGTTACCCCCCGCAAAGTCCTGCTTACCCCCCACAAAGTCCCTACCCCAATCCGTATAACCCGCCTTACCCCACCAATCCCTACCAAGCCAACCCGGGGGCGTATCCCCAATATCCCGGGTATCCCCCCGCGCAACCCCCACCTCCCCCGCAACGCGGCAGCGGTAGCGGCAAAAAAGATCCCATCACGAAGTTTTTCAATAATCTTTTTAAATAGGCTTCAAGTGGCAGTTAACTTATCCTCTCTATTTTTTATTTAAATATTACGTTTTATTGAAATATTTACTGATTTTTAAACGTGGTTGTTTATCATACGCTAAAGAAGTATCGCTAGTAGCGCCACCATCGTAACAAAAGTACAACTTTTGTGTTTTCGAGAATAAAGCCGAAAAATGTTAAAAAATATCGGAAAAAAACCGTGGCACGATTTGTTGTGTTGTCGGGTGTATTTCGAGAGGAAATCCTGGGTTGAGTTTTTACCGGTTTTCCAATAAACTGTTAATCCGAATGAAGAAATAAATTTCATCCAGTCAATATAAATATAAATTGTATTTATTAGATACAATAAATACACATTTAACGTGAAAAGTGTAAACATTTCAATTCAGTAAAAATCGTTAAAAGCGTTCATTAAGGAAGTCTCACTCAACGGTAAAATACCATTATATTATGTATTATATATTAGACTGGGCCAAAAAAATTGACTATTTTTTTTTTGAAAAATATATCGAGAATGTCATTCAGAATGACAAAAAAAAATTTGGTGAAAATTTGAGCCCTTAATATTAATTTTATTATTTTATTTTTGATTTTTAGTCATAATTTGATGTTTTACATTAGAACTGTCAAAACATTGATGTGAAAAAAATTCCTTTTCACTTATTTTTACATAAAATTAAATTCTCTACAAAAAAGGTCTGATTGAAAATTTTCGTCAGGCGAGCCGTTTCCGAGTAATTGAGCTCAATAAATCGATGTGTTTTTTCGATTTGCCCTTTTTACTTTGAAATTTTGTAACTAATGAATCAATGAATATTTAAAAAAGCTCACGTCGAATTCTTAAAGGAAATTTAATGTTCTACAAGAAAGGTATCTTAACATTTTTGCCTAAATTTAATTGTTCAAAAGTTATTCACGAAGAAAAAATGGAAATTTTAAGTTTTTCTTCGATTTTAATCGTGAATAACTTTTGAAGAATTAAATTTAGGCAAAAATGTTAAGAGACCTTTTTGGTAGAACATGAAATTTCCTTTAAGAATCCGACGTGAGCTTTCTTAAATATTCATTGGTTCATTAGTTACAAAATTTCAAAGTTAAAAGGGAAAATCGAAAAAATACATCGATTTATTAAGCTCAATTACTCGGAAACGGCTCGTCTGACAAAAATTTTCAATCCGACCTTTTTTGTAGAGAATTTAATTTTATATCAAAATAAGTGAAAATAAATTTTTTGCACTTCAATGTTTTGATAGTTCTAACGTAAAACATCAAATTAACTAAAAATCAAAAATACCGATGATAGACCTCTTAAAATTAATATTAAGGACTCAAATTTTCACCAAATTTTTTTTTTCATTCTGAATGACATTTTCGATATATTTTTCAAAAAAAAAATTGTCAATTTTTTTGGCCCAATCTATTCTATATAATATGTTGCCATGAATTCGTAGTTATATTTTGTTGTTTAAAATGCAGTTGTCGGCGTTTTTTAGAGAACTCAAACATAAAAATGGTTGATTTTAAGTTTATGTTTGTGCAAATATTATTTTTTACTATTTCTTAAAAATGTCCAAACTTAAATATAAATTATATTTGGTAAAGTTATCATTAGTTAATTCTGCACCAACAAATGTACTTACCGAATTGGATCCTTTGGCAAAACATGAAAATGCAACGATTTAGTTCTTGAATTTTATTTACAATTAAATTCACAATAATTTACCATGATCCCTTAGATAAAATGCATACACTAACGTAACTGTATAAGCATTTAAGCGTTGAGTTTCTTAATCAATGATATAAAGAATAATCAAGCGAAATCGAGTACTAAACCAGTTTTTTAGTTTTTTCCTTGCAACGTAAAACACAAATAACGTGCGCGATTTAGCTGTGCAATTGAACAAAATTTGTCGAGTAAGACTTCTTTTGTGAAAAAAATACCTATTTATTTAAAAATGATGTACAGTTCGTTTGCTTTAAATGTATTGTTGACAATTCTTAAATTCACGCAATGCTTTTGAAGTCCACCAGATGGCGCGCGCGTTGCGAAAACCCGATACTTCTTTAGCGAATAGCATGTTCAGAGTCTATGTAAGTTATATAATTGAATGTTTATAATACTACTAATCCTACATACACAAAAAGAAGATATAAAATAGTATCTTTTGCACATTGATAAAACGGTTAGAAATCATTTGATGAACTTAAACATAACTTTCCTAATATTTTTATACATTTTAACAGCATTTAGTAGTTTTTTTAGGTATTTCTATGTTTTGTTTAAAGTTTTAATGATTAATTTTAAGCGAAATAAAAATAAAAAAGTCTATAGGAATGTTATTTTAACCTGCATACTTTATACTTTTAACTACCCCCCCATTTCTACTTCTATTTATTTCTTTTTCTATAATAATTGTATTATACAAGGTGTACCTACCTGAAATGTCTGTTCAAAATGATACCACATATCCCAAGCAGCATTTTAAGTTTAAATAACTACAAATTTCCTATTACTTAAGTCAACTTTAAAGTATTTTTTACGGTTAACCAAAACGGTTTTATAACGGTATAGATACGAAAAATTACCAAATTTGGGAAATGGTTTATTTCGTTATTTTACCTACATAATAACCTTTTTGATCTACTAAGAGAATAACGTAATAAAAACACTATAAATACCACAAATTTACGTAAAAATAACGCTATAATTACTAACTGTTTGCTCTCTCTTTCTAAAACATTGACATTTGTAATTTCTTTGTTCTTTTAATTTATATTTTACAAAATGGTACTTACAAAGTAATAAAGTCCACCCTAGAGTAAAATTAAAAAATATAACTGAAATTGTCAAAACTAATAATATTTTGCATTAAAACTCAAATCTTAAAAATTATATGCCCTCTAAATATTTACGGTTTTAAGAAAAATTATTTTTTGGGTATAAATTCGACAAAACTTAAAACCTACAAAATTTTATAAAATCTTTTAAAAATCATTTAGTTTTAATCATTTTTTAATAGCTAAAACTTTCCTTATTATATTTTAGAAAAATATTTATGAAAAAATATTATATAAATGTTTAGATAAGTAATGGATGCCATCTTAAAAAACTCATTATGGCGACCTGAAAAAAAAATATTTTTCACTTTAAGCTTATTTTTCCTTGTTTAGTCAATATTAATAGTATTTATTACCACTAATAACCCCAAAAAAATACCAGGCGAATAGGAATTATTTGCGGTTATAAAGTGGTCTTAATATCGTAAAATTATGACTTATGAGTAACATTTACCATTAAGTAAAAATCTGACGTTAAAACTACCGTTAAATTTTTCTTTAGGTGAAATTCACTTATAAGTAATTTTCTTTCGTAAAAATTACGTCCCTCATAATACTTAAAGTGTTGAAACTTAAGGGTTATTAAAATAGGTAAAATAACATAAATAAAACTTATTAAATAACTTTAAAACAAGTAAATTTTTAAGGTTAATTTAACAAAATATTTACTTAAATTATGTAATATTGCCTCAAAGCTCTACGCTTTTAATTAAAATTCTGCTTGGGCATTTACAAGGTGAACCTTTTTTGCGTAATAAAGATGAATAAAAGTAATATTTTTACTAAAATGTTTAAACGTAAAATTTTGTATATAGGTGAAGTTACATCGCATTATTTTGTACATGCATTTTAGGTACCCCTTGTATTTATTGGATTAAATACTAATTTCTTATTGTAGGATAAATGACAACGAAATTGGATATGAACAAGACATATTAGTAAGTATAATAATAAATTTATGGTGCATGTCAGCTTCTGTAAAAAGTGCCTTAATTTTCGTCAGAGTGTTTTTCTATGTGTTTGATTGATATTTTAGGAATCTCCTTTACCTGTAGCCCCTGAACTTCAACAACAAAGTAACGAAATTTACGAACATTTCCTTAAACTTGCCGGAACAGATCAAGAAGTTGACTGGTTTGAGTTGAAGGAAGTTCTGGATTATTCCATGAAACAAGGTTGGTACCACTGTTTTTTTTATCACATAAACCAACCTTTTAAAAGTATTGCTATTAAACAATTTTAAAGTCCCACAAGGTTCCTATTTCTACTATATCCAGAAACTACCCTATAGGTTTTTAAAGTGTCGAAAAAAAACGAAAAGATGTCTTTTTTGGGAAAAATTGATTTTTTTGTAAAATATCCAAATTTTAAAAACAGTATCAATTAAAAACTCGACATTATTTTAATTTAAAAAAATATCTTTTATTACAGAAAAAAATAATACTAAACATCGAATTGAATTAAATTGATTTAAAAAAAATAAACTTAAAAATTCGGTTGGGTCTTTTTTGCAAAAAGGAGTCCATTGAAAATATCCAATTACAAAATAATGAATGATTTATAAAGTTACATTACAAAATTATAATTTTATCAATCAAAGTGTCAGATAAAACGAAAGTTATATTAATATACAGCATCTGAATTACTAAATTAAAATAAAAGAAATAATTATTATTATCATAATATTATAATCATAATATTATGATTATAATTATAATTGGTGTCGTATTTTGTTTTCTCCATATCAGTGTACGGATATTATCCGTAATTATTGGGAAATTTTTAGAAAAATTGACTTTTGCATTTTTTTCGTAGGGTAAACCACATGATTATTTAACACTTAAGGAATGTAATTTATTTAAAATTTATATATGCCATTGTTTTAAAGATTTTAGTTTTTTTATTATGAATTTAAACTTTATTTACGTTTACTTAAAAATAAGAATATTTGAATTTTTAATAATAGTTTTATAAAAATATTCAAAAAAGTATAGTAATTGGACATTTTATATAGTAATTCGACAAATGGACCATAGTTATTGGACATACAATTTTTACATCAAATAATTTGAATTGTTAAATATTTTTTAATGATAAATTGCTGTTTTAGGTAATTTTTTTTATCTCGTTTTTGCAAATATCATATAATTCATATATTTCCTTCTCGGCTTCCTCATCCCTTTCTGGATTCTGAAGGTAACTACTAATTCCTTGGTCTGACTTCTGAAAGAGTTTGTTGCAAATATCATTAAGTGTGGTATCTCTAGTTTGTGAAGCATTTATAATGTTTAGGCCGGAACAGGATGATTTATATATATATATAATATTTTTTCGGGTGGTATGTTAAAAGTATTTTCCGAATTTATTAATTTTGTTGCCATTCGTTTTTTATATTCTCTATCATGCACTGTATTTAAATCTCTGTTATTTTGCAAGACGCCTGTGACGAAATCACTATATTACTTACTCTCTAAAACTGAATGTCATAGCGAAAAAGCAGCCACCAATAATTCTCGTCAACAGCATTGTATCCAGGACATTTAGCAGTCAATTCATATGAAATATTATTTGCTGAATCCGAAAATGTCGTCAAAAGTTATAAAAGTAGAGGAGTTTTTGAAATTTAATCAATTTTACATATAATATGGAATTGACTCAAACACTGCTTAACTTTTATAGTTTTTGACGGTCTTTTCGGATTCAGGGGACAATTTTACATAAGAATTGGCTGGTAAATGTCCGGGATACAAATAGAGTATACGTACATATGTCCAATAATAGAAATTTACATTTTTTACCATCCAGTAATTGGACACTGGCCATTTTACTGTTTGTTTTCATAATTAAAATTAAAACGCAATAAAGTGACAATGTTTAAACCATGAGGAACACATTTATACCACACACTAATCTGTACACTTTTTCGAAATATTTTTTGTTGTAATTTAAACACAGCCCTGCTCCTAACAAAAAAACAAAAATCTTACCACCAAAATAACGTGCGAACTTTTTTGTTCTATATTGGTCCCAAAATAAAGTAGTTCTATATTATTACCGACTGAGAAAGTTAAAATTGAGGAGCATCCGTGCAAAACCGGCTATATCCACTTTAATAAAATGTTGGGAAAATGGCAAAAACTCTCGGTTTCCTGGCCTTTACAGATAAAGGAAAAAGCAAACTTGAGTTTTGTGGGCTTTGAGGTACTTGATTTATAAGACATACTTTCGTTTTCAAAAATTTTATGTTAAGGCCAAAATTTCAAAAAATGTTTTTTATATAGCCGGTTTTGCTCAAAAACCAAATAAAATGTGAAAAAAAACCTTTATTTTTCAAAAATATTAACAAAATAAATTTATTGCAAACATGAAAAAATAGAACAAATTTTAGCAGTAGTATCGACATATCCAAGCCACATGCTCATCATCATTATTATTTATTGGATATAGCCGGGTTTGCTATAAAAACGTGGATTTGGCCGGTTTTGCTCCTAAAGCTACCTTTTAAATGTGATTTTAACATGGATATAGTCGGATTTAAACAGAATTATCTTGGTTGTCGATAGAAATAAACCCAAAGATGCGAAATCAGAAAAAAAACTAAAACTGAATAAAATGGATTTAGCCGGTTTTGCACGAATGCTCCTCAATTGTATACAGCGTCATCTAATGATTTGACTTTAAGATAACTATTTATAGAACCCTTTTTTTTCAGTATTAATGTTAATTGTTCAATAAGTATAAAGTGTCCGATAACTGTCTATTGTGCCCTATTGCCCTTGGAATAAAATGGAAAAAAATGCAAAAGTCAATTTTTCTGAAAATTTACCAATTTTCCGGAAAAAACGTTTTTTTTTTCAGACAGCTCAATTTTTTCGGAAATTTTAAAACCCTACTACCCAAACAATCCTAAAAACTTGTAACGCTTGTGTTTCTTGTTATAAAATAAACCTTGCTTATGTGATCATCAGAACTGCAAAGCATCACCACCCAACCTCAGAAAAAGACCGCCAACGGCCTAAACGCCGCCCCTGGCGGTCAAACGCAGAACCAAAATCGGGGGCAAGGAGCGAATAACGAATTGACGGGGATGATAACCGCTTTCTTGGCTCTTTTGTGCGGAAGAATGTGTAAAGATACGCCACTGGCGGAAATTATTCCGCAACCCAGTAGGGATAATCCTCTGACTTCGGTGTTTTCCGGTAGGTTTCTAACCTGCATGGACACTGCATGATTAACTTGCTGCTTTGTGTTAGTTTGTAGTCTCTGAAACCCTTTGTAAATTAATTATTAATTAATACACAGGTTCAATTTTTTATTTAAGGTTTTTACGTAATGAAGTCAAATTTAACCTCAGAATTACTCCATTAAATTACATTGAGAAATTGTAGGTTACATTCATTTGGGGAAGATGTACAGGGTGAGACATTTAACTTGAATCTTTGAAATATCTCAGTATGAATTTTACGAAATAATGTTTAAAATAAAAATTAAATAGTTCGAGGGGGGATTTTACGGTTTTGCCACTCTACAGAGTGTCTTAAACTTATGGTAAAAAACATCTTTTTGTTTAAACCTGTATATTATAAACGTACGTCTATTTTTTAGTATTTTTTTAAAATGTGAGCGATTGTCCATTAATTTATATACAATATTCTTTAATACTCGTTTAAATCCGACATCAAATAAAAAAGTTATTTGCGATTGAAATTCATCGAAAATTTGTGTGGATCGATTATTTTGCACGTGAGTGTATTACAAATATGAAAAAATGTTTTAGAAAAAATCTATCTATTTTTAGTCGAATGATCCGATTCTGCAATAAAAAAATAGGGTGTTCCATGGGAAATTTTAAAGTTACCCCATCGAATCATTTAATTTTTATTTTAAACATTTTTTCGTAAAATGCATAGGTAATAACTGAGATAAATCAAAGTTTCAAGTTAAATGACTGTATATTGGAAAATTACTTAAAAACTTGATAGGAGAAATTCTGAGGTTGCATTCGAATTCAGCGCGTCAAAAAAGTTCGGTTGATTGGATTTTGTAGGGATATTTTGTAAAATATTGCGCATTTTATAGTCTCACCCAATATCAATTGTTTGACTTTTATAGATATGCAAGCTAGAGGGTTTTCCAAAGATATTTGCCGAAGTATGGTAGCCATGATGGATGAAGATCATTCAGGAAAACTCGGTTTTCCAGAATTTAAAATCTTGTGGGGATTGCTTAGAAAATGGAAGGTATGTTGTATTTTTTGCAGTAAAACATATTGGTCATTTCGCGTCAAATTTTCGTTCAAAATTTAAATTTTCCTGGAATATTTTTTTTTTGTTTACGATGCGAAAATTATTTGTTAATTATATGGACAATTTTGGAGTCATGATTTTTGGAATTTTAGGACTAGAAAAATCCATCTTTATAGAACAGTTTAAATATAACAAACCCTAATGTTTTTTTGGCAAAAGTTTGACATTAAGTGAAAAAATTAAATTTTGAAAATTTTAATTTTTATGCTAATTTCACAAATTAATATTTTTTTTAATTCCACCATGTTTTTTCAATTTTCACAATGTATATGGGTCAAAATCTCCCAACTATAGCACCAAACAATTATTTCCCAATCTTTTTCAAATTACAGGTTCTAGGTTTAGTTTTCCTTTGATCAACTAAAAAAAAAATATTTCCTAATAATATTATAAAATATATTTTTTTAAATGTTTGATTTATTTCAATGAAGTAAATTATTTTTCTTTACTTTTAAATAATATTTTAATCAAAAAAAATGTATTTAAAAAAAAGTTCGATTATTTTGCTTTTAAATCATATATTGGATGGAAATTGAGAGATTTTCAACTGTTTGATGCGCTAATGCGTTATTTTGACACCTGACTTTAAACGATTGAAAATCTATAAAACAATTTTCATCCCATTATTAAACTTATATAATTTTAAAGCAAAAGAATCAAGCAGAAGAATGAGTCTAATTTTATTTTTTTAATACATGTTTGAAAAAAGTGAAAAACAATTTAAAATTAATTTTTTTTTAATTTAAAACAATAATTTGCTTTACCAAAAATATTGAAAAAAATTAATTTAAAATATTTAATTTCAAAAAAATTATTTATGAAATATTTGTCAAAGGGAATTTGTTAATTAGAGGTAATGAAGCAACTACTATAATTTGGTAAAATTTGAGTTATGTAATTAGTGTAAAATATTAAAATGGGAGCACCTGAAACTTTTTTTCTAACTTCTAAAGATTAAAAATAATTTATAATAATTATATCCTACCAAAAAGTACGCCACTGATCGACTAGGAACTTTGTGCTAATCTGGTTGCTTAATTTAATTTATTATGTTATGGTTGGTAACAACCAGCGTTTCCAAAAGGTTGCCAAATTTGGTTTAAATTTAGATTTATTACAAAAATGACAAAATCAAATTGTTAATTTGGTGTTTTTATTAATTGTTTATTATATCATTTTTGCAATGAAGGTAAATATAAACAAAATCTGACAACTTATGACAGAATCTAGTGCATTTCTTTAAAATTTTAGGTTATGTGCTCAAATTGTAAATATCTTAACTAAGGAAAGTGCTTTTGAATTTATTCACACAAATTGGTTGTTTAAAGTTTAACATGTAAACTTGTCCTAATTTCATATTAGTAAACAGAAAAAAACCGATGAAAAATTAATTTTGTCGTTATGGAGTTTTTAAGATAGGTAGGTACTAAATTTTCTAATCATTGCTTAAACCAATAGCTGGATGAGTAAATAAGTACAGAAGGGTATTAGAGCTTTAAGGGCATACAACTTGTATTTATTGAGTTTTTATTTATTTTTTGCAAGAAAAATTTTTAGTGGCTATTTTGTAAAACTATTTTAATATATTACATTAATTACATAACACCCTGTATAATGTTCTGTATACTTTGGTAAGTGCATATATCATTTTGAAAACTGAAAGAACATTCCATAATTTGAAAAATCTAGGTACTTATTTGTCTATAAAATTAGAATAAAAAGTAAAATTTTCCAAAATATTTTTTTTTATTTAACCTAACCTCCAACTTTGGCCAACAAACATTAGGAGTTTGTTAAATCGTATTTTTCTAGTCCTAAAATTACAAAAACCATAACTCCAATTTTTTTTATATATTTTAATTCCAATTGGCAATAAAAAAATGCTTTTTAAAAAAGTAGTTTTTTTGGTATCGTAAACGAACAAACAATTTTGCAGGCAAATTTAAACATTGACGTGAAATAAACCATATATATTTTAACTTAACATTTGTTGTATTGTTTAGGATATATGGTATTCCCATGATCAAGACAGATCTGGGTCGTTCAGCGGTTTTGAGTTAAGAGACGCTTTAAATATGGCAGGATATCGCGTTAACAATAAACTTTTAAACGCCCTAATGCACCGGTATGGCAATAAAAATGGGGAAATTCAGTTTGACGATTTTATTTTGTGCGCCATCAAACTTAAAACCATGTTTGGTAAGACATCATTTTAAAGTATGCTTTCGTGTTTAACCTTGTATTTTTTAGATGCGTTTAAGAGTAAAGACGAAAAAAGCACAAACTCAGCGACTTTTAGCTTGGAAGAATGGTTGGAAATTACATTATACACATAGATAATCTATTTTATTATAAATATACACCAAAATATGTATCCAAAGATTTTATGGAACTTTAAATTTTAAAGTTATTGCTTACCAGTATTGTTTTAAATATAATATATTATATGTATTTGTAATGTTTTAAATAATCTATATTTGTTATGATATGTTAACACTGCCTTTTTTACGTACACAATTTTATTGTGATCATAAAAAAATTATATAAAATTAAATAAATGTGCCAGCTATAATTAATTTTATTTTTATTTTATCACTTATCAATATACCTACCACAAAAATTGCATATAGAAATTTCTACTAATTTTAAAATTACAAATTTTTCTTTTGAGTAGTTTTTTTAATTATTAATCATTTAAATTTAAAAAAACTTGAGATACAGTTAATTTTTTTTTTATTTGGACTCATGTTTTTTTATTAAGCTTATGTCAGTTTTAGTATTTAAAAAATGGTACTTCTGCTGAAGACCTTAATTAAATACTATATCACATAAAATATATACAATATTATTGATAATTTACTTGCCAAAAATAATAGATTCCAAAGTAAAAGAACTTTTAAGGGCAAAACTTCATTTTGATGAAGTTATGCCTCAATGGCAGAAAAAGTACATCGCCTTATGGACATCAAATTTTAATATCTTTTATATAAATTCAAAGCCAAATTAATTGCATTTTATCTACGAATTTTGACAACCGTTGAATGTAACCTACAATAATAAACCACAATAAAAGTTACTAACAATCAAATTTCCTACCGAGGCCTTTCTGAAAACTACAAAATTTGGTTTATTAGGAATCCTACTAAGTTGGCAACACTGCTCCGACCTTAATTAAAGCTAGTAATTAGTTCGTTTTCTTTTTGCCAGTTGCAGGCTTTGTTATCTGTGGTGGCAGCACTGAAATAAATCCATAAACGGCGAGGCGGCTTCTCCTTTATAAATTAATTATCACCACATCCACAAGTTGTGGAACACAACTAATTAATTAACTAATTTGTTCGTTTTACATTGCATGTTCAAAATTGTGCATTAAATTATTGCATAAATAAATACAGATGATCAAGTTAGTGTGTTTGCCCGTTTACACGAGACGCCCATGCAAAGAACACGCCCACGTTCCGAGTGACGTATACAGTGTTGCCATATATGAAAAATGTTCTTCAATACCTATGCAGATTTTCAGCTGTAAATGAGAGCAAAATTTACTGAAGAATTAATTTTTTTTAGCATTTTGGTACCAGTACCAATGAGCAAAATTGTTCACAAAAATATACGCTTATGCGTCAGTTTAAGACAAGAAAAAACATTAATTAATGTATTCCTCATATACCTCTGACTACTATTCCTTTTCATACTGTTGCTTTTATATATATTTTTTCTTGGAAACCTACTTTTACTTTTGATATACCTAAATGGGCCAAGTGACAGTTTTTCGGAAAAAATGCGATGTGCCTGGACTTTTAAACTTTTCAAGTTAAGTTTAAATTTTGGTCCTAATTTAAATATTATATTCTTTAATTAATCATTATTCTACTAGCATTAAACACTTTTCTTATTATTTAAATAATTCCTCATGTATTTCAGTAATAATTAATTAATTATTATAGGTAAATTTATATTATATCTGTGACTGATATGTTAAAATTCCACCGCACTTACCTGTACTAGGTACCTATATATAGCTACTATACTATGCGGTAAGTATAGGTACTTACTGCATAGTTAATCAACCAAAGATTATAAAAAAAATCAACGAAGAATATGGACAATTTTGAAGAATTTTCGTGAAATATATCTGGCAACAGTGGCCTATGATTGATTTGACATTAAAGTGAAATAATTTATTATCTATGGTAAACAGACGCCGTAAATTGGTTTCAGCCTTTAATTCCTGCGAAAATGAGTGAAAAGAGCTGTGATTTTCAGTGGAATTCGCCTGAACTGGAGGAACTCGCCAATTCCGCTAATAACTCGGTGATTCCGGCAAAATCCAAGCAATTATATGAAGATAGTTACAAACGTTTTGTGAAATATTGTGAAGAGCAACAAGCAGATGACTTTTCTGAAAGTGTTTTGTTGGCCTATTTTTTCAAGTTATCGAAACAGTACAAAAGCTCCACTCTATGGTCGAATTTTTCGATGATCAAAGCCGAATTAAATATTAGACACAACGTAAACATAAACACTTACACCAAACTTACAGCATTTTTGAAGCACAATGGCAAGGGGTACACTGCGAAGAAATCGAAAGTGCTCACTAAACAGCAGTTCGACGAATTCCTAAAAAATGCCCCGGATAATGTATATTTAGCTACAAAGGTAAAAAGTTTAGTTACCTACGAAAACTCATGCTTAATCATGTATTTTAGATTATATTGATATTTGGGGTAACCGGAGCGTGTAGATGCGATGAGTTGCTAAGCATGACTGTAAACGATATCACCGATTTGGAAAAGTTAATATTGGTGCAAATTCCCCGTGGCAAACCGCGATCATTTCATATTATTGGCGATTCTTATATTAGGCTGTACCGTAAATATGCTGCTCTCCGCCCGAAAGACATAACCACCGCAAGATTCTTCATTAAATATCAAAACAGTAAATGTCACCGAGTGGTGATGGGGAGACATAAAATTGCTCAGACAGCAAAGGAGGTTGCCTCGTTTTTGCAATTACCCAACCCTTCGGAGTACACAGGTCACTGTCTTCGAAAAACATCGGCAACAATTTCAGTGGAGGATTGTGGAGACACTCCCCTTTCAACCCAGCAACCAGCAGGTGAAAAAAAGTTACATGAGTGGTCAGGTGGGTCTATTTAACCTCAATTTTTGGGAGATTTATTTTACTCCATAACTAATTTTTTCATCAATTTTTCTTTTTGTTCACTCAGATGAAATTAGGAAATTGGTTAAGATATTTAGAATTTGAGCACAAAACCTAAAATTTGAAAGAAATGCACTAGATTCTGTCATAAAAATTGACAGATTTTGTTTGAATTTTCTTTCATTACAAAAATGACACAATCAACAATTAATAAAAACGCCAAATTAACAATTTACCTTGTTGATTTTGTAATTTTTGTAATTAAGCTAAATTTAAACAAAATTTGGCAACTTTTTTTGACAGAATCTGGAAACGCTGGTTGTTACCAACCATAACATAATAAATTAAATTAGGCAACCAGATTAGCCTAAAGTTCCTAGTCGATCAGTGGCGTACTTTTTGCTAGGATAAAGGTTATTATAAATTATTTTTAGTCTTAAGAATTTAGAAAGAAAAGTTTTAGGTGTTTTTTTATGGACTATAATTTATACCATCTTCAAATCTGTCAAAAAATCAGGGGATACAAAAAAAAATCCGAACTGGATTTTGGCGACGTTATTTCTGGTGATGATTTATATTTGTCACATGTCATCTTTTAACTGTCACTTGTCACCTATCTGTCATATGTCCCCAACCTCTTGTCATCTGCCAACTTAACATCTGTACCTATATGATTTGCAAAAAAAATTAAATTGACTTCAATTGAATTTAAATATCCACCTGATAAATGGTTTTATTAATTTAATTTTTTTTTGTTTGAGAAATTAAATTTGGACAAATTTGACAACGTCGCATTATTACTTAATATTTTGAATTCGTTTTGGGAATTTGTATAAATAATTTTTTTTCAAACAAAACTGTTTCGTTTTAATTCGATAATAGTAGGTATATTAAATTAATTCATAAAACGAGCGACGAAGGAGCGAGTTTTATAATGGATGAGCGCGACAAAAGGTTTATGACATGATTTCTTTATGCTATTTTATCTATTTTGCAAAAATTCTATAAAAAAAATTTATTTGATACCTTAAATTTAATTTGATCGAATTTTACTTTAGATAGTTGGTATCACAGTCATTGGTTTGACAGTTAATGTCCATGCCGTCCTTTATTTACTTATTTACAATAAGCGGCTGTTAATGTTAAAGAAGAAAAAAAGGATTTTCTTTGGTGTTAATCAAAATTTATTGCCAGAAAAGTCTCGTAAGTACTAGAAAAATCATAAAAATATTATAACCAATATGCAAAATATTATGTTGTTTAAAGTATAGCCAACCTATAAAATCAAAATTTTGGGTGGGATACAGCACCGAAAGCGGTGTTATAATGAAGTCATTATGAACGCAAAATAGATACAAATTATTTTTTCTGTTAACAGTCTGTTAACTACATTATTTTACCCTTTGATTTCTATTTTTTGTTTGCGCAATTCCGTTTTCATTTTGGAGCAAAATATTTTTGAAAAATTTCTGAAAAAAAAGTTTTTGGCAGATGCGTTTTGGACAAAATATTTTCACTCGTTTAATAATTAAGAGATTTCAATCAAAAGGCTAAAATTTTATAGGAAAATGGAAAAAACTGAACTTGGGCCTTTTTGACACCCGAAGAATTTGGACCAAAGGACAAAAAAGGATACAAATTTCAACTTTGTATCGATTGTAAACATTTCAATTCAGTAAAAATCATAAAACAAATGTCGTCTTATTTCAAATGCATTATTAAAAGCGTTGATTGAGAAATTCTCCACCCAACGGTAAAAAAACAAAAACGGGTATTATATACAGGGTGTTATGTAATTAATATAATATCTTAAAGTGGGTAGTTCCTTAGGGTCCATAAAGAAGCATCTAAAACCTTTTTTTCTAAATGCTAAAGACTAAAAATAATTTATAATAACTTTTATCCTACCAAAAAGTACGCCACTGATCGACTAGGAACTTAAGGCTAATCTGGTTGCCTAATTTAATTTATTATGTTATGGTTGGTGACAACCAGCGTTTCCAGATTCTGTCAAAAAGTTGCCAAATTTTTTTTAAATTTAGCTTAATTACAAAAATGATATAATCAACAATGCAAATTGTTAATTTGGGGTTTTTATTAATTGTTTATTAGGTCATTTTTGTAATGAAGGTAAATTCAAACAAAATCAGGCAACTTTTATGACAGAATCTAGTGCATTTCTTTCAAATTTTATGTTATGTGCTCAAATTGTAAATATCTTAACTAAGGGAAGTGCCTTTGGATTTATTTACACAAATTGAATGTTTTAAGTTTAACCTGTGAACTTGTACTAATTTTATCTGAGTAAACAGAAAGAAAAAAACCGATGAAAAAATTAATTTTGTAGTCATGGAGTTTTTAAAATGGGTACTAAATTTTTTAATCATTGCTTAAGCTAATAGCTGGATGAGTAAATAAATACAGAAGGGTATTAGAGCTTTAAGGGCATACAACTTTTGTATTTATTGAGTTTTTATTTATTTTTTGCAAGAAAAATTTTTACTAATAATTTTTATCAACTGGCAACGCGCAGCTACTTTGTTGGTTGATCTATGCACTCACAAAACATAAGTGTGTAACCAGTGGCGTATCACAAAAAATATAAAAACTTCTAATGCATATTTTTTCTTTATCTTTGGGAAAATATTTTTTTAAATATTTTCCCGTTACACCTCATGTCAAAAGGTATTCAGTATTTTAATATATTACATTAATTACATAACATTATAGGTTTACTTTCTTTATTCTGTAATCTTTTAGCTGCATACAATTTAGACAAATCCTTTAATTCAGATGTAAATTTTACACAACCAATAGAGCATATTAAGGTGGAACCAGAATTTGGTGATAGTGAAGATATAGTTCCAGAAGATTTAGAAATAAATGAAGAGGATTCCAGCGAACAACTTGATATAGACTTTGCAGGGCAATGCATAGATTATGCACTTCCATGCCAATCAGAATCCAATAAACGTAAGTAAATTTTTATTTTTAACTAGATGACCCGTTGAATTTCGTTCCACCTAAAAATGATTTGAGGGGGGAAATCAATCAGTACTAAAATTGGTCCTCATACTCTCCTCCTTATAGGGGGAACAGGGGGTAACTTTAATTTTTTTTATATTTGTAATAGATGGCGCTGTAATGAAAAAAAAATTCAATTTTGTTCGATTTCTCTTCTGTATGCGATTCTGCAATAATTTTTCTATAAAAATATCACTTTTTTTGGTAATAATTATCTTATTAAATTAAATCTGATTTTTTAACTAAAATTTAAGTTTCCTTTGGTTTAAGTTTTATACATTATTTCATTCGATTATAATTATCAATTGCGCACCATAGTCACTTTTTACCTGCCAGCATTAAATCCTTTAATTTAAAGGATTATTTTACTATTTTTAATAAAAATACCTCATTAAAGGTAAAATAACATTATGTCAATTAATAAATTTAATCCTAATTGAGGTATAAAAATGGTATTTAGTTATAAATAATTATTATTGAGGTATAAAGAAACTATTTATAGTTTAGCATTATTTTAATAAATTTAGTTCGAAGATTAATTTGCAAACAAAAAGACCTCCTTTCGTTAAGCAGTTATTCATAATGGATTTTTTAACAGTCGAAGAAAAAATAGAAATGATTTCGATTTATGGAGAAGCAGACAGGAATCTTGATGATGCTGTTAATATCTACGCTCAGCGTTTTCCGGATAAAATTCGATCGCGTACTTCATTTCACCGTACAGTCAAGCAGTTTACTACAAACGGGAGTGTTCAACCGAAAAAAAGATTTCGTCGAGCAACAGTCACTGGTGGAAATAAAACGAAATGCGAATTAATAAATGCGTTGAAGGCCACCATTTTGAGCACCTACTTTAATTAAAATTTAAAAAACAATATAAATTTAAAAAATAAAACCAAGTATTTTATTCAAAAATTATTGGAGAATCGTATATAGAAGAACATTCGAACAAAATTGATTTGTTTTCATTAGAGCGCCATCTATTACAAATTTGAAAAAATGTTTTAGACAAAATCTACCTATTTTTAGTAGAATGATAATGGTAATAAAACAGTGTTGCCACAGAAGTGGCAAATTTCTTCCTTGGAGACTCAAAAACTAAATTAATTTACCCATAGGTTAACTTTCTCTTTTCCTTAACCTTTTAGCAGCATACAATTTAGACAAACCAAGTGCCTATGATTCAGATGGACAATTTACACAACCAATAGGGTCAAAAGAATTTTGTGATGATGTGAAAAAAATAGATGATTTAGAAATGAAAGAAGAAGATTCGGGCGAACAAATTTACATAGAGTTTGCAGAACAATGTTTAGATTACGCAATAAAATATTTAAAACAATGTACCAAAACCCATGTGGTTAATCAAGTTATGTTTTTGGAGAAATTAAAAAAAGACTTGCCAACATATGAGTGACTTTTACATACATACAATGAGTATAGATAGGTACCAATTAAGGGTCAAAGAATAAAAGTGGTTTAAGGTTTTTTTGCTTAACAGGAAGCTGCAATTATACCCCTTTTATTCTTGGACCCTCAATTGTAAGTATATAATAGTAAATACTCTAAAGAAGTATCGCTAGTAGCGCCACCACAATCAGCTGTCAAACGCTTATGATACAAACGAGTGTTTTTGAGAATAAAGCCGTAAAATGTTAAAAAATATCGAAAAAAAACCGTGGCTCGATTTGTTGTGTTGTTTGGTGTATTTCGATAGGAAATCCTGGGTTGAGTTTTTACCGGTTTTTCAATAAACCGTGTTAATCCGAATGAAGAAATAGATTGCATACAGTCTCTGTAAATATAAATTGTACCTATTAGATACAATAAATACACATTTTAGTAGTGATTAACGTGAAAAGTGTAAACATTTCAATTCAGTAAAAATCGTCAAACAAATAAGTCGTCTAAATTTAAACAGAATTTAGCATTATAAAAGCGTTGATTAAGAAAGTCTCCACTCAACGCTAAAATACCATTATATTATGTATTATATAATATTATGTTGCCATGAATTCGTAGGTATATTTTGTTGTTTAAAATGCAGTTGTCGGCGTTTTTTAGAGAACTCAAACTTAAAAATGGTTGATTTTAAGGTTATGTTTGTGCAAAAACTATTTTTTACTATTTCTAAAAAATGTCCAAACTTAAATATAAATTATATTAGGTAAAGTTATCATTAGTTAATTCTGCACCAACAAATGTACTTACCGAATTGGATCCTTTGGCAAAACATGAAAATGCAACTATTCAGTTCTTGAATTTTATTTACAATTAAAAACACAATAATTCAACATGATCCCTTTGATAAAATACACACACTAACGTAACTATATAAGCATTTAAGCGTTGAGTTTCTTAATCAATGATATAAGGAATAATCAATCGAAATCGAGTACTAAAAAAGTTTTTTAATTTTTTCCTTGCAACGTAAAACACAAATAACGTGCGCGATTTAGCTGTGCAATTGAACAAAATTTGTCGAGTAAGACTTCTGCCTTCCTCTCTTTTGTGAAAAAACTACCTATTTATTTAAAAATGATGTACAGTTCGTATGCTTTAAATGTATTGTTGACAATTCTTAAATTTACGCAATGCATTCGAAGTTCACCAGATGGCGCGCGCGTTGCGAAAACCCGATACTTCTTTAGCGTATACTAGGGAAGCATCGATACTTGTTTTTGTATGTATCGGCGATACCGATACGGATGAACTGATTATTTTGTTTAATTATTAATAAACTAACCACGGCATAATAGCATAATCTGATTATAGACTCTTTTGGTAACACAAAAATGTATTTATCAAAATCCCAGCTGATCCTTTATTAAAGTTTTGCATATTTTAAAATTGTTTATGCCATTTCGATAAAATACTCTAGTACCATTATCAAATGTTTTTAAAAATTTGGCAGATACATGACTGAAATATGGATAAATTACATTATAAATACAAAATAATGTAAAATACAGTTTGCAATATCTTATTTATTGTTTTAAGGTACCTAATACAAAACTAATAAATAACTAAAGATTCTTTGAAGCAAAATCGATTACTGCTTGCCTTAAATTTTCAGTAAAACTTTTTCTTGGGTTTTACATGGAATTGTTTTTAACATGGAAACAGTATTTTTAAATTCTTCAGTCTCTGTACAAACATGCTTCTTACATCTAGCGATATCCCCTAGAAAGGAAGAGCATATCAAAACTTTAGTTCGTTCGTCCGTCCTCATCCCTTAATAATTTTGTATGCCCTTTATATCTTGCCATTTTGCAGATAAAGCACATACATTCTTGGCTGCTGCGAAATTCTCTAGCAATTTCTAAATTTTGAAAATTTGGCAATTGTGGCTATGCAAAAATACCGTTTTTACCATATTGAAGTAGGTAATTTTAAATCAAGTTAAAGTGTTCGTTTGAAAAAGTCTCCGGAAATTTTTATATTTTCTCAGAAACCCTAAACTCTGAATTTTTCGATTACCAAAAACAATTTTGTCTCCACAGCCAGCACATACCTTCTTTCGATTTTCTTCATGGCTTAACTTGAATTTCGGTTTAATTTTCATTTTAAAATACTATTTTTAACTTTATAAAGTATACATTAAATAAACAACTAAAGCAAAATGTCACTTGCGTTATAATTGCAATTTTTTTTTTCATAACCACCTTAATTATTGTTTTACAAAATTTGCAAGTTGTAATTATTTCATAGACAAACTTCCAGTATTTTTTGTTATAAAAAATATTTAAGATATAAATCTTCGTTTTTTTTGTTATGTTTTGTTTTGAGTGGTAAAAAATAATAGGTGACTCAATAAATTAATACTGGGGAGTAAAGTAATTTAAATGATACAAAGTTTATTATTTTGCTTAATTTTATTAAAATTGTACAGGTAGTTTTAGTACAATAATTGCAAAATAATATATAGAAATAGAAAAACAAAAAAGTTTGCAAAACTTTAAAATAGGATCAGCTGGGATTTTGATAAATACATGTTAGTGTTACCAAAAGGGTCTATAATCAAAATATGCTATCAGTTTTGGTTGGCATTTTTGTTCGTCTTATACTTAAGTTTTGACCACCGGGTTTAATAATTTAAATTAACATTAACAAGATTTTTATTTAGGAAACACAACATTAATTTACATACTTTTTTCAAATAAGCGAGAAATTCGAAACGTATCGAAATCGTCGATACCGATGTAGATATACAGGGTGTCCCAAAATTGGCGGCCCAAAGGGTGAAAGTATATTCCTCTTGAAATTCCAAGATGAATTTTTTCGAATTTGAATAATGGGATTTTAAGAAGAATTTACCTTTACCCCTTGGGCCCCCAATTTTGGGTCACCCCATATATTAGTTGACTGATCAATACATTTTTTATTTATTATATTATATAAGGCTGTTTTAGTGTAAATAAAATTTTCTATAAAATTATGTGTTTTTCTTAATAATAATAAATTGCTCTACACTTACATAATATGTAATATTATTAATTAGCACTAAACCAATTTTAAAACTTGTTTGTTTTTTTATCAAATTTAGATTTTTTACATTAAATTTGAACTGCCTAACAATCCGCTCCATATAAAAAATATCCGCTACAATCATAGAAATAACACTGTTATTTCTATGGCTACAATCCTATCGAGTTCGTACATCATCGTTAAATCAGAAAATGCACATATTGGAGTCTTATATTAGGCAACCCAGTGCACATATAATCAGCGACATCTATGCGAATTTACTACAAACCATAAACTAAGCTACAAACTATACAGATTACAGTATTTGTTTTTATTGTTTGTTGAGTTGCCTAATATCAAACTCCAAAAAAGGTTTAAAAATTAATTTTTATATTCCATAAACACAAACTTTATTATAGCATTTAATGGTAAAATATGGTTTAGGAAAATATTAATTTTTAATTATATTTTAAGTAACATGTTTTTTGTTAACATAGCAATTAATTAGTAAAGCTTTTAGCCCTAATACAGATTGATATTTTGTGATAGCTAGACACGCTATTTTAAATGGGGTGCCTTTATTACCATTTTCAACAATTAATTTTAATTATTCATGACTTCTACCTTTGCTTTAAAAATAAAAAAAATAGTAAATTCTGAAAATTAATTTAAAATGAATAAACTATTGAAACCCACTGAAAAAATTATACTTCTATATTTTTGTTAAAAATATTTTGGGATTGAAATTTTTAAAACATGGTTTTCAGAAAAATCATTTTAAATTGGCAAAATACCATAGAAAAAAAATATGCTACCAAAAGGTTGGTCACTCACTTGATTTTCTAGGTTTTTTGACATAAAATTTAAGAGGTATATTTTTAATAAATAAAAAATTGAATAAAGATTAAAAAGTTAATTTTTGAAATATATACAGTGTGTTTCTTAATTGGACGCCGGCTTTACTTTGAAGAAATAGGGAGTAAAATTTAAAAAAATATATATTACTTTTTCTTAATATAATAGGTAACCGCTTTATATATATTTTCTTAAGTTTTATTAATTGACAAGTAGGCATAATGGTATAAGACGTCATTTTGTCGCACGCAATGGACGAGTGCGACAAAAGGTCTTATGACATGAGTTCTTTATGCTATTTTATCTATTTTGCAAAAATTCTATAAAAAAAATAATTTTATACCTTAAATTTAATTTGGTCGAATTTTACTTTAGATAGTTGGTATCACAGTCATTGATTTGACAGTGAATGTCAAAATCGATTCGCCATGCCGTCCTTAATTTACTTATTTACAATAAGCGGCTGTTAATGTTAAAGATGAAAAAAAGGATTTTCTTTGGTGTTAAACAAAATTTATTGCCAGAAAAGTCTCGTAAGTACTAGAAAAATCATAAAAATATTATAACCAATATGCAAAATATTATGCTGTTTAAAGTATAGCCAACCTATGAAATCAAAATAGATAAAATAGTTTTTTGTGTACCAAGGCCAAAAAGTGACTTTTCTGACCTTAAAATCACCCAAGGACTGAGCATTATCCAATTAAGAAATTATTAAGTAGTTACAGAATTGCGATAAAAGAGTCCATTTCAATACATTTTATCCAGGACAGGACGGCCAGCTAATAATAAAACGTCGGGAGCCCGGGGCGCAAATGAATGATGTCTCGAATATTTTAATGTCGATGGCAAGAGCGTTTCTCGAAATGGATTCATTAACGCCACATGATTTACTCATTGTTGTGCTATTTATTTTCCGTTTGCCGTACATATAGTAGACACCATAAGCGATAAATCTAATAAATGAATGAACCACTTTACCCGGCAAAATTCAATTAACAGTTTTTTTTGGAAAAATATTATTACCTGTGCGTTTTACCATGACTTTTTCTTATTTTTTGTTTTTAAGTCAACTTTAAAGTATTTTTTACGGTTCACCAAAACGGTTTTATAACGGTAGGCAGAGCTGGGCAAAGCACTCAAAAAAAGTGCTTCGAGCACCAAGCACCAAGCCCTTTGGAAAAGTAATTGCCAGCACCAAGCATCAAGCACTTTGAAAACTTTAAGTGCTTGCAATTACCAATTACCGAGAAAAGTAATTGAAAAATTCAATTACCAAGCACCAATTACTCAAAAAGTGCTTGCAAGCACTTTTTTCTTAAATAAATTACCAATTACCAAGCACTTTTTAGTTTTCCAATTGCTTCCTACCCAATTAATTAACATCTTTATTTTAAAAATAAGAAACATTTTTGGATGATCGTTATATTAAAATAACCAAACCAAACCAAAGTTTTTTGTTTTTAATTTATTAGTCCACACAACATGACGCAAAACAATTAAAGTGAAGAAATCATCAAAAAATAAGTACAAATTATCTGCAAGAAGGAGAAAGGTACTGGCCAAGTCGGCCTTCAACCAACCAATCACATTAAAGCTTATGCTGCACCGCACACCGCATTAGATGATGATGAAACCACAGGGTTGTTACTAAGGGCATTTCCCTCTAGAGTCTAAAGTGCTCGGGAGCACTTTAAATGCTTGCAAGCCCTCAAATCTGATAGTGCTTGCAAGCCCTTTAGTGCTTGCAAGCCCTTTAAAGTGCTTGCAAGCCTTTTAAGTGCTTGCAAGCACTCTAATGGCTTGAAATGCGAAATTCAATTACCAATTACCAAGCACTTTTTATAAAGGGCTTCAATTACCAATTACCAAGCACTGTATTTTAAAAGTGCTTGCAAGCACTGTGCTCGAAGCACTATTGTGCTTGAAGCACTTTTTCAAGCACTTTCAAGTCAATTACTGCCCAGCTCTGACGGTAGGTATAGATACGAAAAAAAACCTTTTTGATCTAGCTACGTACTAAGAGAATAACGTAATAAAAACAATATAAATACCACAAATTTACCTAAAAATAACCTCTCTCTTTCTAAAAGATTGACATTCGTAATTTCTTTGTTCTTTTAATTTATATTTTACAAAATGGTATCTACAAAGCAGAGCTGGGCAAAGCACTCAAAAAAAGTGCTTCGAGCACCAAGCACCAAGCCCTTTGGAAAAGTAATTGCCAGCACCAAGCATCAAGCACTTTGAAAACTTTAAGTGCTTGCAATTACCAATTACCGAGAAAAGTAATTGAAAAATTCAATTACCAAGCACCAATTACTCAAAAAGTGCTTGCAAGCACTTTTTTCTTAAATAAATTACCAATTACCAAGCACTTTTTAGTTTTCCAATTGCTTCCTACCCAATTAATTAACATTTTTATTTTAAAAATAAGAAACATTTTTGGATGATCGTTATATTAAAATAGAGACCCTGTTAAAACCGATAGATATTTGTATCGGAATGTATGGTGTTTCTATAGGGTGTATCGGTATGTATAGGACCCATAGTTGGGATTTATGGTTGTTCTATATGGATATCCACCCTTGATTTATTTGATATTGGTTTTAATGGGGAAAATACACATAAATATAAAAATTAGTATTTCCCCCATAGGACCCCATATATGGTTTTAATAAAATTTAATAAAATTTTGTCAAATGTTTTATGATTGTTCTATAGGGATATCCCTATATATTCTTCATTGAATTATTTTCTATCGGTCTCTATAGGGAAAATGTAAAAGTTATGGTGTGCCTATAGGTAATTTCCTATAAATTTTCTATCGGGCCGTATCCGGAAAAAACCATGGACAAATGCACATATTGAATCCGGTAGCGCCCGATAGATTATTTTGTATAGGTCTCTATGGGGTATTTTAAGCAGGGAATTAAAGTGAAGAAATCATCAAAAAATAAGTACAAATTATCTGCAAGAAGGAGAAAGGTACTGGCCAAGTCGGCCTTCAACCAACCAATCACATTAAAGCTTATGCTGCACCGCACACCGCATTAGATGATGATGATGAAACCACAGGGTTGTTACTAAGGGCATTTCCCTCTAGAGTCTAAAGTGCTCGGGAGCACTTTAAATGCTTGCAAGCCCTCAAATCTGATAGTGCTTGCAAGCCCTTTAGTGCTTGCAAGCCCTTTAAACTGCTTGCAAGCCTTTTAAGTGCTTGCAAGCACTCAAATGGCTTGAAATGCGAAATTCAATTACCAATTACCAAGCACTTTTTATAAAGGGCTTCAATTACCAATTACCAAGCACTGTATTTTAAAAGTGCTTGCAAGCACTGTGCTCGAAGCACTATTGTGCTTGAAGCACTTTTTCAAGCACTTTCAAGTCAATTACTGCCCAGCTCTGCTACAAAGTAATAAAGGCCACCCTAGAGTAAAATTAAAAAATATAACTTAAATTGTGAAAAGTAATAATATTTTGCATTAAAACTCGAACGCACATTATTTTATTGATAAAAATAGGCACGATACATCTTAAAAATATGCTCTCTAAAAGTTTACGTGTTTAGTCAATATTAATAGTATTTATTACCACTAATAACCCTAAAAAATACCAGGCGAATAGGAATTATTTACGGTTATAATGTGGACTTAATATCTTAAAAATATGACTTATGAGTAACATTTCCCACCAAGTAAAAATTCTGACGTTAAAATTACCGCTAAATTTTCCTTTAGGTGAAATACACTTATAAGTAATTTTCTTTCGTAAAAATTACGTCCTATAATACTTGAAAGTGTTGAAACTTAAGGGTTATTAAAATAGGTAAAAATAACAAATAAAACTTATTAAATAACTTTAAAAAAAGTTTTACTTCAAAGTAAATTTTTAAGGTTAATTTAACAAGTAATATTGCCTCAAAGCTCTACGCTTTTATTTAAAATGCTGCTTGTTTTAATTTGAACCATATTGAATAATTATTTAGTATACCTATATTTATATGACCATGTTAACCTACCTTTAATACAGATATATTTATTCCATAATAGAGAATCAGATATATGGGTCATTTTCAAGAAACACCCGCTTTCAGGAAAATGAAGATCAAAATTTTGTTTTGCTTAAATTGACTTTTGGTTGGATTTTTATAAATGTTAGAGTTTTGTTTACTTACATTTAAAACAGGCTGTGCATTTTTTAATTTTTTTTACGTTTTTTTCAGAAAAATGTGTTTAGCTAGCTTTATATGTCTCCACTGTGTTACCAATTTGAAATCCAAAATTTAATTCAATAAAAAAAGTTCACAAACTTTTGACTCCAATTTTTTATTTTATTTTTTATTAAAAATTGTATGCTTTTTTAAATATTTATGTTAGTTAAGTTACTTTTTAAAAAAAGCCATTCCGATTTTTTGTTAAAAAACAATACCATTAATATTTTCTTTTAGTCACTACATGTATTAGTGAGTTAAACTATAATTTATAAACAGGTATTACCAAGTGATAGTAAAATCATTTTAGGGATTTTTTTTAACAAAAACTAAAAAAAGTTACGAAATAGACATTGGTATCACAACGGACTGGGGTACACAAAGGACTTAATCAGATAACGTAAAAAAGAAACTATATAGGGTGGTACGATTTTAGAGTAATGCATAAACAAAATCCCTTGTAGTGGTGCTCACTTGCAGAATAACAACTTAGATTTCTAAATTGTAGATACCCTTTTTCTTTGAGTATAAGCTGGTGAAGGTCCCTTTTAGTACTTGTATATTGCGTGGAATTTTCCCTTGGATCTAATCTATATCATGAGTTGTAATCACAAATAATTTTAAATTGGTTTATCATAAACTACTTTTAATAAAAGCGACGGTAAATATCCACTTTGATGTTGAAAAATTCTATTGCGTTACATTACAGTCATTAATTACTCTCAATGAGCTTTAGTGCCCTAAAATAAACATAACAATAAAATTTTCTTACCTTATTTTTATTATTTTTTTTTGAGTAACTTAGCGGACAAACAATTATTACATTCGCGTTACCCGCACCTGTTTCAACCGATATCTTCCTGATTGAATAAATAAATTCAGCTTGGTAATGTGTACGTCCGAACATCATTTGTTGATCACGTGAGTGCCAAAAAAGTTGCCATATATATGTTTTTTTAAATATTCTATCGGTAACGCGACGGACGTAACGCAACGGAAAAATGTCTGCGACATGAGTCAAATTTAAAAAAAGTAGATTAAAATTAATTAATTTATATATAAATTGTTTACTGTATTAACTAAGGATGTTATGGATTGCTATAAAGCAACACAAAGTTATGGTTATTCAATATTAAAAAAAAACATGTATGTAAGTTTTATAAAACGCTAATGGTACATGCAAAAATGTGTGTTTCACAAGTTTCAAAATTAAAAAAAAATTATTCTGAAATAACTAAACAAACATTTTCTGAAAGAGTTTACTAAGGGCTTGTTAGGCTTTCACTTGGTTGTTAAATCAATAAGATCCGATAATTTTTAACAAAGTTATTGGAATTCAAACATACGGACAGCGGAAGGCGGGTGTTTTTTGAAAACGACCTATACAGGGTGACCTGAAATTAATGCACCATACTTTAACAGCAGATTGTACGTGCAAAAATAAGAAAAAAAGTCCCTATAAACATAGGTCAAGAAATGCCTCTTAAGGGAGCTACAGCCCCCAAAAAGAAAGCCCCTGAAGATGGTTTTTATTTAATATCTCCAAAACCGTTAAAGATATAAAAGTGAAATTTGGGGAATTAATTAAACTTTTTATGACCAATAAGACGTAACAATAACAATTTAAAAATTTTTATGAGGTTTGGGTCAAATTGATAGGAAGTAGGGTTAAAACCACCTTAACTTATTTGTACGTATCTTGTACCAGAATTTGGTGTCAGATTATGAAATTTTATAGTTTTGCACATAAAAAAGGTCATCTTGTTGAACTTCGATAACATACACCGTTTTCGCATAAAATCGATTTGAAAATTATTTTACATGGCATAAAAATTCACAATTAAATCACAACCATAGAAATTGACTCGCGTGGTCCTTGGAATACGGCTGCCATGTTTAGGAAAAAATAGAATAATTCAAGACAGGTGACAGTTTCAAGTAGTAAGTGACAGGGTGTTTCTACTTTTTTATTTATATTAGATAAAAACCATCTTCAGGGGCTCCCTTTTCGGGGGCTGTAGCTCCCTTAGGAGGCATTTCTCGACCTATATTTATAGGGACTTTTTTCTTATTTTTGCACGTAGAATCTGTTGTTAAAGTATGGTGCACTAATTTCGGGACACCCTGTATAGACTAAATGCACAAAAATATTACTTATTTGGCACCATACACTTTAGAATTTTATTAAATGAAGTATTTATATTCCTAAATTCTTAAACCAACCATTGTTATTGTGATGTTATACAGATTTGTAAATTTTTAACGCTTTATATTATTTCTTTCGTTGACTATACTTTGACAGATACATAACCTGAAAAGCCTTAAATGCCAAATTTTTAAAAGACTGCGTTCCGTATGTAGTCACGTGGTGGGACTTTGAGGTCACACAACTTTTTACTTATTTTAATTTGATTTTAAGAAATTCCTTTAATTTTAACGATTTTATACTTTTTCATTATTAAAAGTTATATTTAGGTTTCTATTAACATGATTCATGATTTTAAAAATATTTAGGTGTTTTCCAGGAAAACTCTTCCTGTAGAAACACAATTAATTATAAAAGTTTCATACATAATTAATTACTATTATAATAAAAATAAAATTTTACCTAACTAATTAATGTGCTATCAGTTTTATCTTAAGCATTGCATAAGCCACACACAAACTACTTTATTTTAATTGGATAAATTTAATTAACCCGTGTTTCAGCATATCGCATTTTAATAATAAAACGAAACTTTTTACCATCTTCTTATGAATGATGATTCGATTCGATGCATCATCAATCATTTTCGTTATTTCGCTTGGCGTAATGGGTCCACCTCGACAGTTGATTATGAATATAAAAATTTTAATTTATTTAACGACACGACCGAGCTTAAATGCAAATAGATTATTGCATTAGCATTTTTTGCAAGAGTGCAATAACAATTTACATAAAGTAAAGCTATAGCGGTAATGACTTTTGCATGTTCTTTCTTTTAAATTACATATTCGCTGCTAATTCTTATTTATATGAGTGTTTTCGTGTTTTAACACCAATTTATTGATTAGTTTATTTATGTACTTGTATTATAAATTAGGTTATTACATTAATCAAGATCATAATATTATAAATATTATTAATATGCAAATGCTGAAACAACTTACCCATGATTTTTGACAAAAATAATCAAAATTGATTAATCCTGTCACATTGGAACTTTTTGTCATGTCCTAAGATTTTATTATTTCATTTTGCGTTTATTTATGTTATGTTGCCGTCAAATTTGGAAAGACAGTGTTGAGTCCTCAAAAATGAGCGGGGAATATTTTGTTGAAGACAGCACCAAATTATACCAGGGTAATACTTTTTCTTGTCAATTGAAAAACTTTTTTCAGACCCTATTTTAGATTACATCGAAGAAAAAAATCAATTGTCGGCCAAAGCAATCAGAAAGGATGATAGCCAGGAGAAACTGCAAGGTAAATACACAACAAATTTATTCAGATCTATCACACCTATTTGTTCTTGTTTTCGGAGACTGCGTACAAAGCTTTAGCTGTGGTGGTAATTTGCGATTCTTCCTCCACCTCGATATCATACTTGGTCATAATATTCCTGACTTTTTCGCATAACACGTCGAAAGAGTAGCAATTCTGAAAGGTGTCTTTGGCCATGTCTCCCAAAAATATCTGCAGGTGTGGGCTGAGCATCAACTTCTTCATTGCGATCGCGAATGTTTTTGCTTCTGGTTCCATTATAACCCCGGAAACTCTATGCGTTAGCAGTTTGGAGGCTATGCCTCTGTTTGTGGCCACAATCGGCTTCCCCAGACTCATCGCTTTGAGTATAAAATCGGAGTAGACATCGTTTTTCGCCGGGTGGATCATGATGGCCGATTCTAGAATCAACGTTTTCTCGTGGATTATCGGTAGCTGCTTTAGGAACGTTATCTGAGATGCGCAGGATTTGTCTCTAGCTTCGCTGGTTAATTCGTTGTAATAGAACTTTTCCTCCAAGGATTTGCAGTTTCCTGCTATTACCAGCTGAAATCTTCTGGTCACGGATTTATCCCCGATGAGCTCCAAAAGTCTCTCGAACGACTCCAGACTCAACTTGAAGTTTGACGATCTTCTAAATTTCCCGATAGTCAGGAAGACTATGGTATTCTCCAATAAATCAGGTATAATCCTTTGTATGTTTATGCCGGGTTCATCCCACAGACCTATATCCATCGAATGATAGAGTATCTTAGGACTGTGATTCAACCCCGGATAACTCTTCTTGAGTATTTCCGCGAAACCTATGGTTTCCACTACGACTTCGTGCGCCATTTTGATCCATTTGATCTCCATTAAACTCGGTATGATTCGCGAGTGCTCATAGCAAGCATCGGCAACTTTCATTGATAGAAAGGTTTCGACGAAACATAGTCTGTACGGAGTGAACATGTTGAGGAGATACAGCGCGACCATGCTGACGTCTGTGATCACCATTTGCGGCCGTTCTCTCCTCGGAAGGAATATGAGCCTTATGGCCATTATGATTGCCTTCAGGGCTAGCAGTTTTTGTCGAAACATGCCGAAAATGCTGCGTGGTACCCATGATGCGACTTTTACAATTCTTAGCTTATCTAAAAACTAATTTGCGTAATATATTTGACTTGTGTGATTGAAAATGCTTACTGGAATGTCTTCGATGCAATCGTACGGATCGAAAAACGTTGTGTAGATGTCGACATCGTAGCCGATTTTCTGGAAAGCCAAAGCGATGTTTACTATATATCGATCGGATCTTCTCTTGGTCAATTTTTCGTGTAGAAACACTATTTTCTTGTTTTCGAGTGGTGTTGCACCATTGCTGTGTATTTCCATTTATTACCTTTTTTTTAATTTAAACTTGACAAACTTTTGACACTACATGACACGAAACAGGTTAAAATGACGTGATCTAGTCTTTCAAGTTTTGATTGCATTTAGACATCGAGGATCAGATTGAGTTGGCTGAAACTAGATGCAACACGCTTAAGGGGCAGTTGGATTACATGAAGAACTTGTATGGGCCTGCTACTAAGCATCAGAAGAGCAGAAAATACTCCAATGCTTCTGTGAAGAGAAGAGGTATAGGGTAAACCACATAGTTATTGGACACTTAAGAAATATTATTTATTTAAAATTTATATATGCCGTTGTTTTAAAGATTTTAGTTTTTTTCTTATAAATATTTAAACTTTATTTACGTTTACTTAAAAATAAGAATATTTGAATTTTTATTATTAATTGAGGCGTTTCTCGGAAAAACATCATTAGTCCAATATCGTCGAAATTTAGATATTAGCACCAACTGTTTCCTAACCTCCATATATACGTATACAAATAAGTGTTTCTCGTAAAAATGTCATAGGTTCCATAATAATTAAAAATGAAATTTAGCTTGTTCTTCTAAAAACATCACAAGTCCACTCCGTTTCGTCTAAGAAAGTCACATGTACATGTGACTTTCTTATAACATGTGAAGTTTTTGGACACTCTAGAAAAGCTTCTACCTCTTTTACATGACCACAGCAATAAAAAATTGTATGATAACTTGATAAAAGACCAGAAGACCATAGCACCTGACAGTTCTGATAACACGGTCGACAACGATGATAACAGCAGTGGATGCGAATACTGAGTGTGGCCATAATACAGTTTTTAGTTTTTTCATTTATTTTGTTGCTCAGAGTTAATGTTTAGTTTGTAGTGTTTGTAGTAAGGAGAATTGTTCGTTTTTTTCTTCTAAAAACCTCACATGTTCATGTATTTTTTGTGTTTTTTTCATATTCGTTTGAAAAAAAACAAGAGGAATTCTGGACAAAGTATCTTACATTTTTTTACATGTAGTAAATAGGTCAATAAAGTACTTTGGTCAAAAATGGGAATGTCGGAGAGTTTTTTTCATTTTACCAAATATGTTAATTTTGGACTAATGATGTTTTTCCGAGAAACGCGTCAATTTTATAAAAACATGCAAAAAAGTATAGTAATTGTAAATTTTATATAGTAATTGGACATACAATTTTTATATAAACATAACAACTTTACATCAAATAACATAAATTTTAAATATTTTTTAAAGATAAATTGCTGTTTTAGGTAATTTTTTTATTTCGTTTTTGTAAATATCATTTAATTCATATATTTCTCTCTCGGATTCCTCATGCCTTTTCTGGATTCTGAAGGTAACTACTAATTCCTTTGTATGACTTCTGAAATAGTTTGTTGCAAATATCATTAGTGTGGTATCTCTAGTTTGTGAAGCATTTATAATGTTTAGGCCGGAACAGGATGATTTATATATATCTAATATTTTTTTGGGTGGTATGTTAAAAGTATTTTCCGAATTTATTAATTTTGTTGCCATTAGTTTTTTATGTTCTCTATCATGCACTGTATTGAAATCAATGTTATTCTGCAAGATGTCCTGTGATGAAGAAATCACTATATTACTTTCTAAAAATGAATTAGTCAAAAATGGCATAGCGAAAAAGCAGCCACTAATAATTCTCGTCAACAGCAATTTGTATCCAGGACATTTAGCAGTCAATTCCTATGAAATATTATTCGCTGAATCCGAAAATGTCGTCAAAAGTTATAAAGTTTTTGAAATATAATGAATTTTACATATAATATGGAATTGACTATATCTCAAAAACTGCTTAACTTTTATAGTTTTTGACGGTCTTTTCGGACAATTTTACATAAGAATTGGCTGGTAAATGTCCGGGATACAAATAGAGTATGATATTGGACATATGTACAATAATATAAATTTACATTTTTTTACCAACCCGTAGTTGGACCCTGGCCATTTTACTGTTTGTTTTTAGAATTAAAATTAAAACGCATTAAAGTGACAATGTTTAAACCATGAGGAACACATTTATACTACACACTGATCTGTACACTTTTTAGAAATATTTTTTGTTGTAATTTAAATACAGCCCTGCTCTTAACAAAAAAACAAAAATCTTACCACCAAAGTGACGTGCGTACTTTTTTGTCCTATATTGGACCCAAAATAAATTTGTTCTATATTATTACCGACTGAGATATTTATAATTGTATACAGCGTCATCTAATGATTTGACTTTAGGGAAACTATTTATAGAACTCTTGTTTTTACAGTATTAATGTTAATTGTCCAATAACTGTCTAGTTAACCCCTTCTTGAATATCAACTTAAGGATCGATCTTTATGGCAAAATAAATGATCCTTTTGTTAACTAGTTCATATTAATTAAATTACTAAACTATTTGTCAGAAGGTACGAATGATTCCGCCATTTCCATCGATGTACATCTGGAAAACTATGGAGAATGCAGAAGTGAATCCGCCAGACAAACAACGAATGATCCGACCAAAGATATTCACTCAATTATAAATGGTATTACGAACTCTGTGAACCGATTGTCTGACTTGCACTTGCAAATTGCGGAAACTCCTAAGAGTAAGCGTGGTGAAAGCGCTCGAAGAAATAGATTTGACTTGCATGCTGATGGCTCTCGTAAAATAATACCTAATACTTATTACCTAAAACAATAATTACATGCATATTTTTAGATGTTACTAATGTCGAAATTAAAGCAGCCAAAATGGATAACGCGCCGTACTACGAGCAAGTGCCTTTGGAAGTAAACAAATCCAGCCATCTCACAAAGAAAATTTCGAAAAATATCAGGAAAAAACACGTTTCAGTTCCTTTCGATGCAAGGGTGAAAAAGTTCCCGAGTAGCTTCGCAGTCCCAACCAAAAGCGCTTCTGGGACTATTTACAAAAAAAAGTCTAGGAGTCAAAATCCACCTTTGAGTAAATATATCGAAAACAACCTAACCACACTGTTCAAAATTTCATGACCATTTTAACACCAAATTAACACCATACATGGTCTATATCGATACAAACCAAAATGGTGTTAAAAATGGTTCGTTGGTCCGGTGTAAATTCAAATACTAAAATAGTGTAAATTTAACTTTCACACAGTATTAAAATAAATTTTACCTTGTGTAAATTGAACTCCTTTTCAGTGTTAAATATTATGTGTTTTTGGTCAAATTAAATCATGCTACACAGAAAAAAAGGAAGTTCCTTGATGCATTACTAGTATATTACCAGTGGTATTATTCCAGAAAATTGAACCTTCAACTCGCTAGAGATAATGTTTTTAGTGCGTTCCACCAACTTAAAACACTTCAAGTATTGACAGCTGTTTCCACCTATTTAAGGTCTCTTTAGTATCGAACAACTTGTAGGGTCACACCAAAGCAAAGGACTACCTGAGCTTATATACTCTTCATGTAAGTCAACAGAGGCGAGATTTAAGAACATCACGTGATCCACACCGCCTTTGCTGCGATCGGTACACACTTGCAACCAGGAATGCACGGTAAATTGTTTTAACAGATTGCTTTAGGTTGAAGTAACTCTTATTTTACAAACAACATATTTAGTAAACTGAACCATACAGCGGGTTGGTTTCACTAAAGTTTTCTGAGTTAATTTAACCAATTAAAAAAAAAAAAAACTATCTGGTTTAGTACCGTCAAACTAATCCTTGTTTATATTAACCTTCCCACAGTTGATAAATAAATACTTATGGGTCAACCAAATTAATATAGTTAAATGAACTATTCCTTTTTTTCTGTGTAGGGGCACTTCTCAAATATTTTTAGATAAACACCGTTTTGGTTTTTGATGTATATAACATTTTCAACCATAATTCATGGTGTTTATATTAACACCACTTGGTGTTGGATTTTGACACCATTTTAAGATTACTTTTTACACCACAGATATTTTAAACAGTGCAAAACAACAAATACAACAAACCTTTTAGCTGACAATTTGGTGGAAATCTATCACAACCAGGCAGCGAAAGAGACTGATTCTGAACATTCGGGTCGTGGAAAATTCAAACGAAAATCCAAAACCAGCCGGTCTGAATATATTTCAGATATCCCACCTTTATCTTTAAATGTCCCCGATGATAATCAATGGAATGTGAGAAAAGTTCAACCATCAAAGATGGATTATAGCAACATTAAAACTGTTAATGATGCTAAGAATGAGCTTAGGGATTCGTATGTAGTTTTTCTTGGTTAAATTACACTATGATAGTTTTTTTTCCTAACATTAAGTACTCAAGCTTAGTTTAATTAATTTTGGGCCGCTGATTTCAAAAATGTCATTAGTTTTTCTCTAGGACGTCTAGGATTTAAAATAATTTCGTAATAAAATGCTCTGCTCAATCACCTCAAAATGTAAGTTTTTCCACCTTAAGTTTATTAAATCGTATTAAATATTAAATTGGATTATAGTATTATTGTGCTTAATCCTCATCATCGTCGTACATCTTTTGCTGCAAATTCCAGCAAATTTGTCCTAGCAATGAATCCAACTTCTTTCCGTTATACCCATAGATATCTACCAATGCTCTAGATTTGCAGTTACTTGGTGAAATCGTTCTCCATGTTCATCACTTCGGCAAATTTATCAGGATGAAAAAAAAAAGAAAATGTATTTTAAATGAGATATTAACGCTAATTCTTTGCAAAACGGAAAGCATTTTTTCAATGAATTGGCGCCAATTTTAGGCGCGATATGAACCAAGAACATTTTCAATGACAGCTTTAACACTGCCATATGCGACAAGCTTGTCAACTTTGGGAGCATTTTTGAATGCTTGATCTTTCATTAAACGTCGTATATCAGGTCCATTTAAAATTCCTGCAAAATTAAAGTAGTAGGTATATCTCATAAAATTTTGTAAAGAAATATTGCGTTGGTTTTTCTCGGGCGTAAAGGTACCGCAACAAAAACGAAACAAATTTACAACGACGACGTAAATGTTCGTCTCCTTTCTCTTTCTCTGCTACTTCCATTACCACTTCCATTTACTGCTCTTTTTTCAGTTTTGGTCCTTAAAATCACTTTCAATTAAAAATACAATTTAAAGTTTAAATTTTAAATGTCAATAATTAATAGATGCACTTTAGTGTGCTTGAACGATAAAGTACATCTTTTGCTGCAAATTCCGGCAAATTGTCTTCTAGCAATGAATCCAACTTCTTTCCGCTATACCCATAGATATCTACCAATGCTCTAGATTTGCAGTTACTTGGTGAAATCGTTCTCCATGTTCATCAGTTCGGCAAATTTATCAGGATGAAAAAAAAGAAAATGTATTTTAAACGACATATTAACGCTAATTCTTTACAAAAGGGAGAGCATTTTTTCAATGAATTGGCGCCAAATTTAGGCCCGATATGAACCAAGAACATTTTCAATGACAGCTTTAACACTGCCATATGCGACAAGCTCGTCAACTTTGAGAGCATTTTTGAATGCTTGATCTTTCATTAAACGTCGTATATCAGGTCCATTTAAAATTCGTGCAAAATTAAAGTAGTAGGCATATCTCATAAAATTTTGAAATGAAATATTTTGCTTTGGTTTTTCTTGGGCGTAAAGGTACCATAACAAAAACAAAACAAATTTACAACGACGACATAAATGTTCGTCTCCTTTCTCTTTCTCTGCTACTTCCATTACCACTTCCATTTACTGCTCTTTTTTCAGTTTTGGTCCTTAAAATCACTTTCAATTAAAAATACAATTTAAAGTTTAAATTTTAAATGTCAATAATTAATAGATGCACTTTAGTGTGCTTGAACGATAAAGTAGATAAAGGCGCCTTTATACTTCAATTCGTTTTTAAATTTTGATAAGGCTTGATAAATAAAATTGGAGATTAAATTGTTGGGTACTTTAGGCATGATGTGAATAAAAAAATATCAAATAATAGTCGAAGAGTAATGCTTATACCGAAACCCATTAACTTTGTTGCCTTTTCAATTTAATTAGTGATTAAAAAACGACACAAAAATTTCTAAAAATGATTCTGTTTACCAAAAAAACATTGTAATTTTAGTTTTGGTATTAAAGGGTAATAAATATCACTACAATGGAAGAAACAAAATTTCTATTTGACATTTATCTACCGATGACTTTGTATGGAGTCCCTGTATATTTTTGACAAAAAACGTCAAAAATATACTGAACATCCAAAATAGATTTAAGGCAAAATAATTTAATAAATAATCAAAATATTAACGAAAAACTTACATTTTGAGATAATTGGGCAGATCATTTTATTACGCAATTATTTCGAATCTTAGACGTCCTGGAGCAAAACGAGTGGCAGTTTTGAAATCAGCAGCCCAAAATTAGGTAAAATAGGTGGGCGTACCACAGACCACCAAAACAAATGGACGGCGCATTGCCATTCAATAACAATGCTTTGTTTGCGGTCAACGAACGATCACAGTCTAAGCGTTAAATTTGCTATAGAACTTTATGTTTTCTTCCAGTGACGTATTGCGTACTCCAAAACAGCTGACATATAACAAATATGACAAATGACTGCAACCAGTGCCGTGGTGTTAAATAGGGATAATTTAAAAATAGTTTAATTTAATTGTGATTACTTACCTATGAAAGGATAGATTTGGATTTCTTTGGTTTGTTTTTTTACAAACAGTACACTGTCGCACCATTTTTAGTAAATCATAATGTATTTAAACTCAATAATTAACTTAAACACGATAGAAATACACAAAAACTAAAACACAAAACAACAAGCTGTCAACCTTTTTCTATGCTGTCAACCACAATCTACTGAACGCAAATATTACAAATTTACCAAAGTTGTTAATATTTAATTTTAATAATAATTAAATGATTTACTTTTTTTAAATAGAGAAAAATATCTAAAGAAAATGATGAGCAAATCCTTTTTACAATTTTTTTATTATTTAAACGAATTACTGGTAATTTTTAATGTTCATTATGTTATGATGAACGTCCAAAAAGGCGTGTAATCTATACTTCTGACAACGTTGGAAGCCGTGTTTCTTTCGACGGTGTTTAGAATGTGAAAATATGCTTTACTCGCTTTTTAAACGTAAACAAATCCGTCCATTTGTTTTGGTGGTCTTTGGGGCGTACTCAATGTTATTAATTATTAAATGTTGTTTTTAGTAGTTATCAACTTCCAACAATCGCATCGAAGATGAAACAGGTGGCCAAATGTTACTTTAACGCTTTCAATTTTAAAGCGATACCGTTTTGTCCAGCCGCATCAACATCGCCCAGTCATAACATTGGGATCAATCTGCAACAGGTGATGAGTATGATGAAAACCAAGCAACCGTTTCAAGGTTTATCGCCAACTTTGGCTCATAACATCGGTTTGGCAGCCGAAAGGCTGAACAGCCGGCCAGCTTCCATGCTAGTCACCACGATGACGTCGAGAACAGCAACATGGTACGAAATAGGTTGTTTGGTGTGATTAATTTCGCCCAAATTTTCAGCAGTTCCTTTCTGCGCACCAGCTCTTGTCCTCTGTCGAAGAACCGCATGAACTACCAGCACCTCCAAGAAATGGCGAAACGCATCCCGGAAGAAGACATCATCATGGAGGGGGAGGAGGAAACCAGGGAGGTGCCTGCAATGAAAACCACGTACATTACGGGACCTTCCGGCGACATGAAAATCGAGAGCAAAAACGATCCGGTATGGGCTGCCGACGCGGACAATTTAAGAAAATGCACCTGCGTCAACTTATGTGGCCCCGATTTGAACCAAATGGTCAACAAGTTTCAAATCAGTCAACCACCCAACTCGGCTCAAAGCCAAGTGCAGAGATTACCCAAGTACAAGAGTAACTTGACCAAGAAGAAGCCCAGGCCTATTAAGATGGCTTTGGTGACCAAAAACAACGGGGTTATCACCAACAACAACGGCAACGTTGTGGAAGAAGCCGATGAAACTCCTCAGGTGCCGATACACATCAAACAAAAAACTTTGAAGGGCGTCCTGACAAACCTACACAAAGAATTCGACACGATGAATGGAAGATACGAAGAGTTATCCAAAATGGGGGAGGCTATGAACGAAGAAAACGTTAAGGAGCTTCAGCAACTCGATGTAGATCTTACCGCGAAAGAGGAAGAAATCACGATGGTTATGTCGTTGTACAAGGAAGTTTTGGCTTTGAAACAGCAGGTGCAAACTTTAAAACAAAAATCCAGCGTAGCTAGTGTCGGTGTGGCCCCAAAGATGGCCGACTATAATAACCCCAAGGCCGCGTTTCATCTGACAAAGCTTTTGAAGCAGATTCAACTCTATCAAAGCCATTACAAGAAAGATTTGCCAGTAATCTAAAAAATTTAATGTAATTACCTAGGGTAATAAATAAATAAAAGTGCCTTGCAGTATTTACACAAAAAAAAAGATTTCTTATTTTTAGAATCTTGAAAATATTTTTTTAATTCAAGTCAACTTGCTTTAAAATAAGAATATATATTTCAACTAAAAATATTGAACTTCTTTAAAAAAGAAATTTATAGTTTTGGAAATATTCTTGAAGGAAATCTTAGGTGGTTTCTTGGTACAATTTGTTTAATTTTTGTATATTAAGAATTAGATATTCTTAAATTTTTTTATTCGGTTTAATAAACAGTATTTTCATTGCCAAGAATACATATTTTTGAAATCGTGTAGGAGTGGAGATGCCGACACGTTCCTCTTAAATTGTATGCCAAATCATGCAGTGTTTCTTTCTCTTAGTGAGGAAGAGGGCTTATTTCATTAAAAAATTATAAAAAAAATTGAAGGTAAGTAAGTTGCTATTGATATACCACCCTTTTTTAAATTTAGCGTCGCATTTACGTGTAGGTAGGTAGGTTTATTGTTTAAATATTTACTAATATGCATTAAGGATGCCTTAAAATTATTTTATTCATAAATAAATAGGCTTTGCAGTGATAACCAAAATATCTTATGTGTGTAACATTCTGATTTGTATGGCTCTATAATTTTAAGTTAACTTAAACTTAATTTATTTTATGACTAAAACTATGCCTAAAATATTACAAATTATTTAAAATGAAAAATGTCGATAATATTGATTAAGTTCCCTACGTTAATTTAAAATAATGTATACATTTTACATTTTTCTTGTATTAAAAACAAAATAAATGTGTTTGTTCAACGTTTGTTTTTTTTATTTTCTAACCTAAATTTTTTTGTTTACTGCACCACCTAGAAACGATACAACGTTTACTTTGGCCCTTCAGTAAGTTTGGCTCAATTTTGAATAATCCGTAAGTATTTAAATATAAAGTTTTGTTTAAGATTAGAGAACAATCCTTAAAAAATTACAGGATATTTAAAATTACTCCAGTCCCCTTCAAGTGTTTAGACGTATTTTTATTTTAAATTTTATTTCTTTTGCAGTAGGTAATATTCCTAAATGTAAAGATGTTTTTATTATTAAAATAAATAATTTTTAGTTAATATACGTATCATTATTTAAAATTTTTTTGATTTTAAATACAAAATGATAGATTTTTTGAAACATTGCTAAAATTAGCTTAAAATTAATATACAGGGTGTCCCAAAAGTCAACGATATCCTTTGGAGGAATGATGGACCAATTCATGACCAACCAGAAAATCAAAACATGACCTTAGTAAAAAATCGTTAGTTTTTGAGATATAGTCATTTTTATGAATTTTGTAAAACTTGACACATTATATCAGTTTTTCGAGTGCCACAGCTACAAAATTCCATATTTTTAGATTATATTTTATGTTGTGCAATCCTAAAAATGCCTGCTATTGATTACAGTTTAAAATAAAACTAATAGCAGTTTTTTACCTTTTGAAAACAAACATTTTTGCCAGATTTTATAAGTTTTTTTATTAGCTAACTTCGACCGTTCAGACTGTAAAAAAATATGTCACGCAAACTTGGCAAGTAAGTATTTTAAAAATTGCTAATTTAGTGTAATATGCCATGTTATACTTTAAAGAAAAATATATTACTGTTTTGCTGCAAAACTAGTTTATTGTTAAATTATTTCAATATTTAGGAATTTAAACAAAAACACTTCTTTAATAAAAATAACAGATATTTAATTAAAACAAACGAATCACAAATAAAAATTAAAGAATGTATTCAAAATGCCTGCCACCAAGTCAAATGCAAGCGCGGCATCTTTTTAAAAAGGATCGTTTTATCTGTCTTGCACTTTCTGCGTCTTTTATTTGTTGTGCGGCTTCATTAATTTGGTCTCTCAATTAATGTACGTTATGAATTACTATTCCATAGACTTTTTACTTGAGGCAACCCCAGTAAAAAAAATCGAGAGTATTTAAATCCGGAGACCGGGGAGGCCACAAAATGGGACAAAGACGGCCGATCCATCTCTCTGGATAAACCTGATCCAAATAATTTCTTACTTCTCGTGCGTAATGAGCTGGACAACCATCATGTTGAAGCCACATTGCCCTGCGTGTGGCGACAGGCACATCATCCAAAAGATTTGTCAGTTCGTTTTCCAAAAACTCTTGATAATTTTTCCCATTTCAATTTTCAGGTAATTCAAAGGGACCGATTAGTTGGCCGTTCAAGATGCCGGTCCACAAATTTACCTTTCTTCTCGAATGAAATGTGGATTTTCAAGTGCATAATAATGAAGATTATGCATGTTCATAAAACCATTATGCATGTTCATAAAACCATTTTTATGGAATGTGCATTTATCAGTCCATAAAATTGTATCCAGGAACTCTGGGTCTTCCCTATGTTTCTGCAACATTCTGCGGCAAAATTGGACACGTCTTGCGTAGTCACGAGGAAGCAACATTTGCACACGCTGTACGTGATATGGGTGATACTGATACCGTCGTGTAATTCTGTTTGCAGTGGATTTCGGTATTCCTGTACGCCTTTTAATTGCTCGCGCCGAAGTAGTTAAGTGATTTTCAATTTCTTGCAAAACCTCTTCATCATAATCCATACATGGTCTTCCAATTCTAGCACGATTGTGAGGCATTCTGCCTTCAGCGTATGCTTGGTGAACATTTATAAAGACGCGATAATCAGGATATCTCAAAGCATTCGGGTATCTTTCCCGATACAGGTTGGCTGAAGCTACACCATTACCTCTGCATTCACCATAAATGTAATGCATGTTTGCATATTCCTGAGCAGTATACTGGTACGGCATAATGAGTAGTCAAACGTAAAACACGGAATACAAACACACAATTGAAGGTTCAAGTGGATAATGGAGTTTTGATAATAAAGAATAAAAAATATTGTAATTGTTATTAAAATTAAATTTTGTGTTGAAATTACAATATTTTTTGTTTAAAGGTGTCATCTTACATTTAAGTTAAGAAAGAACAAACAATATTGTGGTTGTAAATAAAAATAAATTTGGTATTGCAATTACAATATTTTCTTGGATGATGTGCCTGTCGCCACACGCAGGGCAATGTGGCTTCAACATTATGGTTGTCCAGCTCAATACGCACGGGAAGTAAGAAATTATTTGGATCAGGTTTATCCAAAGAGATGGATCGGCTGTCTTGGTCCCATTTTGTGGCCTCCCCGGTCTCCGGATTTAAATCCTCTCGATTTTTTTTACTGGGGTTGCATGCATAAAGTAAAAAGTCTATAGAATAGTAATTCATAACGTACATTAATTGAGAGACCAAATTAATGAAGCCGCACAAGTGCAAGACAGATAAAACGATCATTTTTAGAAAGATGCCGCGCTTGCATTCGACTTGGTGGCAGGCATTTTGAACACATTCTTTAATTTTTATTTGTTTTTAATTAAATATCTGTTATTTTTATTAAATAAGTGTTTTTGTTTAAATTCCTAAATATTGAAATAATTTAACAATAAACTCGTTTTGCAGTAAAACAACAATATCTTTTTCTTTAAAGTATAACATGGCATATTACACTAAATTAGCAATTTTTAAAATACTTGCCAAGTTTGCGTGACATATTTTTTTACAGTCTGAATGGTCGAAGTTAGCTAATAAAAAAACTTATAAAATCGGGCAAAAATGTTTGTTTTCAAAAGGTAAAAAACTGCTATTAGTTTTATTTTGAACTGTAATCAATAGCAGGCATTTTTAGGATTGCACAACATAAAATATAATCTAAGAATATGGAATTTTGTAGCTGTGGCACTCGAAAAACTGATATAAGGTGTCAAGTTTTACAAAATTCATAAAAATGACTATATCTCAAAAACTAACGATTTTTTACTAAGGTCATGTTTTGATTTTCTGGTTGGTCATGAGTTGGTCCATCATTCCTCCAAAGGATATCGTTGACTTTTGGGACACCCTGTATATACATTTTATTTTTAATGATACTTCTTGCATTGTTTTAAAATAAAAATTTTAAATCTTGTATCTATTAATTTAAAAAAATATTGGGTTATAAAAAACATCTTGAGTTAAGAAAATTATTGCCTTATTTCATCACATTTTTTTGTTTTAAGAAGATTTATTCTTGAATTAAATGTAAAGATGTATTTATTATTAAAATAAATAACTTTTAGTTAATATACTTATCATTTAAAATTTTATTGATTTTAAATACAAAATGATAGATTTTTTGAAACATTGCTAAAGGTAGCTTAAAATTTAGATAGACACATTTTATTTTTAACGATACTTATTGCATTGTTCTAAAATAAATATTATTTTGCAATCACTGAAATAAAATTTAAAAATTAAAAAAAAATTGGGTTATAAAAAACATCTTGATTTAAGAAAATTATTGCCTTATTTCAATATCACATGTTTTTGTTTTAAGAAAATGTATTCTTGAATTAAGTAAGTATCTTTTTTATTTAGAAATACCACTAATTTATTTTTAAAAGAAGATATTCTTGCTTTAAAACAACCAATTATTTGGTTAAAGAAAATACATTTTCTTGAATTAAGTAAATATTTCTGCCTTATTTCAAAAATTATATATTCTTGCTTTTAAACAATCAAAGTTTTATTTAAAGAAATTGAATTTTCTTACATTAAGAAAACATTCTTGAAGTAAATCAACGTGAATTAAAAAAATACTTTACCATTTTAAAGAATATATTCTCTTCGTTATACAAAGATTGTTTTAAATCAAATAAATTTATTTAATACAAGAATATTTTTTTTCAGTGCATTAATTATTCAGTGGCCATGACTAATTATTCATATTGTTCACTCTACCAATCTAATTTTATGTTTTACACGCTCGTTTGGTATTGGTGGAAGCCGTTTCAGTTGTGGGTTGTGAATCCTTTGTGGTTATTCCCAGAATCACGTGTCTGTCGAGTATTGCCGATACTTTATTACACTAATTATTATTAAAGTTGATTGATTTTAGTGTACGTACGAACAATTATACGCCTA